TTAAGTTCCTAAACGTGCCGGTACCACCTGACCAAACTAACCAATCATTTGATGCTTTAGCTGCTGTCCCGTCTATCTGTGAACGGTCCTTGAAAGCCGATGTTCCCTCCAACGCCATCTCCAGGTGTCACATCCTTTGCCAAATTAAACACCACAAGGTGAACGTGAGTGTGCGGTTCGTTAGGTATTATGACCGCCAGCGTGTTTTGAAGCTAACGGCAATTTCCGACAAAACCTGGATAAAACCCTCGGTGTTGAAGCACTGACCAAAAAGCGCTAGACTATTGTAAATGAACTGAAGAAACTTGGGTACGATAGGAAAAGAATGCCTTTCAGTACACGTGACGGTCTAATCTTTGTGAAGAAAGATACTGTCTCCCCAAAAGTGCATATTCAAAATCTGTCTGAAATCGCGAATGTGGTTCCCAATTAGGTCTACTCGCCTAAGGTTACCGATAGTCCCATCTCTGATCAGTAATTGCAAAATCTTCCTTAATAAGAATTGCTTGATTTTCAGCAATATAATTCTTTTGAATATGAATGTATACCTTTCCATTGGCTGTATTCCTGTGTACGTGCTCGTCCTGAGGCCACAGTGACCCTCGAACTGTCCCACTTTGTGGTGGCCAATGGATGTTGTTCATCTATGGAATTCTTTCTTATGCACGGGACACACAATCTCGATTGTTCAATTTTAATACATCAGAGATTTCGTTCTTTATAGGATCTACGTTTTCGGTCAACTTGTAATTCATGCGGAAACATTTGAACTACTCTTTGCAAAAATTTAAAAAGGGTATGCGAAGTGGGTTTCAGTCGGTTTGCCTATATTGATCAAATGGTACCGCATTGATACAGTGGATATATTTGATGAGTTATAATCTTACATATGTTGTTTATGCACTGTAATAACATCTTATTGGTCAAATATTTTTGTTTTGTCGGTAAATACAAAATGTACTTAATTACCATTACACATGCTTTGTGTAATATTGTATTACCAAATGCTCTACTGTTATCACTGTTGTGTCTGGTATTATGCGTACACAATGGTGATAATTACTATATGCTTTACTTCATTACGTAGATTCATGGTAATATTTCTGTTGTAACTACATCATTATTACAGGTGTTGCTGCCATTAATATACTCTTAAAGTCGACACTATTCTTCCTCGTTATTTGCCAAACGCCTAAATGATCCTGAATTTGATAACGACGACCTCATTGGGGCTCAATTTTGCTATAAAAGTAAAGTTTTTGCGATAGGTATTTTATATAGGTCTCCTAATACAAGTAATTTGAACGGGTTGTGGCAACGTGTTTACTTCTATCTTGATAGGGTTTTGAAATTACCAGTAATATTATACTATTGGGAGATCTCAACATGGACTTTCTCAAACCTCTCCGTGGCGAACCATCTAACATAATAACATCCTACAACCTAACAAACATTATTACAGAACCTATCAGAGACATGGCTGAATATCATCTTCTTTATTAGATCCAATTATAATTAGTGACAGTATGAACATTTTCTACTCTGAAATTATGACTATAGACATGTCTTTTAGTGATCATGATGCTGTCTTTGCTATTATCCATGTACCTAATACCATTGACAAAGTGGTCAAGAGAAAGGTCTGGTTGTACAATAGAACTGACACTGACGGACTCAAGGATTTTATTTCTAATATTCCATGGAACAATGTTTTGAATGACTTGAATTATGTATATGATATATGTGAATTTTGAATTACCAATATTTTAATTGCTGTTAATACCTGCATTCCTTTTAAGTAAGTTCAAATCCGTATTCATGATAAACCTTGGATGAATAACACTGTACATCGTCAAAAACGAAGGGATAGATTAAAAAACAATATATTCGGAGAAGTAGTGACTACAATAAAAATAAATATAAAAATGCAAGAAATTAGGCAAATGATATTATTGAGCGGGCAAAAGAACTTTTTTTTGAGAATATTGATTCTATTACGCATAAAAGTAAAAACCGAACCTAAAACATATTGGAAACTCTTGCGTCTTTTGATGAAAGGTAAGAAAAACGTTGAAATACCTCCTCTTTATGATGAAACGTCACATGAATATACTTTTAATGACAAAGACAAGTGTGAGCTCCTAAATGACTATTTTTCCTCCATATCTTCACTTTCCGATAATGACAAGTCTGTACATCACCCAGAGAAAAGAACTAATTCTACTCTCAGATCTTATCATTTCACCTACTGAAATTGAGGATATAATCCACTCACTTAATGTAAGTAAAGCTTCAGGTCCTGATGGAATTAGTCATAGAATGTTGAAAATCATTAGTAATTTCTATATCCCTTTCCATTATTTTCACTTTCCTGAGGTTCTTATCACAATAAATGGAAATGTGCTAATGTAATGCCTATCTTCAAATCGGATGACCACAACAACGTGTCAAACTACAGACCTATCTCTCTTCTTATTGAGTTATTGAGATGTATCTCACTCTTCAACTTAGCTTGGAAAAATATGAACATAATGCATTTGTCTTTTGCGACTTCTCTAATGCTTTGACAGGGTTTGGCAAACTGGCCCTATCTATAAATTAAAACAATATGGAATTAATGGTAACCTTCTTCAATGGTTATCTTTCCAACATAACACAAGCTGTCTTTATCAATGACTGTAGCTCATCTGTGAAGACTACCACTGCAGGAGTTCCACAAAGGTCCTTTTTAGGGTCCTTACTTTTCCTAATTTATATTAATAATATCTATACAGAACTTACATCTTTATCACGCTTGTTTGTTTGCTGACGACACGTCACTCTCCTACTATTCTCGAAATATAGGTGACATAGAATTTGCCGTTAATAGTGATCTGAGAAAATTAGGAAAATGGTCGAAGGATTGGCTGATGTCTTTTAATCAACACAAAACAGAAATAATGATAATAACAAACACACAATTTGACACCAACCCCACTTTATTTTTAACAATACGTTTATTGAACTTACAGATCAACACAAACAACTAGGAGTCGTACTGAGTAGTGACGGAACATGGAATAAACATGTAAAAGAAATTATTATTAGAAAACGCTTGCGAAGTATGGGATAATTGTGAAATTATTATATCATCAAATATAAAATAAAATCAAACAAGAGGCAGCACACATTGTGACCGGTGTACCCATATATACTAGATCTGACTTACTATAAAGAGAGCCGGGTCGGGAAGAACATCGAAGGTTATCCATTGTTTTACTATAATTATCGGCACTGCGCCATCTTTCCTCACTGTTTTTCTTCCTGAACATATTGGCAATCTCACTAGGTATAATTTATCTAAGAAACGCAGATTAGTTACGACAGCCAACATACCGTCGTCAATCTATGTGTAACCATTTTCCCTTCTACAACTGAACTCTGGAATGGATTAGATGAGTCTGTAAAAACTGTTGGTTCACTGAATTTGTTTAAAACCAAACTATGTACAAGAAACACCAACAAGCTAAAATCGTGCTTTTTATCATATAGCCCTCGTCAGGTAAATATTCTTCGTTGTCGTTTAAGAAATAGAGCAAACTCACTCAATTATGACCTATTCAGAGCCAATCTCACGAACTCTGCATCTTGCGCCTGCGGACATCCCTCCGAAAACTCCTTTCTATACGAATTCCTAACACCCTATTAACCGAACTGTCGTGGTATCCGGGTGATATTTCGATAGACGTTCTTTTAAACGGAGACGTAAGGCAAAGTTCATCTGAAAACTCGCTTTTAGCTAGAGCTGTTCAAAAATTTATTGATGCATCAGAGTGATTAAGCTAGTTATCTGCATTTCCCACCTTTCCTCCTTTGTACTATATACTCCCTTCTTCCCTCCTCACCTACCCTTGCTATCCTTCTCTTCAGGCCTTCCCTTTTGTTTCAATCAAAAAATATTATTATATATATATTGTTACATTGCTTGTTGTTTAAATATTGGTGTATAAACTATGTAATGCAGAGGGCTTTATAAGTTGGTAAAACTTGTGTCCAATCCTATTGTAAGAACTTTCTGCAATAATATTAAATCAAATATATGACACAAACCAGGCATTTAAAGTCTATACGTACGATTACCGAAATTCTACAGCAACTCGGTAACTTTTGAAGAAATTATTAACATCAGCAATATTTAATACCAGAAGTCTGTTCAAGTCAACATCTCGCCATACTTCTTATACAGAAATACACCTGTCATTTCTTACCATTACTTAAAGCTTATGCTGTAGCAACTGACTGACGATGGGCAGAGTTACTCCCCTTCCAGCGACCTGTTCTTGGTCTATATCCCTTAATGATTATGGTCCATCCGGGTACATATTAACTGGCGAGTTAAGTATTTTCCAAAACATTAAGCAACGAGAGCTGTTCATTGAGAGCCCAAAATATCGTGAAACCCCGTCCATTATCCAGGATGTTAATTATAAGACACTTCCGAATTTGGTCGAAACGAAATCATGTTACTTTCAAAGTGGGTGACGTCCAATCGGGCTATCAAGAATCATCCGCCTGAAATCTAATATATAAACAAAACAAGTCTTTATTTCTTGATCCTGGTGTTTAATCCTCACTTCACGATATACATGTTGCCGGCATTAATGTTATTGTACCTGTAGATAAAGAACTAGGTTTGCTTGATAGCGAAGGAAATACCGCCTATACATTATACAATCTTCCGTAAGAAGAAATTCTAAACATGCTGCGGTATTACAATCATTAAGATGGTATGTAATCATTATTAATCCCATTTTCTCAATATGCTTAAATTAATATGTATTTCTGTATATAAATATGTGATTGGGTCCATCGACTGAAAAAACATTTTAGGACTATTTATTTATTTATTTATTTATTTATTTTTAGAAAATTAACCTAGAACGTAGAGTATTTATTTTTATTTTTATTTTTTTTTAAATTATTTACTTTTATTTTTTACGTTATCAGTTTCAAATACGGACTGGTTTGCTGATGCACAGAAGGAATTACAGAGAACTCTACGAGCCAAGACAAATACTAACATTGCTAAGAACGTGATATTATTCGTGGGAGACGGGATGGGCGTTAGTACGGTGACAGCTGCCCGGATACTCAGAGGTCAACTGCAAGGTCACACGGGGGAGGAAACTGTGTTAGAGTTTGAGAAATTTCCTCATGTGGGGATGTCCAAAGTAAGTACAACGATCACTGTTTGTTTGTTAGTTTGTTGTGTCTATCGCCCCGTGGACAGCCAGGGTAATTTTGTACTAGCTGATGGCGACTTCACCGGATAATGATCCGTCACATACCATTCACAGCGATTAGGGTTAAGTGTCCTGTCCAAAGGTCAACCAAAGACTGGTCTGTTTCCGAGGGGAGTGGGGGATGAACCACATAACTTGGATCAACTGAAGACATAGGATCAGTCACAAGTTATAATAAATTTATCATTGTCAATTGCCAAATTGAAAATGATTTCAGTTGTATTATTCCTGTGCTTGATTTTTTTCGTTATAACTACACGAGTTTTCCGTTTAATTTTCAATCCGTAATATAAGCCAACCATTTTTACCAAACCGCATAAAAAGGGCGATACTATCGCACAGTTGTACGCACGATACTGTATAATGCATGTGTGCACATGATGTGCGCACGATATATGCACCATGTGCGCACGACGTTTTTGGTGCGTTAAGCGTTACCACAACTTTGGATCCATCATCTAACGTCTACAATACCCAAATATGATTCAACGCTGACTGATATTGCAATGTTTAGGCTTTCTCCGGGTACTCCAATCAAAAGAAATGATAGATTTGTCATTTCAGACGTACTCCGTTGACAAACAGACTTCCGACTCCGCTGCTACAGCTACAGCGCTTATGTGTGGGGAGAAAACGAAAGGTTACACGGTCGGGATCAACGACAATGTCGAATTCAACAACTGTTCAACTCAGCCTGGAAATGAACTCAGCTGCATAACAGATTGGTTCCAAGATGCAGGTTAGTTTTCTTCTAACCGCGGACAATTATTGGGGTTACTAATCAAATTGAACAAAAATATGGAGACTAAGTTTGTTTTGGTGTCCCGTAACAAAACATGACATCTTCTATCTTTCACTCAGAGCATGTATTTGTGTGACTAGACCCACATGGTCCTGGTGGTTGCGGGTCGATATCCTAGGATGATAGTTGCGGCGTGAATTCGGTATTCATAAGCTTTAGAAATATAAATAATTTCCAATTTACTACACTGTTTGATTTTGCTTCTTGGAAATATCTTTTTCTTCAGTTTTTTTTTATTTTGCAAATTTAAAAATGGCGCCATTGTTTGTTACGTTAATTGTGATTGGCTGGTAAAGTTGCGTAGTCATTTCTTTTAAAAGGTAAATTAATTATCTGTGGAGTGTTACCAGAACCTCCTTCATTACATACGCCCTAAGTAGGGTCGCGTACAGATATAACGTCTTTTTATAATGTCGTAGCGAAAAGAGGATAATTAGCAAGAGCCGACTACATCACACTAAAACAAAGTCAGCTCTTTATGTTGCTATCAAAGTTCTGTGATTTATGTAAATTATAAATGCCATATTACGATATTTATTCATTGGGTATGTTGCTTCTTCATGTCGATAATAATTTAATTCAAACTGAAATAAAAGGTCGGCAGTGTCAATTGCGAAATCCTTCAGGTGTAGCATATATTCCGATCTTGAGTAATAATGACACACCGGATGTCATTGATCGTGTCCGTGATAATGACATCTTGACTGTCATACACTGGAACCTTGATTGTGCCTGTAATCATAATTTTTCATGTTTGGTTTAAATATCGAAATCACTATAAATTCTTTCCCCCTTCCATGTCAACATTATCCCACCCTCCATGTCAACATTACCCCACCCTCCATGTCAACATTACCCCACCCTCCATGTCAACATTATCCCACCCTCCATGTCAACATTACCCCACCCTCCATGTCAACATTACCCCACCCTCCATGTCAACATTACCCCACCCTCCATGTCAACATTATCCCCCCTCCATGTCAACATTACCCCCTCCGCGTCAACATTATCCCACCCACCATGTCAACATTATCCCACCCACTCCTCCATGTCAACATTGCCCCCTCCATGTCAACATTATCCCACCCACCCCTCCATGTCAACATTACCCCACCCTCCATGTCAACATAACCCCACCCTCCATGTCAACATTACCCCATCCTCCATGTCAACATTACCCCACCCTCCATGTCAACATTACCCCCTCCATGTCAGCATTACCCCACCCCTCCATGTCAACATTATCCCACCCACCATGTCAACATTACCCCCCTCCATGTCAACATTATCCCACCCACCCCTCCATGTCAACATTACCCCCTCCATGTCAACATTACCCCACCCTCCATGTCAACATTACCCCCCTCCATGTCAACATTACCCCCTCCATGTCAACATTACCCCACCCTCCATGTCAACATTACCCCACCCTCCATGTCAACATTACCCCACCCTCCATGTCAACATTACCCCCCTCCATGTCAACATTACTCCCCTCCATGTCAACATTACCCCACCCTCCATGTCAACATTACCCCACCCCTCCATGTCAACATTATCCCACCCCCTCCTTTTCAAATTTAACATTACCCCCTCCATGTCAACATTACCCCACCCACCCCTCCATGTCAACATTATCTCACCCACCCCTCCATGTCAACATTACCCCCCTCCGCGTCAACATTACCCCACCCTCAATGTCAACATTACCCCATCCTCCATGTCAACATTACCCCCCTCCATGTCAACATTATCCCACCCACCATGTCAACATTATCCCACCCACCCCTCCATGTCAACATTATCCCCCCTCTATGTCAACATTATTCCAAGCCCCCTTTCAATATTAATATTACATATATCTGTCCTTAATCATGATCATAGCTGTGAAGTTTGGGGGTTGATCTTGACTAAACACTAAATAGAAAAATACACACTGGCATTTTGAAAAAGAGAACACCTGTTAAGTTTACCTGTACATATTACCCGGAAGTGCCGAATAGTTAAATATTAGTCGAAATTAAAGATTGAATTAAAATTAAATCGAAGACAGTTTATGAAGATGTGATTGAATGTAATCACAGAAACTGTAACTGGCGGTGCTAGGTTAAAACTTATTGCCATTAACTGGTTTTAAGGTATGTTTGGTTAAATCATAGCGTTGATAACGAAAACGTTAATGAGTATATTGAAAACAAAGTGTTATCTGTACAAATTCTTATTAGACTCGTTTACTTTTCGCCAATATTTAACAAATCACTTGCAGATTATTATTTTCGACTTATGTCAACGTTTTGATTATCTTCTCATCAGCTGCGTTTAGCAGAAGGGAGATATCAAATACTTCAATGGAATATATGATTTGCATTCATTTATACCATAAGTTAGTAGAAGACGAGTTCTCTTAATCAGTCCTCTGACTATAAATTTACGCAAAACAATTATCAAAAATTACTATTGAACCATCCGTCACTGACAGCACATAACAGGAAACAGAAAATAACTTTGATATCTAGGCAAATAACTGCGGTGTCTGTTGCTCGTCTGTCAATTTTTTTTCTACAATTCGCTTCTAGTCATTCTAGTCATGTAAGAGGGATTCTGCCCAAAAAAGATCTGAAGCATCTTTGGGGAAAGCGGAACCAAATTTGTGTTAAAGGTAAATCTCCAATCTCTCTTGTAGGTGAAGTATATTCAGTTTGATATGATTGGCGGGTCCAGACCCTTGGGGCGGAAGTGGTGGGGCCTAATAGTAGAAATAGAACAACTTCCTGTGTTGGATTGATTAAACCAGGTGATCGATACAGGCCTTGCGTGGCTCTTGTTTTCCCTCTGGCCATGTACAATATAGGTTTTTTATATAAAATAATTGAAAATTTTGCACATGTGATACGAGCTGTAAGGCTAAAATTGAATAAAGAATGCAATACTATCGTGTCTTAGGACGTTCGTCAGGAGTTGTAACCACTACAAGGGTTACTCACGCCACACCAGCAGCGGCCTACGCTAAAAGTCCCAACAGGAACTGGGAGGGTGACAGTGCGATGAATAATGCGGGAGTTTCACTGGAAGGTTGCAAAAAAGACATTGCACATCAGCTTGTATTCAACAGTAACCTAAAGGTATGATATAACCACTTATGTTCTCACGCAAAAATGACCTAACTTAGAGTTATCGTTCCTTACACTGACAGAGAAAGCAATACACGTAGAGCAAAAAAGCAGCATTTTTTGCCCTAAAATCTTGTTATCATCACCATTCATACGATCCGTTTTCATTCTGAATCATGGAACCTAGTACCTTTCATTCGCTGCCTCTGTCTTTATTCAGTTTTTATTTTATTTCTTCAGTTATCGTTTTGTTTAGGGATTTTGTCGTCAGGTTTTTATCTAAAACTATCATTAGCCCTCCATCTTTGGGTGACGGGTCCATTGCCTGCATGGGGTAGTCACCAAGCCCTTTTCTTCGGTTATCCTCCGGGCAGTCCGGCTTCCCTCCAAACCTGACTGTAAATAGTACATAAAGTAACGATAAACTGAACAAATAAACCAGACACCTGAAACTCTCTTGTATTATTGCAATTTCCTGGCATCTCATTGGTTGAAACATTGTCAAGTTATAGAATAGGAGTTCTTATAACAAAAGCAGTAGAAGGTTGTGACGCTTCGATGACTACACAGTCAGGAGTTGTAACCTCTACAATTGTTGTAATTTTTGTTAATATCTTTGTCCATTTGAGCAAATGAAATCGCTTATTTAGTTAGACACATCTTTAAAAAATTATTATTTTGGTAAATCACAGAGCGGTTCTGGCGAATTTGTTAAACGTGCTAAAATACAGCTGTTTCCGTTACCGCCGAATACAGTAAACATGTAAGTGGCAAGTATTTTCCGATAAGGTGTAGTATGATCAAACGAAGACCATGGTAAAGTGAATCCATTTTAGATTTAATAAGTTTTGTTAGTTTAACTTTAGATCAGTTTACTCAAATATGTTCCTCCATACATGATAAAAATTGGCCATGACGATGTGAAGCATTTCAATATTTTCTTACCAATGAACTTATTTTACCATTTTTTGGTTTCAAATTACCCCGATTAATTCTTTTCAACATTTAAATAACAAAGCAATACGTCTGGGTATGAAATTTATGGTAGGACATTATGATATTTTGACCCCGGTCCACCTTAGTATGCTTCACAATACCATGCTACAAAGGGCAGCTTCAGCTGCAGGATAAATCACATGTTACATCTTCCACAAGTTTCGTCATTTTTTACAGTTCAGACCGAGTGTGACATACTGAAGAGAGCTTTATGTTCGGCCGGTTTAGTCATGTTAATTTAAAATTCATTTCTTTTATTTTAATCATTATAGGTCATCCTGGGAGGCGGACGAATATATTTCCTTGACAACAGTACTTTGGATCCTGAATATGGAAATCTCACAACTGCATACCATCGTCAGGACGGCTTAAATCTTATCAATGTAAGAAAACGGTTACTGGTAGCACATTCTACAGTATATCAGTATAGCTTACAACAATTTGGGTTCAACAGGTTCATGTAGACAACACATTTTATATCTTATATCAATTTGGGTTCAACAGACTGGTAAAGACAGCACTTTCTAAATCTTACAACAAACTGGTTTCGACAGACTCGTAAAGGCAGCTAATTCTAAGCATTACAACAATTCGATTTCGACAGACTCGTAAAGGCAGCACTTTCTAAATTTTCTTGCAGTTTGACTGACAGACACGTATCGACATTTTTATTTTGTTTCCAAAAGACTCAACACCGGCGAGAGAATCTAAATATCGTGATTTAGTCTCCCAAACAACAAAGTGATCCATATTGAAGACAATGCATCATGTAGGCAACATATTTAATATCTTACAGCAACTTGGATTCAAAACTCATATAGGCAACACATTCTATATCTTGTAGCAATTTGGGCTCAACAGACTCATATAGGCAACACATCTTATATCTTATAGCAATTTGGGCTCAACAGACTCATAGAAAACTTACTATTCCATCATTTGAGACTTGTTCACGCATTTCTCTTTTCTTCTACATTTAGAATTATGCACAATCATTTTTTCAACATCGGAATATGAGATTAGGAATAAACAACAATTAAAAAAACCGAAAAAACCCTAACAATGATAAAATGAAAATATAGAATTTTGCGTTAATGCATTTCCTTAACAGATATGTATATATTTACAGAAATGGAAAAAGAAGTATAAGAACGAACGGTCTAGATATATCTGGAAAAAGTCCCAGTTTAACAGTGTTCACCCTGCAAAGACTGACAGACTCCTGGGTAAGGAAACGCTCGCACCAAAGTTGATGATGTTACATAGACAACATGGCTGTCATTTACTGATCTCTGATTGGTAGATATTTTAGTACATGATTATTCAGTATGCAGATTTGTAATAAATTAGTAAACAATCAGTTACAAATTTTCATTGGCGTCAGCAGGGTTATTTTGGGGAAACTTTTGTAAACAGTCTTCGTTACAACCAAAACCTGTTTGCCTTATCATATCATTTGAAGCTTTTACTTTTATAGGACTGTTTGAAGCGTCCCATATGCAGTACGAATTAGACAGAAGTGCGGACCTGGCCGGTGAGCCGTCACTGGCGGAAATGACGACGAAAGCTATTAATATTCTCAAGAAGGATAAAAAAGGATTTTTCTTGTTGGTTGAAGGTATGGGTTTTTGTTCTACATTATCGACTTTAATTTTAATTTCTCAACTATGAATTTCCCATTTCTGAGATGAACATATCCTAGCTCCCCAATTCTCTGATGTTTACAGGTTTGTTCCCCATTTCACGATTTTACGACTTTCGGCAACAGACGGGCGATCGCCGTGATATTGAGATTTTTTTGTCCTTGGTTCATTGAATTTGAATAAGAATTATGTTTATGTTTGGACATTTTTTCTCATTATCATAGACCCGATATAAATATTTGTGCCAAACATTTTGATTTTACCTTGTGTTGTAAAATAAGTTTGTCATAGTATTGATTTTTAAGCGTCAAACAATGTTTATACAACGAAAACCCCGTTTTAGATGTATTATTATTTTATGTAAATGTGAAGTTGTGGTTGATTGATTGACAGGTGGAAGAATAGACCACGCCCACCATGCAAATAATGCCATAAGGGCTTTGTATGATGTGTTGGCATTTGAGGATGCTGTGAAGAGGGCAGTCCAACTGACCAATGAGAAAGAGACTCTCATAATAGTTACAGCTGACCATTCCCATGTGTTCACTATAGCAGGTTACCCATCCAGAGGAAATAACATACTAGGTAAATCAATATATACAAATCCATTAGAAATCGGCACACATATTTAATTTATTATATATTCGTCTGCTGTCGAAGACCATCCACTGAATGCTAATAAAAATGATCGTTGGTTGTTTTGGTCTATCCGGTACTATAATGCGGGCCGTTTTAGGGTTTGTTACATTTGATGTTGTGGCAGCAAGCAACATCTTGAACCCCCCCTCTCTCTCTCTCTCTCTCTCTCTCTCTCTCTCTCTCTCTCTCTCTCTCTCTCTCTCTCTCTCTCTCTCTCTCTCTCTCTCTCTCTCTCTCTCTCTCTCTCTCTCTCTCTCTCTCTCTCTCTCTCTCTCTCATGGGGATAGAATCGTCTGTGGACATAGCCTGATTTTATTAAGAAACGGTTAACGGTTGTAAAGTCATTTTAACCCATCAATGGCGTAGATCTTCATGTACGGCTAAAATATGTAAGTAACATGGCGTAGCATTTAACACCACTAAAGAAAGATGACAGGAATATTTTAATAATTTCTTTCATTTTACAAATTTACTCAAATGCACATTTTTCTCAGGAATTATGGACGGACCTTATCCCGTCCCAACTGACGGTGTGCCCTTCACGACACTTTCTTACGCAAACGGGCCTGCATATCGAGACGGACCTCGCGACATCTCCAACGTCATCAATTCTAGTAAGACATTAATCATTAATCTTGTACTGTACCATGAATAACATTTAGTAAAAATTAAGGAATTATTGTGAGACCTCAAAAGACACAAGCCATTTACATATATACAAGTACATACTGTAAAGGTCATTAAAAACATCTATATATATATACTGCAATGGACATTTATATATTCATATATTTATATATATATATATATTTACCTTTGTATTACGTTTATATATATATATATACGTACTGCAAACGTCATTTAGACACTTATATATATATACACATACATATACATATATACCTACTGCAAAAGTTCGTTTCGAGATCTTATATTTCCCACTTATTTGTTTTACTGTATGAAAGGCTTGTCATAGTAATCAAACTACTTTAATAATGTGGTGTTTTGATTTCATCATATTTCTTAATCTGACGTCACAACTTTGTTCTTGTATTACTGTATTGATGAACTAACATAGCAGCTTAGATCTTGTACTGTTCATAAATTATATGTTCATGTACGATAACATTAACAAATATAGGTCCATGTACGATCACATTTAAAAATACAGTTTCCGTGTACAATCACATTTACGAATACAGGTCCGTGTACAATCACATTTAAAAATATAGGTCCCTGTGCGATCACATTTAACAATACAGCTCCATGTACAATCACATTTGCAAATACAGGTACAATCACATTTACAAATACAGGTACAGGTCCATGTACAATCACATTTGCAAATACAGGTCCCTGTACAATCACATTTACAAATACAGGTCCATGTACAATCACATTTGCAAATACAGGACCATGTACAATCACATTTACAAATACAGGTCAGTGTACAATCACATTTACAAATACAGGTCCATGTACAATCACATTTGCAAATACAGGTCCCTGTACAATCACATTTACAAATACAGGTCCATGTACAATCACATTTACAAATACAGGTCCATGTACAATCACATTTACAAATACAGGTCAGTGTACAATAACATTTACAAATACAGTTTCCGTGTACAATCACATTTACAAATACAGATTTATGTACAATCACATTTACAAATACAGGTCAGTGTACAATCACATTTACAAATACAGGTCCATGTACAATCACATTTACAAATACAGGTCAGTGTACAATCACATTTACAAATACAGGTCAGTGTACAATCACATTTACAAATACAGGTCAGTGTACAATCACATTTACAAATACAGGTCCATGTACAATCACATTTGCAAATACAGGACCATGTACAATCACATTTACAAATACAGGTCAGTGTACAATCACATTTACAAATACAGGTCAGTGTACAATCACATTTACAAATACAGGTCAGTGTACAATCACATTTACAAATACAGGTCCATGTACAATCACATTTACAAATACAGGTCAGTGTACAATCACATTTACAATGTACAATCACATTTACAAATACAGGTCAGTGTACAATAACATTTACAAATACAGGTCCATGTACAATCACATTTGCAAATACAGGTTCATGTACATCACATTTACAACATTTACAAATACAGGTCACAGGTCCATCATGTACACACAAATTTACAAATACAGGTCCACATTTACAAATACAGTGTACGATCACATTTACAAATATAGGTCCATGAACGATCACATTTACAAATACAGGTCCATGTGCGATCACATTTACAAATATAGGTCCATGTACAATCACATTTGCAAATACAGGTCCCTGTACGATCACATTTACAAATATAGGTCCGTGTACAATCACATTTGCAAATACAGGACTATGTACGACACATTTACAAATACAGGTCCATGTGCGATCACATTTACAAATACAGGTCCATGTACAATCACATTTACAAATACAGGTTCATGTGCAATCACACTTACAAATACAGGTCAATGTACAATCACATTTACAAATATAGGTCCCCCTTTACCTTGCTAGCTCGCTCCCTTGACCTAAAGGTCGACAGATCGATTTTGTGACAACGCGAGGGTGCGAGTTGCTAAATGGCCCTAACCTGCCACCCCAGGAATCTCGATCCTGAGCTATCTTTCACTTATTTTATGTGTCTTTAAAATTACAGCATTCATCAACTATCAACAGGAAACCACTATCCCCATAGATTCCGAAACACATGCCGGAGAAGACGTTTCTATCTATGCCCGAGGACCCATGTCTCACCTTATACATGGCATTCATGAACAGAATTACATCGCGCACGTGATGGCATATGCCGCGCGTGTAGGTGTTTGCACATTTGACAAAAATGAAGTGAAAAACAGAAAATCAGATTCTAATACATAAGTTTGGAGAAAACGAAAAATCGAACTCCTTGAAGAGGAGAATGCCTTTGGTGTGAACGAAACTTAGAATCGGGGAGGACGGTTGTCTACTTTTGAACCAGCAATCTCGAGATGTCGCATGAACAATCAGGGTATTCTGGTACATATTTTAACATCACAAACTATTTTATATGTGGGTATAGTTTTTTCTTTCATAATTATTTAATGGCTTGCTGATATATTTTCGGTCAGCTCACAAGTACCTAAGTTTTCATCGATATTTTAAGAGTATTATTATATCTAAACAGTGTGTGATCTAGGTTTTATTTCAAACCTGGCTCAAGCAAGGGCAATTTATCAAAAAAGTAACAAAAAAACAGACAAACAATTACGACTGAACGGAATTGTTGCTTGTATCAATATTTTTTCCCACATTCGAACTTCCGGAAATTGTTTGTAGATATTGATAAATGATACCCTTGCCTTCTAGTCATGTAGATATCACAGGGGCCTAAGAACTCGGGGGAAAAACACAGGAACCCGAGAACTCGGAAAAGTTCCCAGGGATCCGGGAACTCGGAAAAATGCTAGGGACCCGAGAACTCGGAACTCGGATAACTGCTAATCTAAGGGAAGTAACTCTCAATATCTAAAATTTTGCATAACCGTTTTTATCAAAAATGTGAAAAAAATATAATAAAACTAATAAAATTGGAGCTACCCTTATTCATATCATTATCGTTCGGAAAGTGTAAACAATGTGTTAGAAATCATAACAAAGCGCTGGGTTAAAACGAGGCTCCGAAAGATCGCGTGATTATGTTGGCTGTCCTAGATCACAACAGCGAGTGTCAACCAGTGTTAATTTCATGCTAATACTAATAATCTTTATAAATTTTCCTCAGAAGTGCGAAACTTTTGTTAATATAATATAGTCTAATATTAAGTATTCCCGACGCTTTCCCGAAATCAAACGCATTGAAAAAATAACGAAATTCAACCATTCAGTCCCTTTAAAAGATACAAGATAGCATTAATTTCACTGTTATGTGTATGAGATAAAAATATTTTTTCTGTCTGTCACCTTTTCCCCACGATTAATAATTAGCAGTCCGGTAACTTTTTTAATTTATTTACTAAATTTCAAAAAAAAAATCTAATTTGTCATTTTTGGAATCCCAGAAAAAATACTCCTAATATAATCTAATAAGTATATAGGACTTTAGCGATCCATGCCTGGGTATACAATTAGTCAGTGTTTTGTTTAATTAACAACGCTGCAATAAGGATAAATAGATAAGTAAATAAAAACTGAAGATGAAATTCAGAAAAGAAATATAAGAATCAACACTTAAATGTATTCATTTACTAGGTTGAAGAGACACAGCTAAATGTGTGTAAAAAACCTTAATCACAGTTACGGTAATATTAAATATATGCTAATTCAAACCTCGAGAGAAGGAAACTTTTTATGTTCATGTTAAATTTTAAACAATATTGTTGTATAAAAGTGTGTGTGTGTTAATGTCGAGGTAGAAATTCCACTTTAGTTACATCTTTTGTACTTAAAAATATGATATTAAAGACATAGCTAGATTATCATATCAAATATTTGATATCGGCGCCATCCGAACAGTTTCCATAGTTACCATCACATTCAGTATTTTTTGTAATTATTTCTGTTCTTGTTGTGTTGTTTCATGCTATAGATTTATGTATTGTTTCCTGAAGGAATGTGGTTTTGTTAATGGATTTGATACCGTATGTCAGGTCACGTGATCACGTCGTGTTCAATCTAAGTTATTTTTTTATTACTGCTATCACGGGTATGTATATAGTAAATGAGATCAGAAATTACTTAAATGCTCATGCCATATCTTTGATATCTAGATGTCATAATTTTTCACTCGGCGATAGATGCATTTTATTCCTGAACTTTCATCAATAATTCCCATACAATTATGACAATTGTCGTGAACAAAAAATGTTATTTAAACTAGAATTCGATGAAAAAAGTGAAAGATTATATAAAATAAATCTTTCCTCGAAGTCATTTGGATAAGTGTGAGGAGTAAAAGACCAGGTGTTCCAGAAGAGTATGCGTTTTCTCTTTATCGACGACAACTGCCATGTAAATCTTAGCCAACCGAAAACAATGTTGAGTTCTCATAAGAGAACAAGGTAAACAACCACGGAATAAAAGGCAAGCTTACGAGCATCAGACACGTTTAGTTACACACAAAGAAATAGAATACTTCCCAATGACATAATGATGGTGTCCACATACCTTCCCTGTTCATCATTCTGCATTCAATTTAATTACCTCAGCATCACCGACCAGTCTGAGAAGGACAAAACAGCTGTATAATAAAGTTTAATTCATTGTTTGAATTATTCTAACGATATATCGTATGGTGCTTTTCAACTGTGTGTAAACTTTCATTTGAAATACAAATTGTAAATAGCCAATAAACACATTTTAAACCAAAACGAGGCCTTATGATGTTGTAATAGGACATTTCTACCGAGGATTTTTTTTTTTAATTGCTTTTTTTTTTTTTTTTTTTTTCCTTCACTTTTTTATCTTTTTTATTATTATGATTTCAAATTACCAAAATGTTTTAATTTTGAATGTTTCAATTACCATCCAATGCTAACCCTGATTCCTCATCAGCTTTGGAGGATTACCATTAGAACATACTGTCCAAAACCACACGTTCACATTAGCACATTTTAGCACGATTTGTTACAGAGTTAGAACAATCCTCTTGAATCCTCCTACACATGAGAGCTTGACCACTAAATGAAGACAAATCTGTCATATCATTTGAGAAAGACAACAATTTGCCAAAAACATTTTTCTCACACAGCTTTTCCTGTTCGAGTCTAAATCATTAAACATTGGCCCTTCTGTATCTAACTCTAAATCATTTAAAGGTGCTGTTCACGTGTGTGTCTTTTGTACAATCATTGGCCCTTCTGCATCTAACTCTAAATTATTTAAAGGTGCTGTTCACTTGTGTGTCTTTTGTACAAGTATTGGCCCTTCTGTATCTAACTCTAAATCATTTAAAGGTGCTGTCCACTTGATGCTAACCCTTTGTACAATCTTTTCCAAAGATTTTGAGTGCTTTAATATCAACAAGAAATCCCAGATTGATATTGGTGCTAACCATTGTAGGATCTTTATTTTTTTTTTTTATTTTTTTTTGTTTTCTGATTTCTCCTTTTCTCTTCTATCTTCTCTGAACACAAACATTTTTTTTAAATTTAAGAGGTCTAGTGGCCTTCACGGTCACCTGAGATATGCAATATTGAATATAAAGGCTAAAGGATAGTTGTGAAGTGTCATGAAACTGAAATTCGGACACTGAATATAGACAGTGTCAACACATGCATTCCATCAAAACTGTCATCTATACTGATAGTTCTTATAAAGTTACTTCCCACGGAAATAACTAACATTCTGCTCAAAAATACTATTTTTTTTATGAAAATTACAGTAAAGTCCAAAAGAAGTATTCCTAGCCAGAAAAACATATGACTCATTTTGGTAATGAAAGCACCTTTAAATGCTTCCATACATGAAGAGTGTTTGATTCTACCATATCTGAGTGTTGAGAAGATGTTTGAAATTCAAGTCAAGTTGACCCCTTTGGCCCAGCCCATCAGTCCCTGGGGTCAATTAGGATAAAAATGGGCATACCATCAAGTCGTCATCCTTCACTCATAATTCTAACCAAGTCTGAAATATTTTCAATGGAAATTAAATTACACTTAAAAATCTAGTTTTCCTGTATAAACTATAGTAAACTTTACCCCATCCCCACAGTGATATGCGAGACCCTGGGAAAAATAAATTCACAATTTTGGTAAAGCACTTTAAGATGCTTCCATTCATGAAGAGTATTTAATTCTACCTTATCTGGGTCTTGAGAAAAAGATTTTTTTTAAATCTGAGTCAATTTGACTGCTTATGGTCCCATCCCTTAGGCCCCTGGGGGTAGTGGATGGTATAATTCACAATTTTGATTCATCTTAGGCAAGGGAAGGTTTCTGCAAAATTTCATTGAAATTGGATCTGGGGATTTTGAAAAAGAAGTCGAAAGTGTTAAATTGTTTACGGACGCATGACACTGGATGATGGGTATTATAATAGGTCACCATGATACTTTGTCTCAGGTGCCCTAAAAAACCAAGACACAAAGGGAAACCTAACAATGTCAAGAAAGAACCATGCAGTACTTACGAAACTCCAGAAAATAACGTCATGAGCCAAGAATTGTCAACATCAAAATGTGTGATCTTTACTGTAGTTTGCCAAAACTAGTAACAAAGGATCTCAAAGCAATCTCAAAATGAACAAAGATTTGACAATCAAACAGCAAGATAATTTAGCCACTTTATTTGGTTAAAATCCACTCAGATGTTCAGGAGGAGTAGCACTTCAAGCAAAATGTGAGCATACTTAACTAATTTCCTCATTTGGCACCTCCTCAATGTTACAAGAGGCATCATCGATTGTATTTTAGAAATGATCGTCATCCCCTTGTGATGGACAAAGAATGGTGTTAACGGGTCATCGTGACCTTAAGGGTCAGATGTGATTTGAACTTGTATTTTTCATAGCAACTTGTTATATAGCATTGATAATGTAATAGATGACGTCATTGAATATGGCTTTGATTGATTCCATGAGGGATGATTTGAGTTGCACTTCATACAATGCTTATATTTCAGATAAGACAGTTTGTTTTCAATATTTTGAACAAATCCAAAGTTTGTTCGTAACAGAACAAACCGGAAGGAGAGTTCGAGTGTTGGTTCAACTAAATAGGTTGAATTGTATATGAGCTTGTCAGGACAAGAACATCCATGTCTTGGTATAAGTAGCATCTCCAAGATCTCACAGGTGTCGTCCTGACCAGATGGCCTTATTGTAGGGTGCGTTTTGCAGGTTTCAGGTTTCAGGGATGATTTTGACTGCTGAGAGATGGAGAGAGAGAGAGAGAGAGTGGGGGGAGAGAGAGTGAGAGAAAGAGAAACAGAGATAGAGAGAAAGAGAAAGAGAGAGACAGAAAGAAAGAGAAAGAGTAAGAAAGAGGGAGAGAACGAAAGAGAGAGAGTGAGAAGGAGAGAGAGAACAAGAGAGAGAAAGAGAGAGAGTGAGAAGGAGAGAGAGAACGAGAGAGAGAGTGAGGTTAGAAACCTTTCTCATTTAATAAAATCAAAATAACATAAATGAGCATGTATTTGATTTTTAGTATTACTAATTCATGAAATACTTTTACATTTCAGGCCAGTTGATGCATACTGGCATTTATATGAATGTTTATAGTCGAGTCTGTTTAGATTAAAATTGGATATTCAAGAATTTGAATTAAACATTAAACTGAAACTGGAACTACAACTTATGTCAATTCATGAAGTATGTATCTACCTAACAAAATAGTTTATTGATGAAGTTCTTAGTTCATGAATTTAAAAAAACAAAAAAACGCGAGATCCCAGAGGGATCTTGGCGCCCACCATTGTTTGATCTTTTTATGTTTTTTGAATGTTGGATCTTTTTTCTGTTTTTGCTCTTAATAAAAAGACATTCAAACATTCCTTTGCAAAAATAGTGACGATAATATTTACCTCAATTACCTTTAATTCAAAATGGCCACCTGGAAGCTATTTTGCTTCTGATCAGTCCCAAAATCAAACATGCACAAGCAGAGACCAAAGTGAACATACGTATGGAATTTGAGAAATGGCTGCCTTCGGACATTTTTGTTTTTTCTAATCAGTACCTAAATCAAACTGGCACAACTAGGGACCTAAAGGAACCTATACAAGAAATTTGGGAAAGATCTATAGAGTAGTACTCAAGGAATAGTGATAACAAACTAAGGCACAACCTAGGATCAAGGAAAGCATACACAAGAAATTTGAGAAAGATCTATGTTGTAAATTCTAAAGAAATAGCGATAACTTTCAAAGATGTCCGTCTGCCAACCTTTTTTTTTCTGATCAGTCCCAAAATTACATCGGCACAACTATGGACCAAGGGCAACCTACATATGCAAGTTGAAAAAGATTCATCCAGTACTTCTCAAGAAATAGTGATGACAAAAATTGTTTACAGACGGACGACGGGCCTCGGATGCAGAGCGATCTGAATAGCCCACCATCTGATTATACCATCTATAAAAAAAACAGTATTGCTAATTCAATTCAGTTAAATAATTAGATAGTTCATGAACTGTGCAATGATTAGAGTTCCGAATGTTTCTAACTATTTTACTCATCAAACACATTCAGCAACTTTATTCCGTAGAAAATAGACTATTAGCAATTTTCATGGATAATTTACAAGGGCCTATAACCACATCGAAACAGTTGATGAAGAGTTTTATATCATGATTCTATGAAATTTTGTTCAACTGCATGATAGATGCATAGCTTTGTTCATTGTTTGGCTCTGCTGTATCTAATTCTAAATTTGTATAAGATGGTGCCATCCATCTTTTGTACAATCTTTGATATAAGAAGCCAGAAGATGTGAGATTTAGGCTAGCTGTAAAAGTTTCAACAAGAATTAAATATTTGAAAATCAAAAATTGAGTTATTTTGATATACATTATCAGGTTTTGTACATTTCGTTCATCTTAATTCTCAAGATCTGATACAGGTTTAGTAGGAAACATAATAAAATAGCTCCGCAAACGCGGGCAATACACCACAGCCTTATCACAAAGTTGGGTGCGGGGCTGAGATTGTGAAGAACCTCAATAGGCTGTGTAGGTCCATAGGCCCAACATGCCTAGTGAAAATGGTGATCGCTGGTGATGTCGTTCTTGAGATAATAAGCAGAATGCAAATTCAAGATGGCGGCCGTAACCGCCATATTGGATATCGGGCGACAACAAAAAACAACAGGGTTGTGTAGGTCTGTTGACCCGACATGCCCAGCGAAAATGGTGATCGCCGATGATGTCGTTCTGGAGATAATGAGCGGAATGCAATTGTGGACGGACGGACAGGCAGACAGACAGACGGACGGATGGCCTGACAGACAGTCGGACGCCGTGCGTGATCGCATTACCCTACACCCTTTCGGGATGTGGGGTAAAAAACTACAGCAAAATAAATATTAGTTGAAATAAGTTTTAAAATGTGTCTGATATCTCATCGTGTGATAATATTGGGTTACAGACAAATATAAAGAATTCTATTCAACAATCATTTTTATTAAAAATAAAATCACAAAAATATGTAATATCAAAATAAAGGCCATGATATTTCAAGCATAAGGATATAGTACATGTACAACGTATGCAATCACTGTAGGAATGGTATCAACTACGAAATTATCACCTTTAATATATAGATTAGTATTAAATTACTGTGAAAAATAAATTTTATATTACACAGTTTACAACTTTAACACTTGATATTAGTTCTGTAGAACTTTTATAACAACAAGCTGTTGTCTCCAAGTGGTTTCAGTTTTAAGAGGTTTTGCCGTTTTTCATTCAAGATAAAGAAAAACTATGATTAACTTGTTGTTTTTATGGTATCTGTTTTGTCTGTTTGTTATATCATCAAAAATACTCATATTTTAATGGACATCACTTGTACAAAATAAATCTACAGATCATTCTTACACAATTTCATTGATATCATTCAAAGGTTTTAGGAGTTATTAGTTCAAAATACCGGTAGATTCTAAAGCTGGCAGTAATGGCAACACTCTTAAGTTTCCTTTTTACTTAAAACACACAAGAAATCTATATGTACCCTGAATTGATTCAGATGACATTGCATCAAAATCTGTAAAGAAATGTTCACAAAAGATGCAAGACAGAAAATGATGGAGCCTCATAGCAATAAACTCACTTGAGCTTCAAACTCAGCTGAGCAAAAAATTAAACAGATACCACATAGATCTGCCATCCATATGGCCAAAGATCTCCAGCAGACCAGAAGCATTGCTTCAAATGATGTCAAAGGAAATTTTGATATCTCAACATCATACTCGGTCTTTTCCGCATAATCATTTCAATGACACTCCTTCAAAATTCCCAATATTATGGTCTACAAAGGGTAAGGTCAGAGCGTCAGGTCAGGACCTTTAACCTTGGTTCTGATGTTATGGAGTACAAAGCTGCTCTCCAAGTCTGTGTATTCTGTGATGTGATCAGAGCATCAGGTCAGGACCTTTAACCTTGGTTCTGCTGGTGGTGGACTACCAAGCTGCCTCTCCAAGTCTGTGTATTCAGCAATGTGATAAGAGCATCAGGTCAGGACCTTTAACCTTGGTTCTGATGTTATGGAGTACAAAGCTGCTCTCCAAGTCTGTGTATTCTGTGATGTGATCAGAGCATCAGGTCAGGACCTTTAACCTTGGTTCTGCTGGTGGTGGACTACCAAGCTGCCTCTCTAAGTCTGTGTATTCAGCAATATGATAAGAGCATCAGGTCATGACCTTTAACCTTGGTTCTGCTGGCGGTGGACTACCAAGCTGCCTCTCTAAGTCTGTGTATTCTGTGATTATTGAGCTGAGACAATCTAAGCTGTCAGAAAAGTCTGACAACTCCATACCATCTACATGAGTGTAATGGTGTATATGGGCCTGAAATACAATGAAATGTAGTGTTTTCAAAACAAATTATAAGCAATGCAACATGTTTTTATCTGACACCATATTGCAGACAAATTTTAAAACATTTTATCTCACCATGCTACTTAAGACATGTTAAAACAACTGCACCCACCTGGAAATACATGACACTTAAAACCATGCATGTTGTAACACTTGCCCCTCCCAAAGACATGACACTTAATACCAAGTCTGTTACAACAACAGCGCCCCCCCCCCCACCCCAAAGAGCTAACATTAAATGCCATGCATGTTATGACGAATGAACTCCCCCCCCCCAATACCTCCCCTCAAAGTAAAATTAAACACACTGAATCACAGACCTTGCGTTTGTAGAGTTTGACAAATCTGTCCTTCAGCTCAGTGAAGGTGTGATGGACACAGGTGTTGTTAGCGAGAGTCAGAAGAGAGTAAGGCTGACCAACTGGAGCCACAGAACACAGACCAGTCTTCCAGCCTTCCTGGTTCCAATGAATGAACTGTAGATTTGGTTTCAATCTGTATTATACAATGACAATCAAAGTCTGCAGGGTAAACATGAAGAAAAAATTTGCAAAGAAAACTTAGTCATCAGAAGGTGTGCTTAAACCAACATATCTACTTATGGAATCATATGGACATAGATGTCAAGGTAAATAGATATAGCAATCATTTACTACAGTGGGATACCCCCAGAGTACAGGAAGTTAAGTATTACCTACACTGGGATACCACCTAGAGTACAGGAAGTCAAGCATTACCTACACTGGGATACCCCCCAGAGTACAGGAAGTTAAGTATTACCTACACTGAGATACCCCCTACAGTACAGGAAGTTAAGTATTACCTACACTGGGATACCCCCTAGAGTACAGGAAGTTAAGTATTACCTACACTGGGATACCCCCTAGAGTACAGGAAGCTAAGTATTACCTACACTGGGATACTCCTCAGAGTACAGGAAGTTAAGTATTACCTACACTGGGATACCCCCTAGAGTACAGGAAGTCAAGCATTACCTACACTGGGATACCCCCTAGAGTACAGGAAGTCAAGTATTACCTACACTGGGATACCCCCCAGAGTACAGGAAGTCAAGTATTACACCTACACTGGGATACCCCCTAGAGTACAGGAAGTTAAGTATTACCTACACTGGGATACCCCCTAGAGTACAGGAAGTCAAGTATTACCTGCACTGGAATACCCCCTAGAGTACAGGAAGTCAAGTATTACCTACACTGGGATACCCCTTAGAGTACAAATGTGAGAAATATCAGTCATGTCTGTATATTCCTTGTTGAATGGTGTTTCTTAAAGGAATATTCCATCGATGTTGCAAAATGTCTTAAAACTTTTGTTAGCATCAACATAATCCCAGAAGAATCCCAGCTAATATAAATGTAACAGTGTAAACATAAGGCATAAGGAAATCTGGAACTGAAGGACCACTGGATCACTAATTCTTTGCAGTGTTATAGGTAAGTACACAAGCATGTATGCTGTTCATTAAAATTTTTGCTGGGGTTGCAATTTTCTTACTTCATTAGGCTTATTTTCTTTTGACCTCATAATTTACACCAATATTTCATTCTGTTCAGCTAATAACAACTCAAATCTGCAATAAGGGCCACGTAGATGTTTGTTAATCAATCTAGCTAGATCTACAAAGACTTTCGGCAAATTAAATATCACACGTTTATTTAAGTGGTAAATTGAGGTGTACAACTTCCATGAAAACATACATAGATCATTTTGTAAAATTTTCTTCAAAACCATCTGATGAAATCATAGCTTCTCTACAGGAATAATTTACATCACAATTTAAAGACTGATTATTAAATGTATTAAGTCATTTTCAATTTGGCCACTGTGTTTTACCTGTCAATGTTTCTCCTGACGTCAGAAATTTCCACATTGCCTCTGACCATTAAGGCACATGCTAAGTAAAGGCTACGCTTGGGGTCTGTACGTAATAGTTGATGGTCTTTAGAGAATGCATCTGAGAACATCTGGTCGAGTCTGGAAATTGATGTATTTTCCTCAAAGTTAAAAAACAGATTCTACCATCTAAGCTAAGTGTGATATGATTCTACAAAGTTTTTTTGATTGTCATAATAAATGTAAATTCATAGTAACGGTTGACCAGAAATCACAGCAGCAGTTCTCTACAAGAGGCCCAATGGGCCTGCATTACCATCTGCATTGTCATTTCTAATTTTAACAAATTTGATTCCTGTGACAATGAATATCAGTCACGGTAATTTCATTTTGCAAACTTGCTTTATCCCAGGAATCTCCCTGCTTAACATCATGATTCCAGGCCTTTTGTTTATTGAGAAGTTGTCTGAAGGTTTAAACAAATTTGACACCTGTGGCTATGGATATAGGTCAAGGTCATTTCTCTTTGCAAATGTTGTTAACCTTCATTCAAGGAACCTTCCAGCCAAATATTATAATTCTAATCCTTTTCAATATTAAGAAATTGTATAAATGGAAAAGCTGATTCCATCCAGAGGCCAGTTCCTGGCTGTAACACAAACAAACCTTTGAGCCAGGAGAGCTAATAACTCATTGAAAGTTTCATTGAAATGAATTTAATACAATTTGAACAGATCAATCTAGGTAATTTCAACCAAAAATATAAGTAATCTAAAGATATATTCCACAACAGGTGGGTGTAATGATTTTGTAAGAAGATGATGCAACTTAAGTCCTTCCATCAGCTTAGGGAGACAGCTAAGCTTAAGCAGAGTAAATATGAGGAAATTACTACTGACCTTCTGATGGGGAAGCTTAGGGAGACACTAAACCTTTAGCAAAGTAAATATGAGAGAATTACTTTTGACCTACTAGGGGAAAGCTTAGGGAGACACTAAACCTTTAGCAAAGTAGATATGAGAGAATTACTTTTGACCTACTAGGGGAAAGCTTAGGGAGACACTAAACCTTTAGCAAAGTAGATATGAGAGAATTACTACTGACCTTGTGGGGGGAAGCTTAGGGAGATAGCAAACCTTTAGCAAAGTAGATATGAGAGAATTACTACTGACCTTGTGGGGGGAAGCTTAGGGAGATAGCAAACCTTTAGCAAAGTAGATATGAGAGAATTACTACTGACCTTGTGGGGGGAAGCTTAGGGAGATAGCAAACCTTTAGCAAAGTAGATATGAGAGAATTACTACTGACCTTGTGGGGGGAAGCTTAGGGAGATAGCATACCTTTAGCAAAGTAGATATGAGAGAATTACTACTGACCTTCTGGGAGGCAGCTTCACATCAGCTATGGCATAGAGTGGCGATTGACTGGAAACAAGGTAATGTAGTCGTGGAAATGGAACCAGGTTCATTGTTATCTCATTCAAATCCACATTTAGGGAACCCTCAAACCTAGCAGAACTGTAAACAAAGTAGCACACCAATTTTACGAACATTTTTGTTTTTGTTTCTAAGATGCATTAGAACAGCCTACATATGTTATATAATAGTATTACAGCATCCTATTAGTACACCAGATGCATCAGCAAACTTAACACAAATGCATCAGGACAAAGATTTCGTTATATCCAGAATTAACAAGCTTATGAAGTTAACTTCTAGCACACCAGTTTTCAGCCAATCTTGTCATCTCCCTTTAATGCTGCATGATGCAGTGACATAACACAGGATCTCATTGTTCATCTGTCAATTTAATAGGGGATGTGTTAAATGAGTCCAAGAATGTTTCTATTTAACATGCCTTTGTTGAGTTGAAATTAAAACCTTGTAGAGTTTCATGAATCACATTAGAAATGTTAACAAATTTAAATTTAATATCCTTCTTATCAGGCTATTATATTTCTTTAACTTTTTTCAACAAGTTTCATGCATGTTGTAGAAATTAAAAGGAAAATATGTCTAAGACACAGCTTGTTGTTTTGATCTAAGGGCCATAACTCTGTATAAATGTCCAGCATCACATTCCACTAAATGTATCTATCGTGTAATAAGCCTAGTGGATCAATTAATGTTCCCTTATTGAATGTGAGGGGGTGGGCTTATTACAAGAGAGTGATGAACAAGAAAGTTCAAAAGGCCAACACATATTGTCTTATTCTGTGTGAGGAGGTGGGCTTATTACAGGAGAGTGACCAACAATAAATCCCATGAGCCAACAACTTAATTCTTACTCTTAGTCAAGGATTAGGCATATAACATGACAATTAAATAGTACTTAATGATATAAAAATGTTATAAGGCTTATTGCCAGGTATTGGCATATTGACAAATAAATTTTAATTATTTAATTATAAACACCTGGTCACCATGGTGAATGGTTTACAAGTCTACAGTATCTATATGTATATCTATATATATCTATATATATCTATATATCACCTGGTCATATTCAGAAGTAGGTTAGCCACAATGTTGTTCATACTGTCAAATGGCCGCTCCTCCACCTTAGAGACCATACCTCCTTCTCCTGTTGTAATAGCACTACCAGCCTTCATGCTCTCAGACAGCCCTGAAAAGGTTTTTTTACCAGTTTTCAAAGACGGCACAGAATTTCCAACCTTGTTCACTATGTCCATCAGTGCCTGACAAAAGTGGAAATACATATACAGATTGTTACATGTGACCAATCTCAGGACCAGTAGATTAATTTCAATACCTTTATCATTGATTTATAACAATTCAGAACTTCAGCAATGGTTGTTGAATGTGTTTCCATTAAACTATTTAATATCTCATGTTTGGAATGTAGGGATGTTGCCATCAAGAGATGGAAAATTCAAAATAGGGAAATTGAAATGATTATGTTTGCTGTTGATGGATAGCTGTCCTCGTTGTAAAAAAGAGGTGTTGCTAAGGAAAACCATAACTGAACAATCATATTACAAAATGGCAGCTGTGGTAGCAGCCATGAGGATAAAATATCACGATTCAGTTCAGAGGAACCAGTTGAACTGTGGAAGAAATTTAAAAGTAGTTTCTCAATATGGTGGCAACAGTAGCTACATGTACACTGTATAATTGATTTAGTAACAACCTCAAAGTAACAAGATATTTTCTGGACAATCTCAAAGTAATGTCAGCCCATATGATCTGCCATCTAATTTTCCAGTCAGATAACAGGAAAGGTAACTAATAGATGTTACTGTACTGACAACAGGATAATTATTAAATTGTTACACTGATAACAAAATAATCATGTGACAAATCTATTTTTAAACTTAAAGCATTTATTCAAAGAGATCTTTTAACCTCACATTAATATAAATGTTACCTTAATTCTACAGGTAAATTATTATCAGATTTTAGGTAAATTATTGTCAAATTTTGTTTATTCTTATTAGTTGTCTACAGATCAATCACTTTCCCATTTTGTGTAATTTTGCCGGTTTGCTATAGTTAAATGACTATCTAATTTCTGTGTAAGTTTACCAGTTTGCTATAGTTAAATGACTATCTAATTTCTGTGTAAGTTTACCAGTTTGCTATAGTTAAATGACTATCTAATTTCTGTGTAAGTTTACCAGTTTGCTATAGTTAAATGACTATCTAATTTCTGTGTAAGTTTACCAGTTTGCTATAGTTAAATGACTATCTAATTTCTGTGTAAGTTTACCTGTTCTCTACAGGTACATCATTATCAGATTTCTATGTAAACCCAATCCCTAACCCTAACCTGTTATCTACAGGTACAATGTAAGTCATTTAAACAAATGAATATTTACTTGTTATCTTATCATAGATCTGAGCTCTGTGCATGAAAACTATTATCTGTTTTCCCTTTTGTATTATTTAATTCTTCAGATAGAATCCATGTCATAAGAAATTTTACCTGGTTCTCCACTGGTAAGACACAATCAGCCTTTTCTGTTAGCTCTCTCATAGCAAGTACACTGTTGTAAGGGGATGTTATCACATCATCTTCTGCTGAAGGGTAAACAGCAGTAACAAACCTAAAATTGTTTTAAAAATGAAGTGTACTTTGACAACAATTTGACCAATTTCATGACTTATACCTTGATCTGAGACCTGCAGGAGTGATGCCTAATACACAGCATTGACAGCTTAACATCACAGCATTGACAGATTAACATCACAACATTGACAGATAAACATCACAGCATTGACAGATTAACATCACAACACTGACAGATTAACATGACAACATTGACAGATTAACATCACAACATTGACAGATTAACATCACAACATTGACAGATTAACATCACAACATTGACAGATAAACATCACAGCATTGATAGATTGACATCAAAACATTGACAGATTAACATCACAGCATTGACAGATTGACATCAAAACATTGACAGATTAACATCACAACATTGACAGATTAACATCACAACATTGACAGATTAACATCACAACATTGACAGATTAACATCACAACATTGACAGATTAACATCACAACATTGACAGATTAACATCACAACATTGACAGATAAACATCACAGCATTGATAGATTGACATCAAAACATTGACAGATAAACATCACAGCATTGACAGATAAACATCACAACATTGACAGATTAATATCACAGCATTGACAGATTGACATCACAACATTGACAGATTAACATCACAGCATTGACAGCTTAACATCACAGCATTGACAGCTTAACATCACAACATTGACAGACTGACATCAAAACATTGACAGATTAACATCACAGCATTGACAGATAAACATCACAGCATTGACAGATAAACATCACAGCATTGACAGATTAACATCACAGCATTGACAGATAAACATCACAACATTGACAGATTAACATCACAGCATTGACAGATTGACATCACAGCATTGACAGATAAACATCACAACATTGACAGATAAACATCACAACATTGACAGATTAACATCACAACATTGGCAGCTTAACATCACAGCAATGACAGATTAACGACAGATTAACATCACAGCATTGACAGATTAACATCACAGCATTGACAGATAAACATCACAGCATTGACAGATAAACATCACAACATTGACAGATTGACATCACAGCATTGACAGATAAACATCACAACATTGACAGATAAACATCACAACATTGACAGATTAACATCACAACATTGACAGCTGAACATCACAGCATTGACAGATTAACGACAGATTAACATCACAGCATTGACAGATTAACATCACAGCATTGACAGATTGACATCACAGCATTAACAGATTAACATCAACAAAAACAGGATAAGCTCTTGTGTCATATGATTTCATATTTGGACAAAACATTTATCTGTTTTCATTTGCAGCAATAAGAAATGAAAAATAGTTGATGAAGACTGGTTGATGAATGTGTGAAGAAGAATTTGATAAATTAATGAAGAATTGACAATGATGAATGGGTGATAAAGACTGGGCAATCAATGAAGACCAATACTTTGTGATGAAGAAAAGATCATGAAAAATGTTTGGTGAAGACTATCAATCCATGAAGGATGGGCAATGAAGACTGTGATTATGCCTGTTAAGTGGGACTGTGTGATGAAGCTTGGCAATGAAGACTGTGTGATGAAGGCTTGGCAATGAAGACAGTGTGATGAAGCTTGGCAATGAAGACTGTGTGATGAAGGCTTGGCAATGAAGACTGTGTGATGAAGCCTTGGCAATGAAGACTGTGTGATGAAGCCTTGGCAATGAAGACAGTGTGATGAAGCTTGGCAATGAAGACAGTGTGATGAAGGCTTGGCACTGAAGACTGTGTGATGAAGCTTGTTAATGAAGACTGTGTGATGAAGCTTGGCAATGAAGACTGTGTGATGAAGCCTGGCAATGAAGACTGTGTGATGAAGCCTGGCCAATGAAGACTGTGTGATGAAGCTTGTTAATGAAGACTGTGTGATGAAGCCTGGCCAATGAAGACATGTGATGAAGCCTGGACAATAAAGACTATGTGATGAAGTCTGGGCAATGAAGACTGTGTGATGAAGCCTGGGCAATGAAGACTGTGATAAAGCCTGGGTGTTGAAGACAGTGTGATAATTCCTGAACAATGAAGAGTGAGTGATGAAACCTGTTAATGAAGACTGTGTGATGAAGCGTGAGCAATGATAACTTTGTGATGAAGACAGTGGGTGATAAAAACAGAAATATGCATGTCCAAGACCTCTATTTGAATGCAGCCCATCCTACTTACCTGTTAACTGAATTTTGTGCAGTGATCAGTCAAACAATTGCTTTAAACATTCTATATACATAAACATTTTCTTCACATTGCGAAAACAATTATGGTATTAGGATACAGGACATCCCAGAAGACCCTGTATGCGATTATCAGTATTGGTTCACTAGGAAATAACACAAAGACAGATTTTCACAACAGATAGAAACAGCTAGGTTCATCACCTTTAACAATTATCTTGTTAACATACTCTTGCATATGTGGTCCAGCGGAGACATTTCTAGATGGCAGTGATGAAACATACTGTACAATAGCTTTAGTACCTTCATTCTCACTCCCATTGGTGTAGTCTTTCTCCAATGGAGATCTCATGACATTTATGTTGAATATTAATTGATTAAAACTGAGAATCGGAAGTAGGTAGGATGTCTTAGCTAGGCTGATTTTTCAGTTTAAATGCTTGCCTATGTTCATAAAGGTGAAGGTGATTAATGCTTCTGCTAAAAGTGTGTAATGATTCAGTAAAAATTCAAGCTGGATCTATCCAGTACTTCTCAAGAAATAGCAATAATAAACTTCATGGTAAAAATTCAAGAGCAGCCCACCATTATCAAAAATGGCCACATATGACATATGTGCACAACTACAGGACTTAATAGTTATTATGAGATTTTTTTAATGGACAGAGATGGATGGATGAGACTTCTTTTATAACAGTTCCTGTAATACTAAACCAAACTAAAATTGTTTACTGGTACATGAATGCTATTCTTCAATTACTTAAAAATGTATTTAACATTTCAGAGTGTTTTTTTATGTACCATATAATTACAGTAGATTGATATATAATTATTATCGTTTACCTGTATATATCTGGATACTCCTCTTCCAACAGGTTCAAAATGAAAGTACCCACTCCAGAACCGGTACCTGTCAAAATAAAATTGATTGCTTCAGCAAGACATAACTTCCATTGCTCTCTACATCTAATGAACAAATGCTTGTCATTCAACCTGTCCTGGCTTTGACAGTATTATTATTGAATTCTCTAAGTTATGTGTAAAGGACTAGACAACATGTCACCCAAAATCCTAAGGATCACTGGTGATGTTATGAGGAGGCCTAGCACCAGTCTGGCAAATAGCATGTTACAAAGTGGGGGATTTCCCGAACAGCTAAAAAAAGTCAGGGTATACCCGATCTACAAGAAAGAAACTGTTGTAGATAAAAAGAATTATCACCCAGTGAGCATTCCACCTGCCGTTTCCAAAATACTTGAAAGGCCAATTAGTAATCAACTTGCGAGCTATTTCAGCAGCATACTCCATCCATACCGTATTCAGAAAGCGATACAGTTGTCACTCAACACTGTTGGCACTCAATGAAGAGTGACAGATAGCCTTGGACAGCAACAATTCTGTTACAGCCATATCAATGGACTTGTACATGACCTCTGACTGTGTCCACCATGGACTTTTATTGGAAAAGTTGAAGGCATATGTACTGGGAGATCTTGCTATAAACTAATTGCGAGTTACACGACTGGTAGAAACAACGCGTTCGAGTAGGCTGCAGATAACAATACACTTACCCATTTTAATAAGAATTTAAACATTTTATAAGAAACTCTGCAAAACAAATGTATAACCATGACTGATTGGTTTACAAACAATAAAATGAAAGCTAATCCTGATGAATTTCAAGCAAGGTGTAGGCAAGAAAACAGAAAAAGAGGACATTGTTTTTAGTACAAATGACATTCAGATCATAAAATGTAAAACTTTTCGGTGTTTCTTTTTAAATTTTGACATCCACATTAAACACATTTGTTCCAAAGCCTCCTGACAAATAAATGTCCTGGCGCGAGTTGCTAAAGATTTGACAAATATAAGGGCCAAAGGCTATTTGCACAGCTTTCATTTTATCAAATTTTAATTTTTGCCCACTCATATGGCATTTCTCCTCAAAAGCAAACACCCAAAAGTTAGAGCGAATTAATTTTTGAACATTTAAGCTTGTTTTATCAAGATTTTTATTCATCATAATATTATGAAGGACTTTTAGCAAAATGTAACCATTGTACACTAGAAATAAATTGAATCAGAACTTTTGCTATTGAAACTTTTAAAATTTCACAAGGCTTTCACCATGCTATCATAATGATTTTATTCGTATAAAACCTTCCAATTGTACTTTCAGATATTTCTAGAATTTGAGACCTATCAAGTATGAAGGTAGTAAGGTATGGAACAAATAGTTTTTGGTATCTTGCTACAAGTATCTGGAATTCCCTGCCTGACCACATGTTCAAAATTACTTCTTTTAATGAATTGAAAATGGTGATCGGGCAGAGGAATGGAAAGACTTGCACAGGTGCAGCTTGTAGATGATATTATCTTCTACTTTTGTTTTTGTTTTAGATTAGCAAGATATCAATTTACTTTGCTTATTTAAATTTTTGTTGCTTAAAGTTATATATTTGCTTAATTCAAACTTTTGCTTAATTTAAATGTCTACATATTCAATTTACTTTGATTGACCTATGCATTAATTTTAACTTAACCTGTCTTATGTTAATCTTATATCAATGTAAGTGTTTCGTTGCTTTAATAGTATGCTATATGCTTACGCTTTAATCCTAATTAACCAGCGCCATCTTATATGCTTTTGCGTGTATGCATGCTGTTTTGATATTTTACATATGTTAACAGTCGGTTGTAAAAGTCTTTGACTTGTGTTGATTGTTATGTGTATGTACCGACTTAGAATAAAATGTTACTTGACTTGACAATACGATTACCCCTAAAAGGCCCCAATTACGGGCCAGGTGAGTCAAATTCATGCGAACTCTTTAGTCATTCGGCTGTTCAAAATGCCTCCTCATTTGCAATGGTGGAATTCTTTGATGCAATGGTATGACTTTGATATATGAAAAACTGTGTATTATCGAATAAATATTTTTTTCCAACAAGCTCATTAATTTTTATCTTAAAATGACATAAACTTTCACAACTTTCATTAACTCAATACAGAAGGGAGTGAATTGTAAAAGCGTAACTTCCTCCTCTGTATAAACAAACTTGGGAACGTTAGGAAAAAGAAAGGAGAACCGCGCAAATGGCAAATCGGGCAGCTTCAGCGATGAGTTTGCGGTCCCAGATCAAAGAGAACTATTTAACATGTGCCATATGTTTCAATCCGTTTGACAGACCGAAAGCCTTGCCATGTTTACACACATTCTGTCTAGACTGTCTACGAGATTTTGTCACGAGTCGGGGATACGAAAACATGGGTAAGTTTCCTTGTCCCGTATGTAGAGAAGACACCACTTTGCTACCACAAGGTGTGAACGGATTTCCCGATAATTATTACATAACCAGTCTAAAAGACACGGTAGAAAAACCTGCACGACCTGCTCCGCCTCGTCCAGACGGCGATCCCATGGGTTTTGCTTCCCGACCCTACAACGCCTCAGCACCTGTGCCTACTAGACCCCCTGACCCAGTGCCTCCAAGACCCCAAGCCCCTGTCTCTATTAGATCTCCGACTACGGCTGAAGGAAACTGGGAACAGGTTCCATCTAGTGGGCCTGAACTGCTATATCCGAGTGTTCCAGACATCGCGAAAGTACCCGAAACACCCTCCCCTCCCTGTGATCAGTCTGGACTACCATGTACAGCAGGCATGCTGCTCAAATTTGGGAAATGGGCTTCAACGATAAATGATTTTCATAAACCCTATGGGTTAGCAGTCGGCAGGAATGATGAGTTTGTTATCACGGATCGAGGCACTGAATATGCTAATAGAGTTTTAGTCTTTTCAAAATCTGGTGAACTCCTATCAAGATTTTCTTGTTCAGGACAACATACAAAATTTGCCTGTGCTGCAATGACGCGTGAGAACAATATCATGGTCGCCATCAACAATACGCCAGGAAACGCCATTATGCAGGAGTATAACTTTGACGGCAAATTGTTAAAATCTTACGGAGAATTCTATCGCCACGATAAACCGAGTGGAATTGCTATTTCTTCCAGAAATCATGTTGCAATAACAAATCTTGTGGGACATAATGTTCTGCTGTTCACAGATCAGCGGAAGTTCTCCACGAAATTTGGCTGGAAAGGCTCGGGAGACAATCATTTCATGTTTCCACAATTTGTTGTTTTTAATCATAAAGACTACATCATAGTGAGTGACTCTGGAAATGACTGTATCAAAGTATTTGATTCAACTGGAAACTTCAAACGAAAGTTTGGTGAACCTGGAAGTGCTTCAGGATGTTTATCATTACCAATGGGCATTGCAGTCGACGAGAGGAACAATATTATTGTAGCAGATGCAGGAAATTTTCGTGTGGAAATTTTTACATCAAAGGGACAACACATACGTACACTTGTGAAGGACACTGATCTGATCAGCCCAGATGTGAAACCTTTAAATGTTGCAGTAACTAAGGGAAACAATATTGCTGTTTTGTTCAGTGGGCCACAGTTCGCGGAAGTCAGAGTGTACAGTTGGGGTGGGGGAAGTTCAATCTAGAATCTTAATAAATAACGATAGTGAAATCTACACCATCCTCTAATAGATGAGACATTTGTGATATATATTAGAATATAGTGATATGTAAAAAGTCAATAATTATTTAAATCTGAATATTGAAGATTTTGAATTGTAAAATTTTGAACTTTTGAAATTGAACATGCACAGAGTACTAAGGTATGCATTGTGCGTCAAGATAATTTTGTTGTCTTTTCAACCAGTTGTAATGTTTGGTTATATGACGGCTTAGCGCCTCTAATTTAGAGGTATCTACTTATCCCTCAGCAAGATTTTGATGGTTTTTGCATATTAATGCTACTAAATTGTAGAAGAAATCCTTTTTTGTTAATAAAAAAACGTCTTGAGCAAAATTAAATCGATTATCGAATAATAAAAAACTCATAGGACAATACACAATATTTTTCTAACCATCAGTCATCAGTGTTAACTGAAGATGTTGATCAGATGGAGTGAAACATTTTCAATTTTCTGGACAAAAAATTACAATGTAACATTTACTGTTTTTTAAGAATCAGCCAATTTTCAAAATTATAACTCAGTATGTGAACACAAACGACTGTAAACAGATGTGATATATCCTTTATCTGCTGTAAATTAACTGGAGTTATCTTTGAAAATACATCAAAAACAATTCAAAAATAGGTATACAGTGTTATTGTTCAGACAGTAAATGTCATTTTCTGTACATATTATAAATCTCTTTTATGTTGTAAAATCACAGTTATAAATATTTCCATGTTCTGAAGTAATCCAAGGGATGGCCTGCCTTATAGTTAGATGTAAAGCGTGATGATTGGCCAAACCACTCTAGCTCATCTTCTTTCTAAACCTAAATCTTACGCTTTTTTGCTACTACTGTAATGGAGTATTGTCAAATATCGTTTGCACTACATGTAAAAATTTTAGTTTAACTGTAATTATGTAATCCCTGCCATATTTTACAGTTTAGAGTAATTAGAATAAGTTCAATTTGCAGATCTTGTCAAGGTCAAAAATAAATGAATGATTTTGGATACCGGTACCTTTTCAAGTCAAACTTCCTGCTGCAACCTACCTGTATATCACTATTGGTCCATTACACACTACCTTGATGAGTAATCAGTATATATGACCTTAATGTCTCAGATTGGTGGTCATCTACTATATATACATGCGACATCTCAAGTTTCATATATGCAGAAGTTACAAGTAAAATTGTATTCATGTGATTTAATAATTGTACTACACATTTTTTTTTTACCCCGAAGAGTGTAGGTTTGTTACAAGATCTTAATCCAATTAAACAACATTATTAACGCCTTTTCCTATTATTACGCTTGTATAGCATTAGAAGGCTTTACAAAATTGAATTTTACATGAAACATTGGCATTGTTGAGAGAAAGAGAGAGAAGTTGTAAATCAGTTGACTTTGTTGAAGTTTTTTTTTCTTTTACACTGAAGTAACTCGGCTGTAAAATTTATATCATAGGCTATTATTAGATAATAGAAGGTTAGTGATTTTGGTCCTAAAAAAATGTCCTCATGTCTTTCTCATGCTGAAAGACTACATGATGTTTATGGTACATTAATACTGTAGGATTTATATGAACCTCAGAATTATTAAAAATTCAGTGGAATGAATGCATACTGAGAATGTTATCTACAATGTATGCTTAAACGAGATCTTTAACAGACAAAAAAGGCACAATTTTGCCCTGCATATATTTGCCAGGTCTTCATATATAATTGTAAAGAAAGACTTCTAAACATCAAAATAAATGTTAGTTAAGTTTCATTTGATGAATCTTCATTCTGTTTTCGAAATTCTAGACATGGCCCTTTTTTAATGATTTGGTGACATTACTCAAATGGTTGTGATTTTCTCAAGTTTTCAGCCCACCATCATTGGATCAGGTGGATTATTCAAGTCACTCTACACCCATAAACAATTTTTTTATCGTTGATATTTTTGGAGAAGTACAGGATTGGTCTCTCTCAATTTTCATTTGTGGGTTCCCCTTGGTCTGTAGTTGTGCCGGTGTGATTTTTGGACTGATGAGAAAATCAGAATGGCCGACAAGTGGCCATCTTGGATTATGACTATGAAAGTTTATTACCACTATTTCTTGAGAAGTACTGTACGGATCATTTCCCTCAAGTTTAATTTGTAGGTCCCCTTTGTCTGTAGTTGGCCACTTTGATTTTGGGACTGATCAGAAACAAGAAATGGTTGACAGGAGGCCATCTTAGATGTTGACAATGACAGTTTGTTATCACTATTTCTTGAGAAGTACTGGATGGATCTTTCTCTAATTTCGTTTCTAGAGTTCCTTTGGTCCTTGGTTGTGAGGGTTTGATTTTGGAGCTCATCAGGATAACAAAATGGCTGACAGACAGCCAGTTTTGATTTTGACAATGAAAGCTTCTTATGTCTATTTTTGAGAAGCACTGGATTTTGGGACTGATTATAAAGTAAACAAATGTGGCTGACTGGTGACCATCTTGGATTTAGCATTAAAGATTATTTTCACTATTCCTTGAGAGGAATTTTGAAATCTCATATAACTACAAATGTAAGAACAAAAATAGTGGAGAAGAGAATATGGAAAGATTCAATTTTTGAAGAATAAATGACAATCAATTGATGGTGCCCAATATCCCTTTGGGGTCTCTTCTTAGTAATAGGTTGAACATGCTAAATTCTGCAAACTAATGTATATAGTAATGAAACATTAACAGCTGATTTGTTGACTTGTTGGTATTGGTGTGTAATGATATAAAATTTCGTTGCCATTTTTTGTCTTTCCTTTTGTTATTTTTTTGTCATATTGCCGACTTTCAGTTCATAAATGATGAGTTACTGGCAATGTTAAATAGATATTTTTTTGCCTAGGATTCATTATTTTAGTAGAAAACATGACAGGATCGTTGTGAATCATTTATTTTTTATCAGAGACAAATCAAATACTTAAATACTGTAGATATATTTAATTGATTTATTTTACAAATTCAAACTGATGCAAGTTTCCTGGTAGTGGTATTTTTAAGTGCCTTAAAATCTTTACATTTTTAATTCACTTGTAACTGCTGAATCACTTAAAACTTTGTCTTTGTCAGGACATAAAATAATCTCTTGTCTAAAATGAGATTTAAAAAGCTGATACCATATAAATAAAAACTATTTATCAGAAGGATGATTGTGCCACAATGCAGAAGAATAGGAAACAAAAAAGATAGATATAAACAATCACTACTGAGTGATGTAGACAAAGGTATCTTGACCTGTTAGTTTTAAGGTTTTGTCCAAGGAGTGACTATTGTTTAAGTTTGAAAATATCATACAATTGGTCAAGATAACTCAGTCCACATAACACAGAAGTGACAGATTCCTCCTGCACTTTCCAGTTGTAAAATGGATTTTATATCCCTGTCAAGAACTATATATACATATATTATTTAAACCATCATCAATGGAGTGTGTTGAAATTGATCAGTTCCATTATCTAATTGCAATATTGTTGAACCACATAAAGTGAACTGTCTGTATTTTAGTGAAAGATTGATTTATCTTGACCTTCTTACACCTGAAAAGTGTGGAAGAAATTCTCATGTGGTTCAGACACGTAAATGTTCAGAAATAATGGTATAATGAAGTTACTGCTAAGAATTCTGTGAATTCCCTGTACTGATGTAGTTATGTGTCTTTGTATTTATTTGATGGTTGTTTTTCATGTTCAATAAATATTTACCACAATTTTAATTGAATTTATTTATATATTTATATTGACTGGTAATAAGCCAGGCCATATCTACTGTTACTCAGTAGAGTCACTGACTGGTAATAAGTCCGACCATATCTATTGTTACTCAGTAGAGTCACTGACTGGTAATAAGTCCAACCATAACTATTGTTACTCAGTAGAGTCACTGACTGGTGATAAGTCTGACCATATTAATAGATACTCAGTAGAGTCACTGACTGGTAATAAGTCTGACCATATTAATAGTTACTCAGTAGAGTCACTGACTGGTAATAAGTCTGACCATATTAATAGTTACTCAGTAGAGTCACTGACTGGTAATAAGCTTAATCATACCTTTTACTAACCCAGGATTCCAGGTTTTAAGTAAGAGTTATGGAATGAAACATTTAGCCTACCCAAGGGTGCCAGGTTTTGTTAGAGGTTATCTCAGTAAAATGTCTATTCTAACCTAGGACTCCAGGTTTTGCTTTGGGTTGGGAGTTATTCTAGTGAAATATTTACACCAGCTTAGAACTCCCAGGTTTGTTTAGGAATTTAATAACAAAACATTCAAACTAATTTAAAATTTTTTCCATGACTGCTGAAGTGTTTTAATAGATGCACCTTATGCTGGCTAAACTTTAGAAAATGATAAGTGAATTCCACTTGACATATGTATATACGATATCTCCAGTATGTACTAACATGTGACAGGAGAATTATATATTTATATATACCAAATGTGAACCAGATCACAACAAAACAAAGTGTACATCAACTTTGTTTGTTCCACTGTGTGGGCTTGTGTGTTTGTCTAACTAGAATCTTTTGTTGAAGTTTTGTTTTATAGATCAAAGAGAAAAAATGTCTACTTGTAAGAATTACACATAGTGAAACACCATCACTGGAAATGAGTTCCATCAGATTCAATTTTAGAATAACACGTACTCAAAATCCGGATATTTCAAAGTATTCTTAACACTTCCGTTAATTTGGATATGTATTGACATTTATCCTCAAATGTAAATTTTCTCACCTCCTCCCATGGAATGGATGACAAAGAAACACTGGAGACAATCACAAAACTCTGCTGCCCTTCGAATCACATCGGTCAGTTTCTCCTTGTACTGGGTACCATACATCTTGTGACCAACAGCCCTTGATAAAGAAGTACATTAAAAATAAAACACATTTGACTGATGTCAAAAACAAATCCGGTAATTTTCACTAATGATTTTCATCCGACAGTTAGACTAGGAAACCAACATGTTATTTCTTAGTCAATGTTAGGAGCTTATAAAAGAACACTGGAAAAACACAGAACTATAATTTTACTATTTTATCTTAAATGGAAATCAATACAATGATAAAAACAAGTCTTTTTTTTTTAAATGAGAGACACAGCTATTCTCCAGATGTGTCCGATCTCTGTATTTTGTAAAACACAGAAACACATTCACATTCAATAATTTGTTCCTATAATACCCTCTTGACTAGAATCCCTTCATTTTTGTCATCTTTACTAAAGTCAAATTTTCCTGTCTAAAATAATACAGCAAGATCGGTGTGAACATGAAATAACTTAATCATTTGGCTCTAAATTTGTATTAAAATGTGCTATTGACTTTCATGTCTTTTGTACAATTTTCTTACCAATTGTTTCCTGCACCCGATACGTCTGTGATGAGTTGTTGGAAGTCAAACACTTCCTTAAGGGGTCCCTTCATCATCTCATTAACTACTCCTTCCTCCATATCCACTAATACAGCCTACAGTATAAAGTCTTATAGATTTATATAACCTGTGTAATGAAAAAGAAACTCCTAAACCCAAGGGTAAGGAGAGTCTCAGATTCAGAGACTCAAAGGAGACTCTCAACTCAAGGGTTAGACGACTCTCACCCTGATGGTGAGGAGATTCTGAACTTGAGGGTAAGGAGACTCTCAACCCGAGGGTAAGGAGACTTTCAACCCGAGGGTAAGGTGACTTTCAACCCAAGGGTAAGGAGACTTCCAACCCCAGGGTAAGGGGACTTTCAACCCAAGGGTAAGGAGACTTTCAACCCCAGGGTAAGGAGACTTTCAACCCTACAGTAAGGAGACTTTCAACCCGAGGGTAAGGTGACTTTCAACCCAAGTGTAAGGAGACTTTCAACCCAAGGGTAAGGAGACTTCCAACCCCAGGGTAAGGGGACTTTCAACCCCAGGGTAAGGAGACTTTCAACCCCAGGGTAAGGAGACTTTCAACCCCAGGGTAATGAGACTTTCAACCCCAGGGTAAGGAGACTTTCAACCCTAGGGTAAGGAGACTTTCAACCCCAGGGTAAGGAGACTTTCAACCCAAGGGTAAGGAGACTTTCAACCCCAGGGTAAGGTGACTCTCAACCCAAGGGTAAGGAGACTTTCAACCCAAGGGAAAAGAGACTTTCAACCCTAGGGTAAGGAGTCTCTCAACCCCAGGATAAGGCGAAGGTAAAAAGACTCTCAACTCAAGGGTAAGGAGACTCTCAACCAGAGAATAAGATTTTCAAACTTTAGCTACAGGAAGCTACAGCAAGAATGTCTTTAAAGTATATACACAGCTGTGTAATTATACTGATAAAGTTTCCTCCTTGAAATCTAGAAATAAATTGATAACATTTAGGCCCACAATGTTGATACAAAGGGGCCTAACTCTTCAAATAATTCAAATATTCTGTATGAGAGTATACAACTGTAGACTTACCCTGGCTTTCAGCGACCTGATCTTTCCTCTCCCTGTCCCTAATGGGATGTCTGTTGGATCATCATAGCGCGAGTCAACATTTCTAAAAAAACTTCCAATAGATTCATCATACAATCCGCTCTGAAATATCAACAAATGCATTTTAAGATAAAAGCCAGTTCAGTAAATTAGTCCCCCATCAAATATGAATTGCATGTAAAAAATGCACTGTGAGTGAACCCAAGCCCCAAGTAAGAAGTTTCAGTGACTATAGTAGTGTGTGAGATACAGCTCGAACAAAATTTTCCTTTGATGTACAGTCAATGTAAGTAAGTGCAACTTACTTTTCAGATACGACACATCGCCTCACTAATGAGAAGGCATACCCAAAATATACAGTTTCAGCGAACAGTAATGTAGGAGATAAAGTCAAGGCAATGTTTCTTTGCTAGAGGTCAAAGCCAAAATGTAGGTCAAAATGATCTACTTTTGATACATAACATACCGTCTCACAAAGATTCCAGTGACTAGTAATGCAAGGGATGGAGCCTTGATAAGCTTTTCCTCTGATTTGTTCAAAGGTCAAAATGTAGGTCAAAGTATAACCTATTTTTGATAAATGACACATCGCCTCACCAAGATGCCTTTTTATAGGAAAAACATAAACCCTTCCATGAATAGATTTTCATTTCTTTGATATGGTGGTTGAGAGGCACAGTGGTACGGCATTCGCCTTTCGCGTAACCGTCTAGGGTTCGATTCCCGGAAAAGATGTAAGAAGGTATGTATGGGTCACCTGCTCAACCATGTGGGTTTTCCCCAGGTAATCCCCTTTTCTGCCACAGTAAGACCCTTAGTGTGCATCTATCTGGGCCAACAAGAACGATTAATACAAGCTGATGGCTTGTTTCGCAAATGTTGAAAAGTAAATAAAGTTCATATTATATGGTATATATTTTTAAATCATGCACTGTGAAATTTTATGTGTGATGATTTAGTGATGACACTTAATCAGAAAAATTATCCTTTATTATTAGATAAGAAAAGAAAATTGATGAGAGGTGAAGTATACAGGACAGAAATAAAACAGAGACTTAATGATGAAAAATTGAAAATATATTTCATGTCTGTTTCAAAATCCTTATATACATAAGCTCAGTTATTGTGAAGCATATTTTCCATGAGCAAACATTTGTCATGTCACTGATTTCAGCATTAATGTATAATCAATGGTTCAGAAATTTTCGTAAGATTTTTTCAGGTGAGTCCAGAACATAAACTTGATGAGTCCCAATAGTAAGAGATACAGTAGGTTCTCAAAATTTGAGATAGTGCAACAGGAAAGGTGGAGTCCTCGACTCAAATATCTGAGTCCCAAAAGTCATTGATGGTTTTGTCTACCAGTTTAATTAGGTCCTTAAATATATAGATTATCAATGATTAACCAAGTTTTTAGGCTGAATTTACTAACACTGTCTTCAGGTTTACTACACCACAATGATGCATGATTGGTCAGTGATTTTAACAAGCTCTAATTATTTAAAATATCTTTGTACACTATGGAAGGTATAAAAAAAAACTATATCATGAGTATGAATCAGTTTGTGCCTACCTTGTTAACAGCTGCATGCTCTCGTAATGCCAAGTCCCAGAATCTACAGCCAATCTGATTCCCACACTGTCCAACTACAAAAAAGGTCTCACTTTCACATTCAACAGAATCTCATTAACTGTATTTGAAATATAAAAAAGACTCGCTATCACAAACAACAGAATCTCACTAACTGTATTTGAAATATAAAAAAGACTCACTATTACACAACAGATTCTCATTAACTGTATTTGAAATATAAAAAAAAGACTCACTAATACACAACAGATTCTCATTAACTGTATTCAAAATATCAACAGGAATTAAAGAATGTATTTCAGTTCTGTATTTCAGAATCAGTATAAAATCAACAGCTGCACATGCAGTAGTAGTACCATGTCATAATAAGTGACTATTGATACAGTTAACAGCAGTGGTATAAGCAAGCTTGCTGTTTGTGAACACTGATCTTGTATGACCCTGGACCAATGATGAATTTAATTTATTCCTATTTGAGACTCATTGATCGCGGACATTTGACAATGTCTCTCGTTGCAAAACCTCCTATATAAATGAGTCTTAAGGAGGAATCCAAGAAGGGATTATGATTGGGTTATACTTCTACCAGAAACTTTATCAGCTGTCATATCATCTTTTTTTAAATCATCAATTTCCTCATTCCATTATAGATTATGTTTCTCTCCGTTTCTTGTCGAAGCCAACCATATATGACAAAACCTTCAACCTGTTGCAGTTGGTTATTATTATCTGAAAGAAGTAGAGTTAGCGCCATATTAATCGGTTGCGTCTCCTCAGGGCAAAGCGACTCACCTTGAACAACTATTGATTGTGTCATTCTTTTTCGCGATCCTACTCGTCAAATACAATCAGAATTTACGAACACGTGTATGTAAACAAACTCTGTTATCCATTTCTTCGTCCATGATGTTATTTACCCAGGTTATTAAGATGCTCCATGTAAAAAACATTATGACATGCTTGTTAAGCGCACAGAAGACTTGAATGAACATAACCTGAATAGCTTTGTCGTGATTATAGTGCTTTAGACGAACAGAGTGAACTATATATAATTTCTGTTTACCGGCAAGTTCGATTATGCGGACGAACCGCGGTCGGTCCTTTTTACTGGTTCAGACACAAATCGGGGACGGACCTGTAAATAATATGAGCCAGGGAGCAAATGGAAAGAGCGAAGCTTATATACAAAAATAAAATTTTGTTGATGAAAGTATACAGAAAAATGAAACACAGAAATGTTGGTTAAAATTATAACAATATGACGCCTTATGGTATATCGAGTGACCGAACGCTTAATTCGGTGGCGTTTAGTGTACTAGAGGATATGTTGTGTCGTCATTCCATGAATAACTGAAAAAAATCTTAAGTAAGTCAAACGAATTCAGAAGAATGGATATATTTATACCAAAGAAAAGAAATACTCCAAAGAATTCAAGAAAACTTACACTAAGTGATGATGTTACAAATGTACCAGGGAAACAAAAGGGCATAGACTCGATACATGGAAACAAAATCTTCAGGCAGAAAAAAAATACTAGGGGTATAGAAATCAGGTTAAATGGGAGACACGGAAAGCAAGGAAGGATTCGGGGGATATATAGCAAACAACATTAAAAGAACGGTCAAAGTGCTTCTGAAAATACATAAATGAAAAACGAAAATCAAGGTAAGGTATTTGGGGACATAATGAAGAGATTAAATAAGAACGAGGTACAGGTAGCTACATGCGATGCAGATAAAGCAGATGTTTTAGTGAAACTTCTTCACGGTGGAACCACCAGGCGAAATGCCAAAATTTGAAAACGAAGTTCGTTCAACTTTTTCATGAAGCACTTTCTAAAGAGCAACAGATAAAAAAGATACCTACTAGAACTGGAAAGTAAGAAATCATGCGGCCTTGATGATATGCACCCAAAAACACTGAAAGAACTTAAAGACATCCTACGCAAACATCTGAAAATAATATCTAAAAAAAATCATCGAAGGAAAATTATCACTAATTTTGGAAAGATGCTAATGTAACCCCTGGAAACTCGAGGATGAGTTATTTCCTGGAGGGGGAGTATGTAACCCTGGTAAAATACTAGCCGCAATATACCACTCGGCTAGAGAGAAGTGTAACCCTGGTAAAATACTACCCGCAATACACCACTCGGCTGGAAAGAACTTCTCTTTAGCTTGACCTCTGTTACACTAATACTATAGCCATATACCAAAACGACCCAAATTGGACCCAGAGAATAATCGCCAAAGTCTCAAGTATCCTAGTAAAGGCAATGGAAAAGCTCATCCAAGATAAAATTGTATTATATTTGATGGAAAATAATCCGTTTAGCAATTCAGATTCATTCCTGGAAGACCAACAAGTCGCTTGATGTTGATGGTTCTGGAAGATTGGACTAGGATTGTACAAAAGACAAGGGAATGACACCTTTTCATAATTTAGGTTGAAATACAGTAGAACCAAACAATTAATTAAACAGTATCATACAACTGTTATGTTGGACTCAGAAGAGAATATCGATGTTAACAATGTCGTTACTAAGACGTTATAATAAATGTATCGTCTGAAGATGGCCGTTAAGCCTGAAAACGGAATACATTTGTCGTTTTGATTTTATTCTTTTCAAATATATATATGTATATGGACTTAACGAAGGCTTTTGATAAGGTTCCTCATCATCTTCGCCTCAAACACAAGCTTAAACAAATGTGGAATTGGACCATATACAGTAAATGGTTCGTTATCAAAAAAAAGAAATCGCAATGTACTCGGTGGTATTCCACAGGGATGTACACTGAGCCAATTTTATCTGTCGTCTATGTCAACGATTTGCCATGGAGTATTACATCCACATGTCTCCTTTTTGCTGCTGCACGAAATTATAACGTAAAATAAGGACGACTGAAATATTCAACAAAAGGATTTGGATCAACTGCAAAAATGGTCGAATGATAAGTTATCATAATTTCACCCTAATAAATGTAAAGCACTACTTGTGAGAAAATTAGGACAAACAGAAAGAACATACCATTTGAAAGAACAGAATGGTGAAACTAAAAGTTTAGAAAATATTGAAACTGAAAAAAAGACTTGAGTGTGATGGTTGATGATAGATTAAATTTCCGAAACCATATGATCATTTCCGTCAACAAAGCCTTATCAGAATATCTTTTATACACGTGGATGAAACTAATGTTGAAACAATTATTTAAAGCATTGGTTAGACCACACATTGAAGATGCAGCATGGGACCCCTACAAAATAAAAGATATTCAATTGATAGAAAATATACCGCGAAAAGCCACCAAGCTAATACCAGGATTTAAAGAATGATCAGATGGGGAACGACTACAGAAGCCACAGGTCCCGACTTTGAAGCAGAGATGAATGATAGGAGGTTTCATAACTGTCTAAAATATCTAAAAATCATCTAGACGAAAGAGTTACCTGAAACCCGCTTATCTTTGATACCAACGAAAGATGAAAGAATTCGAGGTTATTGAAACTGCAAAAAGTCAATGTAATGCAAAACCCACGAGAAATTTTACTGTCAGTTTATTGACGTATGGAATGGGTTACGTGTTCGCGTTATAAAAGCATAACTGTCAGGACATTTAAACATCTATTGGATGAGCATTCAATAACATAATGTATGATTTTTAATTAATATGATCGGTACTTTTCATAAGCAAAGTCTTTGATGCTATGTTGTATGTAAATATCAGATGTGGATATAGACGCTTTCCGCCTGCGTTAATCAAATTGCTATTAACATTGTTATTAACATTGACTTCCGGAAGTGCAGACAGCATCTATGCTCCACTTCCGGAAGATTTTTTTCTCTGTTGCATCAAATCTTGTTTTATACACGAAATATCTAGCACAGGATAACGCACGGACTTGAGGGTACAGAGGACCTACAAAATGTACATAACAGGTAATTAGTACATCATACTGTCAAATAGTATTAGATATTTTATATATATCACCGCAAGGCATCATAATATGAGTTAGACATGTGTCTGGAAAGAGCAAAGCTTACATATGCCAAAATGACATTCTCGATTGAAAGCATCAAGGAAATAAAACACCGAAAAAAATGGGTAAACTTGTCAGTGCTTCAAGAAATTGAGAGAATTCAGCGCGCAGCAACGACTGATCGATCTGTTTTTGTGCGTTGACGTTTTGTGTGCTATTTATATACGTTCTGACGTCATGATATAGGTTGGCGGTACACGCCGAGGAACAAACAAAATCAATTCATACCAATTTCATTTGTATCTTTATGTAAAAATCAAAGGTAAGTCAAACGAATCCAGGAAAATGATGTCATGGTATCTTAAACTCTCATTAACTTGTTTGGGTAATGCGGAGCACCTACACTTGTATGCCCCATACCTTTCCACTTTCGGAGGAATTTTGCTCTCATTTCAAACTGTATAATGCCGGTCTCTTCAGGACAATTAACGTAGAATCGCCGTTCTTGTATTACACGCCTACCCATGCTAAGCGAAGAAACGCGACGTGTCCCTTCCCAATGACGTCATCGCCTGACAGAGTGTATATACACGTGTACAAATACTTATTTGCAGTTCATATATTTTTTATCTTATTTTTGGGTATACAACTTCTAAAACAAGAAACTAAAGACCATCAACGGGGTTTCGTCCTTGACGCAGAAGACGCTTACCGCTCCAGAACACCTGTTCATATTTGTTTCGATTCTACATCCATTATGTGTAAATGTTTTACTCTGTCTCCGCAATATTGAACTAGAATTTAGTAAACAATTTGGCCATATCATCTTGTAGAAATTTTTTCTTGTTACTTAAATAAATTGATGTTTTATGATTTCGGTTTGAGATGAAGCATACATATGCTTAGCACAGTATATGTAAAAGTGATTTCAAGTGATTTTCATCCTAACCACAGGCTAAAAAAATTTGTTCTAACTGTTCGAAACAATAAAAAAGAAAAATAAAGGTAAATGTAAGGAACACACAGCTAGATTTAAGCCAGGAAATATGGTAATGATAAAGAGTGTAGTCGGATATTGTATAAAAGGAACACAAATTAATATCGCGTTGTAATAAGAAATTAGGTGAGATAGAGACAAAGCACAACCCCCTAACCAGCATACAGTTGTTCATTCATTCCTGGACTTGTCAATGATTCCAAGGGGCTAAATTGTAAATGTATTGACTGCGGTGTGCCATAGGTCACACTTAAATATTACTGACGTAATATATCAGCTGACTTGCGAGTTCAAAAGATAAAGAATTGTTTTGTCAAAGTTTGGTTATTGAAGTTAATATTGTCTTATAGAACGGATCGCTGTCATAGGAGAGTTTGACCTACATTTGATTATGAAATGATCGTTGGTCTTATCTTGAAAGTAACTACGTAATCTTATACCATCTTTGTAAATAACTGTTATAGCGAGTTTCATTTGCTTTGATGTAGATTGATGTCGGAATGTTTGAATAGGAAGGTTTCACAAAGCTTGAAATAATGGATTTATATCTTGCTTTGTTCGGTTTAGTGTCAATAATTTGTGTTCGAAGTGATATAGGCGATCAGGATGTACCACACAGACGTTTCCTCGTGCCTACTGAACACCCAATGACGACCCGCTCTCCACCTGGTATTCCATATGTTAGTAATTCCAGTTTGACTTTTTCCAAAAGACAGTTTTATCTCAATGGGAAACCTTTCCAACTCCTCGGAGGAAGCATCCATTATTTTCGAATTTTACCAGAGTATTGGCATGAACGATTGAAGCAGCTGAAAGCCTGTGGTTTGAACACTGTAACTGTGTAAGTACATGGACGACAGGACATAATTAACTACAGTATAGCCAATTATTTTCGCGGGTCATTTTTATGATCGCGAAAATTTGATCCGTGAAATATTAAGACGCGTGAAAATAGTGACCGGTAGTAATTTTCCTATAAACGTTCCTCACGCTATAAATCACAGTTTCATTATCTATCCGGGTAATGAAACTAGATGAACATCCACAATTACATATAAATTCAAATATACAGAAGAGTACATAGATATTTTGTTTCCATAGTTATAGCCTCCTAAACAGTCAGGGTCGTTTTGTGTTCGGGGGGCGGGGGGGGGTCACCTTGCAGTAACTGGTTGTTGCTGAATCGTTACAGCATTTGCGAGACATGACACATGGTATCGAAAGCAACTGGAATAGGGTTTATGCAAAATACAGGGACACAACAACACCAGTTTGTTATACGAGTGTAACCGCACCCGGATAGGGTTTATACGAGTGAAACCGCACACTCATATTATGACATTGTTTTGTTTCTACATGGCGGGTTTCGTCCATGTAAGCGCACCCGGATAGGGTTTATACGAGTGTAACCGCACCCGGATAGGGTTTATACGTGTGTAACCGCACCCGGATAGAGTTTATACGTGTGTAACCGCACCCGGATAGGGTTTATACGAGTGTAACCGCACCCGGATAGGGTTTATACGTGTGTAACCGCACCCGGATAGGGTATATATACCAGTATAACCGCACACTGATAGGGTTTCGTCCATGAAGCAGAAGAAACTTATTCTTCCTGAATGTATTTTACTACTCCTGCACTTGGAAATCATCCATGCATTTCTGTCGTTTCTACTCTGCTGTTTTGCTTTGGTTTTAAGGCAGAGTTACAGCATTGTTCTCCTATCCGTGTTTTCTGTACCTTCAGATACGTGCCATGGAATCTACACGAAGTCTATCCTGGAGAGTTTCAGTTTACGGGTCGCCTGAATCTGAGGTAATGTCTAGTCAGTGAAAAGCACTGTAAATCCTAACAAGGGCACAGTGTCTGACCTAGCAGATGTTTGTTGAATGCGTATAACATACCTGAACACGGCTATACGTAACGTCAAATTTGTCTTTGTCATATTGTCAAGACCTAGCTCATTTTATCAAGACACACATTTATATTGAAATAATTTACAAATAAACAGTAATTCCCCTTGCCCAGCAAGGTTTCTGGAGATGTGTTTTATGGAACAATAGACGTAGATATTCATTGTATTTATTCCATTCATATAGCTTGTCCATTTGTTAGAGATGTGATGAGTTACAGATGAGATGTATGACGTCGAAGCGAACTGAATCCAATGGATAGACTCGTATATTACAATTACGCGCAGAATTAGAATTTCATAAAAAAAAAAGTGTTGATTTGCTCCAAATATGACAGGAACAGGGACAACCCACCTGTAAAGCAATCTCCAAAAAGTTCCTTAGGTTAAGAAGCAATGTATGAAGTTTGAGTCTAATTGTCCAAAGAAAAAGATCAAGTAATTACACAAAATCAATTTCCTTTTTGTAGCTACAATGACCTTGACCTTCGGATACGAAAATCAATCACAAGCAAGTACCTTTGGTGACGTTATTGTACGAAAACAATTTTTCTATTTATAGTAACAGTGACATTGACCTTTGACCTTCAAACCTGAAGAGCAACCTTAAGCAAGCCCTTTGGTAAGGAATCACTGCATGACATTTGAGGGTAATTGTCCGAAGAAAACTATAAAGTTATCGCATGAAAACCGATCTCCTATATATGGTAATAGTGACCTTGATACGACGATTTATTTATGAATATGTGTAGCCTTTGGCAAGCAGGCTTCAAAAGTGGCTTACATGTCAACTAATAATGAAGGAAACATAAGTTAATATGAACTAATATAAATACATAACAAAACGAGTTCTTGTGGTAAAAAGACCAGCCCCCGTCGAACGTTATCACAACAAGGTATTGCTGGATGAGGCTTACCGCTCTCCTCCCTGCCAGTCTGTTGCATGTCAAGGGATTATGGTGTAATTTTTTAATAAATAATTCATGAGATCAATAAACAGTCCATAGGAAGTCCAGTTACTGAGCAGATATTGTGTCAAAATGAGTTTCCCATTGAAAGACATAGTAACTTCGATTTAAATTGGCATTTTAACTTAAGATCAATCCAACATAAGCAAGCACAATTGTTAAGAAAGTAGAGATGGGTTCAGTGGAAGATAAGTTATGGAGTGGTGGAATCTTTGAAAATTTTGAAAATATATTTGAGATAAATGTGCGAAAAGCTATTTTCTATGCGATGAATTTAACTTTGATCAGTGCACGTAACTTACATGATTTTTGTCGGGAAGGGTAGTGCGGGAGGGTTGAATGATGGAGTGACGAGCGGGCGGGAAGAGGGTGGGGTGGGTGGTGGGTGGCGTTGATGGTTGTTGAGAGCCAAACGCAAACCTGAAATAAGCATTGACTCTGGAGTGTTAGCCCGATAGTCAAAGCATTGATACAGACGATATCCTCGTCCTTAGACTACATTAGGTACATAAAACTTTTTGGGGGTAAGTGTAAGATGGATAGATAAGTAACTTAAAGAAGATCCCTAGTTCCAGGGCTCATAGCCCGGGGGTCAAATCAAACTGTTCAGATCCCGGTGTTTCAGATGTACAAAATCAAATTCTATTCATCCGAAAATGCTTCAGATAAAATTTGGGCAAAACTAAATTATTCCAACAGGTTTTAAGAATTTGTTTTCCTTATTTGGCCCCGCCCCTCTCGCCCCAGATGGCCGATGCCCAACGTTTATAGAGAATTGATTTCCCTTCATCCACGCATGCTTCAGACCAACTAAGGATAGAATCCAGGCATTTCCTCTATTGGGCCCACCCCTCCCGTCCTTGGGGTCCGAAACCAATCGTCAAAATCTAATCATTACTACAGGAGGAGTAGGATTCTGAAGAATTGCACACGGAATTATCCCTCGTCCCAGGGGTCCTAGCTCGGGTGTCAATTCGTCAAATAAAAGTTGATATCCCAACACTATAACCACAAACTGTCAAGTAATATCAACTGGAACAAGTGCCCCGACTCTGTAACTACCTTAGATTTGTCTTGATCCGTGGGTTAAAGCGTGGTAATATTGATATCCCAAAAGAAATAAATCATCTTTAGAAGATATTTCATTTTCATAAATAACATGGAAAAGGGAATCCAGAATATTTAGACTCATATTTCTTCATAAAAGATGGTCTCAGCTCTAAATTCAATGTTGAAAGAGGACCCTAAACATGACACTGAGCATTTCTGGTAGTGTTGATTGTATCAATTATACCAGTGATACATCCAATGTTGAAGAAGGGCCCTATCATGACACACATGTCATCCTTTATGACATCAAAATGATCCTGGCTTCTAATATAAACTTTATCCTATTCCATTTCACATACATAACAATACAGATAACGTACATTGGAATAGGATTCGGAAACAAGTTTAAAAAAAAAAACCTTATAGAAATCTGTTTCCTTGAGTTATCTAATTTACTTATAATATGGCATGAAGACAGAAATTGTAAAGGCCATGAATTGAAATATTACAAAACTTATCAAAGAATATATTTAAATACAGTTCGGAGTGGGAAGTCTGGTTTGAGGGGAGGTGAGGGGAGGGAAGGAGACTGAGAGAGAAAGAGACAGGTTAGGTTTGGTTACCCGTGCCGATAAGAGTAGAAAATAAATGACACGGATTAAGAATGGCCTTTTGAAAGAAGTTAACCAAATCTTTTGGAGCTATTGATAAAATTTTGCACACATGCAAATATTAGAGCATTTTCATGCACATGCGCGTAAAACGCTAGAACATGTAGAAGAAATAAGAGTATTGTGATACACAAGATGTCGGGAACAGTCGCGTACTTCGCAAAGCTGGCGGACTGTAAACAGTTGTTGAAGACACCAATTCGAACACAATAGAGAGATTTATGTATCTGCACACTACGACAAGAAACGACACAACAATGAGTATGAACGAAAAGGCCAACCTTACAGAGAGGGTGACTTTGTATTTATTTATGAAATGAAATTAAAAACATATCTTACAGTTACAAAAACCGTAAAATGAACAAAAGATTATTTTTTAAGTAATTATAATAAAAAGCCAATGTGGGGTTAACCTTAGCTGCCTTATATCAATAGGCATTGTGTAATCCCAGACTGGGCAAGAAGATAGGCGAGTGTCCGAAGAGGTGTCGTGAAAGCACATGGTTTCTTATTCAACATTGAAAAAGAGCTCAGAATATTAACACACATTCTTTGCTTTAATAAATGACCCGGTTCCATATTCAACGTTGAAAAATGGACCCGAAATATTATGACATATATTCCTTGTACTTTTTTATGTCCGATCCCTGTTCCATATTCAGTGTTGGAAAAGGACCCCGGAATATTATCACACACTTTCCATGCTATATTTTGATAAAGGTCCTCGGTTTCCACGTCACAATATTAGCACACACTTTGAAAATAAACAAATCGATTATTTCGATCAATTTGACATGTCTACATATTTATCTGGTGTTTGAAAAACACAATTAAGAGATTCCACAATGTCTCGGTTTTTATTATTTTTAAATTTACTTTAGTTCCACATTTTATAATATCTTAAACGAAACTGGAACTTAATTAAGAAAAAAAAACTTTCTTTTTTAGGCGTTTTATCGAAATTGCACACGAACTTGATCTATATGTAAGTTTCCGACCTGGACCCTTTATCTGTGCTGAGTGGGAGTTTGGCGGTTTACCTAGGTAAGATATGTTCTGTCATAACCTGTACGTTTTCTCGTTCGCATCGTAAAATATAACCTCTTCCAACACGGAAACATTGCAAGAACCCACGCACTCTTTGAAGTGAAGTGTGATTAGTAAAAATTGAATTTTAAAAAGGGTTTGTATAGATATTTTCTTTGTATCTACGATCAAACACATATGTATATGTTACTTAAAGATACTTTGTTTATCGATGATATATTTGAAAAGAATAAAATCACTTCGACAAATGTATCCCGCTGACGTTAGCAGAATACATTTGTCGTGTTTATTTTATTCTTTTCAAATGCATATACATAAATGTTTTATCTTAAGTTAATATAAATAACTATTTATTTTCTATGCATACCAGTGGTGTATGATACATAATATTTTGAGTTAACAACTGAGAACAATTTTAAGGGACATCCTATCTGGATAATACTTTGTAAAAGAAAGATCAGATATGTTAAGGACGACAATCACTTTGGTGTGCTGTTAACTGTGATACATTTTCAAACTTCAAGTTTCAAGTTATTATTTCTAAGCTTTCTTTTGCTGAGTAATTGAGGTGGTGTCGCTGGTAAATGGTGACTACCTTACTCAATAACATACGGGACCCCTGACATATATAGAAGCGTTATGCTGAAGGACAAAAAACTACACCAAGAGCGATCCGTCTCTATACACAAACTGTTCCGAGTAGGGATCGTCGAAGTCCTACACTATTTCCGACTGAATGATAAATAAACATGTTACGGAAATTTATATGATACTGAGATATCAAGTTGTTTTGATTTTCAATATGACAAAAATTTCAATTGATTTGAAAATATCGAAAAACTGTTCTACATCCGCTCTTAAACATATTACAGAAAAGGAATTGGTTGTTAGATACCTCATTCTTCGTGACTGGAAAAAGACACCGTTGACAGATGCAAAACAATATTTGTGGATAAGTTTGTTCGAAAAGAAACTATTAAAGACACTATTATCTACATTGGATACTCAAATTAACTAGGGAAAAACTGTAATACTATTTGACATCTGATCTGTGATAGTCATATATGAATATAGAGATATAAGGTGCTTGTGATAATAACATTAATAACTGATAACATATGAAATAACAAGTGATTTGTGATAATACATGTCGCTTTATTGTTCGTTAGCTGGCTTCTGAAGGATCCAAACATGGCGGTTCGTAGTAACTACCCACGATACACTCAAGCTGTAGAACGCTATTTCACAAGGCTCCTAAAAGAGGTAGCAGACCTCCAGGTTAGATAGCCCTTTACAATGTATATACATCTTTGGCCTGTTTTATTGGCATTCATGCTGGCACTCAGTTATATATAGAACACATTGTCACTACAAGAGCAAGAAAATAGATACCAACATGTCAACAAAATAACTATCAAAATTCAATCAATGTTACGAGGACAAAAAGGAGACCCATTTCTAACATACATATGGCCGAAGACACACTTTCTTCACAAACGTATTTTATCTTTTTTGTAGAATTTTTGTAGAATATCATCAACATCATGAACCATTGCATCATCATCATCATCATCATCATCATCATCATCATCATCATCATCATCATCATCACCACCATGAACCAATACCTCATCATTATCATCAACACCTTCACCATCATCATCATCATCATCATCATCATCATCATCATCATCATCATCATCATTATGAACCAATACATCATCATCATCATCATCATCATCATCATGAACCAATACCTCATCATTATCATCAACACCTTCACCATCATCATCATCATCATCATCATCATCATCATCATCATCATCATTATGAACCATTACATCATCGGCATCATCATCATCATCATCATCATCATCATCATCATACAATGATGGTCTATTCAGTTACTGGGGACTGATTGGAAACCAGGGTTATATAAAATGCCGTCGTATTTATACCTATTTTAGTTCAGTCGTGGGGGTCCAATCATCGCAGTGCAGGTTGAGAACGAGTTTGGATCCTACAGCAACGAGGTTTCACACCTGGCCTTCCTAAAACAGGTATTGAAAACTGACAACCGACATTTTCGTTTCTTGTTTGTATAGTATAACTAACATAAAATGTTTCCATTGTGTCAATGTTTAAGATATGCTACAACCAGGAAATAGAGCCATTTCTTAAACAAAGCTTTTGGTTGTAGTTGATGAAAAGAAATCTTCAAAATGTTTTCATATTTAAGAACAAATAAGTCAAATATATGTAAAAAAAAAAAAACAAAACAAACAAAAACAGAAAACAAATCCGGAAGAAAGTGTCCCGGTTTAAATTACATAAAATGCGAAGGGAAAATCAACCTTTTGGAGTCCCAAAATGTATGTATACCTAAACTGCAAGTAAAACGCAATTCGATACATAACACCGTACCATTGTTTGTATGAAATGAACAAAACTATATCAAATTTTCCGAGTGAACTTCGTAAAGTTTCAAGATAAAAGACGTCATGTGTTAATTGCTGCATTTAAACATTCATATACTTAACTTTCAGTTGCTGTTAAAGAATGGTATTGTGGAGATGTTGTTCACCTCGGACAGCTACTTAGCGTACAATATGTCAGGCTTAGATCGTGCTCCGTTTTACACAGGTACAATATCCTCCTTAATATTATCTCACTGTGTGTATCAGTTAAGTATGTAGTTTGGCGGTCGCCTTATTTCATTTTTCTTTCCTACAAAACTTGATGAAAGAGTTTCTGTTTGAATAATGAATGTGTAATGCAATCATGATTTTTTTACTGTTCTATATACTTGTATCATAGAGGATGTGACATCAGTTTCCGTTATATAAGATTTCGGAAAGGAGTTGTAGATCTTTTCAATGAACCAAACCTCATGACAAGATTCATAAATGTCATATAAAATGGCCAGATTATATTCATCGCATAACTTCAGTTCTTAATCGACACCGTGGAATCTTCCGCCAAGCACAGCTCATCAGGAAATCTTACACGTGTGTCTTAAAAGATATGTAATAGGTGTTATTGCTCTAATAGCTGGGTAGTTATACAATGAATAGATATGTATATAACATGATGGCTTACTTCTGAAATAGAAGCCCTTCCGACGGCCAACTTTGCGGATATTCACCAAGGATACGGATTATTTCTAAAGATCCTGCGAATGAGCGAAGACTTTCCATTGGTGGTCACGGAGTTCTGGTCGGGCTGGTTCGATCACTGGGGTCAAGGACACAATACTCGTGCTGTAGATGGTTTGTATATGCAACATGATTGATTTGTCGATTTTAGAGCACGTACTCAAACTATGTTACTATAAATAAAACTGCTTTAAAAATGTCTTATTTTCAAGTCACATCTGTATTTTTCACCCTAAAAATATTGAAAAATAGAGCTCATATCAAGAAAACTCTTTACAGTATACATTTTTGTTAAAGAAACCGGGGTCTTGTATTTTGTTAAAAGCTAGCAAAGGAAATGCACACAAGCGAAAGGTATCTAAAGCGGTATGAATGCCAGGGGCGAAGCCCCCCGACCGAAAATGAATTTCATGATTTCAAAGATGTTTTGAATCGTTTTCTGAGACAGTTTTTTTATTTATTTAACAACGAACTTCAACCCCTGACTAAATAAAAGACTCTATTTTGTTTGAAAAACTTATCAATCGACGTTTGTAATCCAGAAGCCTTCTTCTTTTTGAAAATTTGCACTTTAACAACATTATAATCGGAAACGTTGAAATGATAGTAAGAAGTAGAATAGTATGACATGTATAAAGTTCCGGAAAGCAAAGCACTAAGCCTAGTTATTCAACAATTGTCTATTTATAAATAAATATCTAAATTTTTTTTATTTATTAGATATTTATTTTCAACCTTAGTTTGTAATTTTGTCCGACATATTCTGTGCATGGATTTTTTTTATGTGTTAGCCCGTGCTTTTTCTTTCTATGGAAGCTACGCCCCTGAATGCAATAATATAATTCATACCGAGAAATAAAACACTTCAGTGATGACACGGGACAATACTCTGACAATAGTTGCTGGGAGAACATTTTTGCTCTGCTAGCTATGGTAGATAATAAACGCTTTTGAATAATTCGTTTAGGAATATATGTACATAGTTATCAAAATTCAATATAAAACTCTGTGTTGATCACACTGTAACGGTGTAATTCTTTGAAAGAGTCATTGAAGAATTTTTCATCCCTGAAAGTAACAAAACTGAAAAATCATATATTGTCAATGGGCTCAATTTTCGAGAGCATTTAATTTCATGGAGAAATATAAATGTACTTATTTTAACTTAAAACTTATTTTAACAGTTCGTTATCATATGCATTCTTGGATTGAAACATTGAAATCAAGCCTAATAAATCCCCAAGAAAATTAATGATTTTTTCAGTAGTATTTTGTGATGACGACTTCGACGACTTTAGAAATTTATCACCAAATCGCTAAAACACAGCTACAGCAACTTTAAATACAATATTGCTACCGGTACATTTAAATAGCAATTTCTCTAGAAAATGCATCCCTCAGTAAACCTAGCTGATTGCATTAATGTATTTAATGGAAACTAAAATAATTCTTGTATACAGGACCTACAAAGATTGTCTATTGTCTTTATTTTAGTCTTTAGAAATACACTAAAGAGTTTATTAGATGATGGCGCCTCTGTCAATGTTTATATGTTTCACGGAGGAACTAACTTCGGCTTTACTTCCGGAGCCAACATTGAGAAAGATGGTTATCAGTCCGACGTGACGTCATACGGTATGAAGCATCCATGTTAATTGTAATTGTTAATTGTGTGTTCAGTGTACCAATATTTGACCGCCCCCAGGACTCAGATTTTGCTCAATGCAATTTTTGAAATTATTCGCTGACTCTTCAAAACAGTATGTGTGTGTAAATATCAACACTGAAGATTTCTATCTTAATGATAACTGCAAAGGTTTAACCATATCTGATGTAAGTGTTTTAATGTTAACTATAAACATTTAACAATACTCAATATAGATAATTCAATGTTAAATACAAAAGTTTCATGGCGGTTACTGTAGTCATCTGAACTTTAGCTTAAAAACTTTCACAACACAAACTATGAATATATTGGTATTAATTCTGAAAATACTTTCAGCATAATGCACATGAATATTATCATATTAAATCGTTTTACGAAGATAAATATGTTTCATCATATGTATACGTATCTTCATTCCTGTTTTTTTAATTCAGTTCTTATTTTTAATTTTACAATGGACAGGTGAATAGGTTCATGATGACAAAACTATTTCAGATTATGACACACTTGTCAGTGAGGACGGACAACTGACACAGAAATATTTTGCCGCTAGAGATTTAATCCGAACAATATCTCTATCAGCCCAAGGTAATCACCAGGCCCCACTTGTATAAGACATCTCAACTTGAGATTTCCTCAAGCCGAGATTTTCCTCAGCTGATATCTCCTCAAAAACGGCTTGCATCGGCTAGGATGTCCTGAAATTCCTTGAGGAATTTTCATACAAGATATTTTCAAGGAGATATTAGCTGAGGGAAATCTGGGCTTGAGGAAATCTCAAGTTGAGATGTTTTATACAAGTGGGGCCAGGTCCCTTTTACTTATTATATCATTTAGCGAAAATTTGAACGATATTGCTATCTAATCCACACTATACTGCGTCGTTAAAGTTCACATCTCTGGTGAAATAACAAATAACCATATCAAATTGGTGTTGAAAATTACCTAAGTGAGTGGATTTTGAAAGAAATGTTTCAAGTTATAACAAAAATGTCGAATATGATTTGTGGAATTTATATTTGGATACACATTAAAATAGGAGGTTTACAATGAATTGAAAAAAAAACTTTTGTAGATAGTTATAAAATATGAGACAGGTAATGTGGTGGTAGATGTAGGAGATTTTGATAAACTGTGAATTGTATAATGAATTAGAAAAAAAAAATTAAAATGGAGCTAATTTAGTAGCTGATAGATTAAGAGATAAAGGGGTTTTTATTGTTTGTAGTTATGTTGATAGCTCTTATGTTTAGGATCTTATTACTTGTGAATGATTTAAACAAACGATTTCAGGCATTGATAGAATTACAGACAGTCAGTCATATGCATTGTATTGCAATTATTGCAGACGATTTAGGCTACCTTTGGTATATTGGTTTTATGCAACATAAATCTATCTCTTTCTGACCACAGGACGCCTTTCTTCAGGGTGTGCTGTTTGAACATATATCGACTGCCAATATACTTTCTTGCAGACAATGTTTCCATTCCTGACCCTGTACCAACAAACAGAGATAGCTATCTAGGTGAATATCGAATACATTTATTTCATTATGATTATCAAAGTCACAACAGTTGAGTTACTGAGTTTGACAGCCATTAAGCATTATAAAACATTGATACAGTGATTTAGAAATATAAGTTATACTTATGATCAATAACTTTGCATTTTGTTTAATTGATATCACTTCAAATTTTCAAAGGATAACTATTCAAAATGTGAATATTAACCTTAAAAACAAAAATGTTATGACTACATTTGCATGAAAATTGTTGTATGCAAGAGAATATTATTAAGAGTGGAAACTGTTATACCACAATCTGTAAGGAAATACATTTGATGTTTCGATGACAACATTGTCACTTTCGTCAGGAAAAGTTTGATAAGATGACATTATTCAGACAGACCACAATTTTATCTTTAGATAAAGCGGGATGTTGCTTAGCCTTAAGAAACACTCGGTTCTTACATTCAAAGTTTTCATTACTCTCTACTTTTTTGTGAGTCTTAAATCTTGTGTATCTGACAACTAACTAACTTGCGAAGTTTAAACAGTATGTGTTTAAAACATATTGCTTGATTGTGCAACAAACGGTAAACCTGATATAATTGAATATGCGGCTGTAGGATTTGCCCAACATATATATCCTCTAGTACCATCAATATACCCTAACCCAGCTTTATCATAGTTTATCAAATATCCCTGTATCCTTTCGGGGGACTTCCTGTAAGGCTTTTTTGAGGGTTGGGGGCCAGATGGGTGTTGAGATAAAATGACGATATTATGCCACTCACTCCAGTAAGAAAGTACATAGTATTCATTTTGTCTGTGCATCTGTGTGTGTGTGTGTGTGTGTGTGTGTGTGTGTGATATATCGTGAACCCATGGACAAATTCACACCATAGCATCACCAAGGTCTACACATGGTCAACGGTCAAGGTTAAAGGTAGAATTTCGCCCTTGATCACTTATGAAATAAATACCTTGTGTACAAGAGATTTCAAGATCCCTTCAAGACATTAATCCCTCGATAGATTTACATAAAAAACGATAATGTGATGGGGTTATAGCTATGCGAGTTCTTTTTTTAAAAATATTTCTGAAGATACTCATGCGTCTTAAATCATCTAGGTCCAATGGTAATCGCCATTCAGGACTTCATGGGACTTCAGGAGATCATCAGCTTTGTGGAGGTAGGTCAATTATATTGCAGAGATATATTTCCTGGTAATGCAATGGTGCTGCAATCCAAAACTTTTTTAGCGACAAAACTCTAAAATGGAATTTAAACTAATGTATTAAAAGACATATGCTGAGATGGTATAACGCGCCAATGTTTGAAAACGGGACAAACCATTAATGCTGTAATTTCGATATCGAAATCTCTGCTTTCAGGGTTCTTAGAACTGGACAGGCAGTCATGTTATTCATTCCGGAATAGCTGTAAACCTAATGCTAATTTTAAATTGGTATACAAAATCTATATGAGTGATATTACAATTCAATGTTGTTTTCGAGTTTAAAAATATATATTCTGGTCTGATTTCTTTTTGCACACTCCATTATTTAACAGAATCCACTTACTAGTGTGGATCCTATTTGTATGGAAGCTCTGGTGTGGAAAGACAACGGTTATGGACAGAATTTTGGGTACATCTACTACTCTACACGAATATCGGATAACGGGAACCTCACCTTCAAAAGCACCCCTACTGATAGAAATGAGGTGAGCCGTCCTTATTCAGTAACATATTTGTTTTATAAAGGCAATGTTATGTAGACGATTCCAAAATATGAGAACATGTGTAATGAGTAGCATTTGAGCACGAGATTCCATTAATATCAACTTCCTTTGTGTTTGTTACTTTTATATTTTATTACAATGACCAAAATTTACATGGCGGACGGCGTTGATGAATTATTATTCTACTTATACTTTTTCCTAGTTACATGGAATTTGACTTTCAATAAACTTTCTGACGACATGTTGATATTTTCTTTGTTTATTTATTGTAACAGACATCAATATGATAATGAATTTGTTTCCACGTCTGTTGAACGTTTTGCCTCTCGCTGTTTTCCTCTGGTGTTGTTAGATTTTCATTCTTTCAAATGTACACGTTTTCATACGAATACGATATCAGTAAGCTGATTTGCACTGATAAAGTAATGCTGGTAAGCATGTTGAAATATTGCCATTACTTAGATATTTTAACACGGGACTTTAACATTTCCTACGTTTTTGTAAATCTACAACAATTATTTCAAAATATGTTTTCCCTTTAGACAATACATTTGAAAACATCTGCATTAATGTATATGTTTAAGTCTAACAATAAGGGACAATAAGGAATGTTTTCGTATTCTGAAAATAAAAATGGAAAAAAATATAATCTTTTAATAGAATTGAGACCGGTTTTTTTCATTTGATATGTTTTAATGTTGTCGTTAAACAGAGTTATCTCTACTGTCTAGATATTTTTGGACGATATTCCACTGGCTACACATGATGCTAATGATCCCGACCTCACAGTGTCTATACCTCCACCTCCAACAAAAGGACAGGTAATGAGATAAATATTGTTTTCATATTCAGATTCATTACATGTAGTAAATTGATTGGATTATGCTTTTGCTTTCGCCATACTGAAATTGATCCTTGTTTTCACACGAACCTGGATTCATATGAAAACTCACACAAGTAGCAAAGACGTTGTCACTTCATTCTGTTTCACCCATGGCATATAGAGATTATTTTTTAAATTGATTTTACAAGACATTTTTTACCATGTCATCGTATTTACACATCCCATTTGAAATCAAGACCACGACAGAATCCTCTACATCTGAGCTTTTTCCTAAACTAGGAAACTGATAGGAACTGATTTTTAATAAGTTGTTTGATAAGTGTAATTATTAATGGCGTTTTAAAATGAAAAATAAATGAATAAATGTACAGGAAGTATTACTGAAGTTTACAATATTGGTCATGGTCATGATTGTTTTGACTAGGATATGAAATTAGGAATACTGGTGGAAAACCGAGGTCGTGTCAACTACGCTATGATGCCATACAAGTTCTTTAATGAACAGCGGAAGGGTACGTTCGTATTGTGTCTGTTTAAGTCTTGCAGAGTCAGTTTGATGCAGTGTATCTCAGACAGATATTTTATTGTTGATTATTATTCAGTGTCTTGTTTGTAACGTTTCTTAACATCAATTTCTTTTTCTTTTGACGTGACCAATGATGTTAGTTATATGAGAAAATATTATATATAGTAAATTGATAGTATTTAATAATCAATATAAAATATGAAATAACAATTGTATCCCTAAAACTATATATAGATTGGACTAAAGATACACATATTCATGAATCTCTTAACATTTTTTTTATACAGTTGAAACTCGTTGTCTCGAAATCGCTTGAGTCGAACTTCCGTTTGAGTCGAAGTATTAAGTCCCCATTTTTGTCCTTCTATATCTTTGTAATTTTACTTCGGATGACTCGAATTGCATTAAGTCGATATTTCGGTTGAGACGGAGTGAATTTTCAGTCCCTTTCATTGTAAAGCAAAGGAAAAGTCACTCGTTATCTCGAAATATATGTTTGCCAAAACATCGGCAAGTCTTCAAACGAAATCAGTCAATACAAACACAAAGTAGAAATTCACCTGTGCGTAATATATGGCTAATAACGGCGTATCGGTTGTCCATCGTGCACACCACACTTTGTATGTGACGATTCATTGCCAGTTTAATTACCCAATTAAAATATTCGTCTTCTTAAATAGTGTCACCATTATGTAGCAGTGACTTTCATGTTCGTTAAAAAACTTTTACACAAAACATGAAGAAAACATTTAGCTTGGTTGTGTGCATTTTCAGGAACGATAAAAACGAAAAGCGGAAATCTGATCCCCACACAATTCCGAGAGAAACTAACTTTAAGCTTGCTCACTAAGGGATTGTGATCGTGAACTTTGTTAGATTTAGTGTTTGGACAATGAAGTTCTGAAAGCATTTTTCATGGATAGAGTCTATATTTGTGTGTGATTTGTTCAGTCTAGCGCTTGTACAATATTTTTAACAGGTAAAAATTTTCCAGCGTCGCGTTTTCCATATGTTTATTTATTCGTAATAAAGTCCTATTTATATGAACTATAGCTTTATACATCGTTTATTGTGGCGTATCGAAAGCAAATTTTAATTTCGTTTTATTGTCATCCCGTAAAATATATGATATATATGTGCATGGTCAGTAAGGATACTGAACACGTATGCGAGAAGGAACGACATGAGTACAAATGCATTTGATTGGAGTTGTTATTACATGCTTTGTTTTTGGATGAATAAACAAAAAAGGAGAAAGAAGAATTAAATTCATTTGTTTATTAACTGTCTTTTCAAAAACAGATTAAACTACGCTGTTTGCATGCTATCGTAGCCCTACTTCTTTCAACCGTAATCAACGTCAGGAAACCGATATCGTCTTATTTATACACTTCGTTTGAGTTGAATTTCAGATAATTCGAAATATTTTCTACTGTCCCTTGAATTTCGAGATGACGAGTTTCGACTGTATTTGTCACCATCATGGTTGTTTTGACTAGGGTATGGAAGTGTGTATACTGGTGGAAAACCCAGAACGTGTCAACTACGATATAAATATCTCGCTGGTTGTGGTATAAGAACCTCTATTCAACATCTTGATACAATTATACTGTTATTATGGTACCTGATTCCGAGTAAACCGATTTCCTAGGGATGTCTGATAACGTAAATGATATAATGATAATATTGATAACTTATCTAAATATTATAATGATTTATTTGGTAGGTATCAATACCGACATTCTTTTGGATGGACAAGCGATACATAACTGGAATATATACCCTTTAGATTTCTCAGAGGCTTTTCTAAATAGGTAAGCATTTAAAACGTCCTTAAAAACATACTGACAACAATCGTTGAAAATCTGTTCTTAAAAAAACAAGAAAATACCAATATGTCATACCAAACTGAAAAAAAGAAACAACAAATGTCTACACAGAAAACTCTGAAAATACACCAGGTGTTTCGGAAGAGAAAGCGTCTTTTGTTCCAATCTTGGACATCAGATATAAACAAAGGACGAGAACCTTGTTCTGTTTATCATTTATGCCCCGTAATTTACAGCGGTGTATGTGATTCTCTGGATATTTTATTGTGCTAACATTTTATCATATGTAATGTACTATATACTAATATAAAATAGAGATATTCTATGCCTACCTGCTATAAAGTAAAAATTATCTGACCCGAGGTGTTGGTGTGATATTAATGTGGGGCAAATATTTTTTCACAATACTATGGCACAGCAATACTGGAAAATAGTGCAAATAGTGAAACGTGGAAATTATGTTGACGTGACGGCCTTCTAAGACAGCGTTGTAACTGACACGTCCCCATACAATACAATGTTATACTGCATGGTCACGTGACGACGTACATGAAGTATGACTTTCTTTAAAACGAAATAGCAAAACATAGTTGATACTTGGCACTATTATCAAATCATCTGATATATGAAAATTATGAAATTTATTTAATTATTTGGCAGTTTCCTCCTCCATGTCTGGATTTTGACTTTTTTGTTATCATTTTGGATTTTCCTTAATCGCCTCCTTGGCCTCAAAATATAGGCCCTTAGGTCGTCGATGAACGACACATGTGTGTGATGCAGTTTACTTTATGTTTGGCTTTACATCTTTACTGTAACTATAAATCATTTAAAGATGCAATTCACTTGTACGATTTTTGTACAATCAGTATAGGTTGGGCAAACACAGCACATTATCTAACAAAACAAATGACTTATTCAATCAAAACCATGACAGATACAGACGTTTCTGGTGAAATTAAACATTTATCAACACAACAGCGCGTTTCCTTCTGTGTTTAAAGTGTGTTTATCCTTACTTAATGCTCGTAGAACGCAGGCGAATGGTACATGGTCTACTCTTGGGAATTCTAACAGGACAACACCAACACTATATAGAGGACGCTTTGATATTACCGGTGACTTAACAGATACGTTCCTATGGATGAAGGTATGTGACTGCAGCTGATGGTTTTTAAAATTTTTCCTCATATTTTCTGAATGAAAATGTTGAACAGATCTTACCAAACCTGGATCCAATGTCTTTTCTATGTGATGATTAGTGAATTCAAATTGCATCTTATATTTGTAGATAAGAAACATCATACAATATTTCATATTTTGTAATACAAAATCAGCAACACATCTTAAATTTGTGAATAGAATCTCCACATCAAAATTTTTTTTTTATTTTAAGTGATTATAAACTCCACACCGTATTTCAGATGTGCAGAGTTTTTTTACATGCGATAAAAAAATCTACCTGACACTGCCATCCGAAATGAAGTTTCATTTTACCTATTCTAGTCGCTATCGTCGTGCGTGGTGCGTCAAAGATACTCTGATTTAAGGAACAAAGAGATCAAAAGTTTCAATTTCAATACTCCTCTTCTTAAAGTGAAGTTTACTATAGTTCATGCAAGAAAATGATACCATTGAACATTATAGGTATTATGATTCATAACACAAAGTGTGACCCGTGGATCTCAACTTCCCTTTAGTAGTGGAGGGTGAAGTTTGTTTTATATGAAAAAGTTGAACATTTAAACGATTTTGTTTAGTTGCCGTTGGAAAATTGCGAACATGATGTGAATTTTCTGGATGAAAGTTTGACCGTTTGAATGAAGTTACCTTAGCTAGCCCCGCAGAGCTTGCCAGGTGGTGCTAAGAGGAGTAAACTTGATAAATTAATTTTAAAGACACAAATAAAGTATGATACAATAATTCTTGTTGGAAAGATATAACGATGCCACTCCAAACTGCGTTCTAGACCACGGAGTTTATCACAATTTGTATAAGAAATAAAATTGGCAATATTGTTTAATTGGAAATAATTCAAACTTGATTAGAATCATTAACTTAGTGTAATACTTTAATAATTTATGTTCAGATCACCACTTATTATAAAAACAATATGGCGGGTGACCTCTGACCCCTTGTTATATTAAGTGATAATTAACTCCATATATTACATGCGTAGATAAGAAATGCTACAATGTATTTTACGTGATCAAATTTCAACATATATTTACATATATATACTAGAAACTGTTCGTGAATGATCCAAAAACATGGCTAAATTATGTTTAAAATGTACATCTTCGCATATATGATGATAAACGTAAACCAGAAAATAGTAATTGGATGTTTATGTTTTCTAGGACTGGTGTAAGGGATTCGTGGTGATTAACGGTTTCAACCTAGGTCGATACTGGAACAAAGGACCTCTGATGACGTTATATTTGCCAAAGACTCGATTAAAATCACATCAAAATGAGGTAGACCAGAAAATATAAAATCCCTCTAAAGCCTTCAATGATATCAACTAAAGAAAAAAAGGAAACAGCATGACACTTTAATATGATATGATAATGTAAAAATAATGTATTTTCGTTGGGCTAAAATTTCATGGTTTTCTACACATGTACATTCTCGTTAACGTTTATGGATACATCTGGCTAACAAGGTTCACTAATGAAAATTAATGTTTTAACAGTAATCTATATTGCAATCCTTAAGAATATTAAGGTATATACAGCTTATGGATATGTAACAAAAGAGTTGTCGCTTTCGAATACTGCAGGATCATTATCGTCATCTTCACAGCAAACATTGATTAAAAGTCTTTATAAAGCATAAAGATGGGAAGGTCAAATATATTAGTGGAAGAAGATTGATTTTAGCAGTGACATATATCCGGAAAACGACAATGATTTCCTGAGCATGTCTTCTGTGTTGTTGAATAGATTTCATGATTTTCTATCAAATCTTTAAGAGTGAGAATTATTGAAACCAATTAGAAACAAAGTCGTTTCAATGAATTATTGTTTTTTGTAAACGATATTTTGGTTGTATTGGCAAATTACCATACGGTGTCATTTTCATTTCCAGATTTTGATATTTGATCAACACTGCAGTCATATACATGTTGAATTGCGGACGACACCTGTGCTATCCAAAGAAGATTTACTTTAAATGTACATATTTCAGCAGTACTCGGATTTTAACGTTCTCACTACTAAACGTTTTGCGTTAAAATATTAAATATATATATGAGCTTCTTTATTTTTTTCCTGCAAAACAAAATTTTGACAAAAAATAACCATAAAATCTCAGTGTTGGTTCTTGCTCATGTTTCGTTCTGCGATACCTAGGATCACTTGCATCATGAGGCAAATTCACGTAAAGGGTTGACATGTATTTATATAGATGTCAAACATTCTCTTGATACCTTGCGGAAATATGGCGGTCGCGAGATCATCAAAAGTAGCTTAGATGTTAGTTCAGTTTTGTTATTAAAGTTGGTGTAAAATACATATAATTATATCTTCAGTCAGATTCTGCTTCTCCGTAAACATAGAAATGATATTCATTTTCATAAATCAAAAGTTTTTTTATTAACCAACCAAAAGTAAAATCACGCGAGACTGGCGGAAACGAAGAGTTTACAAGAAGGAGTTTAGAGAGAATCCATGTAGTGGTGGCCATTGTAATCACTTTGGAAAGTTGTTGGGGAAAATGAATGGAAATACTGAATTTAATTTGGGGATATGTGTTAAGTGTGGTATCTTAGAAAATAGCGAATCAAATATACGGGGTTTGACTCACTCCGTTGAAATGATTGGTTGAAAAAAAAATCCAGCATGACTTAGTTTAGTCACGTAACAGGTACTAAAAACATACAAAAGACAAGCATGTCTGTGTTTAGTATTCAAATTATCGTGGGCACTGATTTTCATCAGGACTGCTCAACATCTTTCATATAGCAATGCAAAATAAAACGATAATAGAAAATATATAAACAGTACCAACATGTCAACATAATCATAATACAATCTAAAATTGAATATAACTAGTAAGAAATATGAACAAAAGAAAGATTTACAAGGAGCCTCATTAAAAAGTACAAGGAAAGTAAGGCGTCTACTAGGTGTTCCAGAAGAGTAAACGTCTTCTGCTTCGTCGGGGACACCCGCAAAGTAAATACTGGTCAAACTATGTTAGTAATGCCACTTTCCCAAATGAGAACAAGGTACACAACAACAGGACCAACAGGCAAAATAACGAGCATCGAATACGTCCAGCCACATATCACACACAGAAATAAGATATTTCACAATGAGATTGTTGTCCAGAGATAGAAATTTGACAATAGGGAAATTGAAATCATTATGTGTATCATACAGCTGATTGTAGAGCTGTCTATGTTTCATTCGTTGTAGGAGAAGATCGAGATAAGCCGTTGATGCAGAATAGTCTGTCGAAACTTTCCAGATTTGTATGATACATATGATTGACGTAGTCAATAAATGCCTTGTTATTTAAAGACGAGACTCATCAACATATCTGAAGGTGAAATTAAACGACTTTGCAAGGTCATTGTAACCTGTTATGATAATCTTTAAAAACTAAAAACAAATTTACCTATAGAGAGACACAGTTAGTTAAAAGCTATCCGTAGGTCGGTTGTGTCACTCCGGCTCGCGGAATTTTTTTTTTTTTTTTTTGTTGTTGTTTTTTTTTGGGGGGGGTTGTTTGTTTGTTTGTTTGTTTGTTTGTTTGTTTGTTTGTTTTTCCCCTTCTTTTTCTTTTCTAGATTATTACAAAACATATTTGAACAATAAAAATCAAACCAACGTTCCCTTAAAATCTCCCTCTAATTTTTATTAAAAGATATATATCACACTTTTGTTCACATGTAAACATATTAAGCGTCAATGAATTATAATTATAATACAAATAGCGATACATATGTAATATAACTTAATGTTTTCTCCGCTATCGGCGGGATCTCGATCCATACCGCTCATCTTCTGATCATTTTCGAATTCGGTATTGTTTTGAATAAACATACTAGTTGGGCGTCTGTGTCCGAGCACGGTCGAATATATTCGATACAAAAATAATTGCATAATTTCGTTACATTTTCAAGATGGAAGATGTTATAAGGTCGTTTCTAAAAATATCGCTTTAAATTGTGTGAATCTATTGTTAAGTTATTCCTGATATTCATCCAAAGGATAGTAATAAAAGTGGTCAGATTTCGATTTTAGACGTTTTTCAAATTTCTTGAGAGGAGAACACATTATTTTTTAAAATTTAGAATATGGAAATGTGACCAATTCTTTTGTTTACATGCCATTGGGACATAATACAGAATGCAGAAAAAATATTTCAGCGTTTTTATTTGCACTTTTCTGGTTATTGTTAAGCGTAAAGTACCAATTGTAGGTATCATTTCATATCTTTCTTATATTAACTCGTTATCTATTCTATATGCTTATATGAAATAAGATACGTTATAAACCACAGGAAAAGGTATTGAATTCGCTTTAAAACGACGTATTTTTTGGCAGAATTATGCTGTTTTGTCGACATTTTGACCCTAGAAACATGCTACCCTCCATAATTTCTGGGTGCATTTTTGACAAATCGACAAAATAAAGTTTTCGCTCCGTAAAGTGGTAAAAAATCATGAACTGAGCCAAAATAGCCTTTATTTTATATAAACGACACAATAATGGAAGTTTTAGATTTTTTTTAATTTCTTAAAAACTGTGTCGTGACACTTTATCATGATTCGTTACATAATTGCATGTCATTGCAGTTAGTGAGAGATAGGTACAAAATGCAATATCAAACATTAAATATGAATTACTTTCATTTAGCGAATGAAAAACAATGATAAATACGCTCAAAATTATAACCCTTACCATGTGCGATGAGACAAAACAATACTGCAGTAAATCATTTATAACAGAATTTCTTCTCTTTTCAGGAGAAGATTGTAATTTCTAGGTACAAATCTGTGACATATACATCATTAATTATTAACCGCTACTACATCCAATTATGTAACGAATTGGTAATTTTTGAGAAAATGAAGATCTATCTGCGAGAAAAAAGAACACAAAAATGAAATATAGCTAACCTTTTGATGGATAGAACCAAAAGTATTCATGTTCAAAACGTTACCCTTGATTATTAAAAAAAATGCATTAAATTCAATTCGTTACATAATTTCAAATGATCAGGGTTTGATGAAAAAATTTGTTACATAATTGCATGTGACTGCGGTTAGAGAGAAATAGATAAAATGTGCAATAGAAAGGAACATTAAATATCAAATACAGCCTATTCATATTTATTAAATAATAATAAAACAAAAACAAAACAAAATATGATAGCAATGCTCAAACCCCAACCCTGATCATGTGCAATAATTTAACGAATTTAATTTGTTACATCATGGTAACCTATCAGGTTAAGTGAAACAATAATGAAATACAAAACATATTACAATATTTATTCGTTTTTGATAATTAATTTACATTTTCTTGGTACAAACATGTATCGTAGTCATGATTTAACTCTAACCGCGATGATATAACATAATTGCAAACCAGTTGTGGTTAGGGAGATATAACGCATATTTTTACATCGTCGCACTAAAAATAATGACTTAAATGATACATATTTACATTGTCGTACTAAAATTACTGAGTTAAATAAGACCAGCCTTAGAAGATGAAATAGCTGACGTACTTTAATTCATTGTTTAATTCATTGTCATACTAAAAATATTGACTTAAATGATACATATTTACATTGTCTTACTAAAATTATTGAGTTAAATAAGACCAGCCTTAGAAGGATGAAATAGCTGATGTACTTCATTGTTTGGCTCTACTGCATCTTAACTAAATTTGTATTTAATGGTGCTATTCACTTGTGTATCCCTTGTACAGTATTTTGAATATTACCAAAAATTTATCAAAAAATCCTAAACCAGATTTTAGTTTGGCCTGAATGTTCACCATGGTATTGAAATAAATACTTCTAGACATGTTTCCCATGGACAAAGATTTCCCCAATTTAGAGAAAGGCTTCTGGGAACCACGTATAAGATAAGTGTGAATGCCTATGATTCTCAGCACGTCCTCATCACCAGGTAGTGCTACAGGGCCTATTTTGCCTTTTGTGAGTACTTATATCTGGTTACTGGATATTTTGCCGAGATGAACACTTTCACGTGGAAAAAGTTCAATAAATCAGATGAGGTTTTTTAACGACAACACTGTGGATGACAGGCATTGAAAATTTATAACCAAACCAACCTTCCGGCATCAGGAAAATTTGGGTTAAAATCGTCATTTAAAAGCTCTTTCCAGTGACTTATCGCTATTCAGTTTTTCAGGGAATGTCTTCGTTTTGTGAGTTGGTCTCATCAAGAACAGTTTCATATTCAATTTAACAAATGGATACTTGCAATTATGTCAACTATACACAGATTTTATTGTTAAAAATACATCATGTCTTATTCCATGCCTTAATTTCATCATGTCCTACCAGGTGCAGGCTTAACAGAAATTGATCTCGTTGATACATTTCACTACCAACATCATAGTGACGTTTTGGGTTCATATGCACTTAGCGTTTAGTCAAGTTAGAGGAACTTGGAGCAACATTAATATCAACATCGACTTTCTAAAAGAGCAATCTATAAATGACATAAATATAATACCAAATTTATATCGCCAGAAAAAGCATTGTCTAGACTATTTAAAGCATACCGTTCATCTGAATAATTTTCGTGATTTGATTTTTAAAGGTCGATTACAACAAGCGATAGGGCAGGTCACAGCAATATTTGCATGAAAATCATTGATGATTTATCATTGGAAATTATGAAGGTGGACACTAGAATTCAGTTGTTGGGTTTTATTCTGTCTACTAATGACAAACGTTTCCCTTTCCATGTGGCTACAATGTTGCACTTTTGAAACATCGTTATCGATGGACATGTCACTCAACATGAATGGATGTAACTCTTTTGTATTCCTCGTAAACACGTCTATGACTGACTATAGTAACAAGTTGAACTTTGTTCATTGTTTTTAAAAAGAAAAGTTTTACTTTTGTTTCTACCATAACCTGCGAATATTATCTTACGTCCAGACTATTTATTAAACACCATATCCATTGTTTATTCATACGCAAAATACACACGTGTATTATTGGTGACAGCCAAATCGTTAGGACGAGGCATTGACATTTGACCCAACCATGATCTGTGACCCTAAACTACTTTCGCCAAGTGCTGTCCATCATCAACATGGCTGACAGTGACGACCTGTCACTCTTGCCGGCGGTCAAGATCGGTGATGCAGTAAAACTGTGGAGTAGGAAAGGGGATAGTAATTGGTAAATGCAGTAGTTCTGGTTTCTCAATCTTTTATATAAGGTTGGAGACGGGCAATGTCGTTTCGGAATCAAGATACAGGTTTGACATTTCCCCTGACCCTATCGTCACTGTGTCAACTAGGCCTACCGCTGAACCCCGCCCCATTTCCGACAATATCTCAGTATCAAATGATCTTCAACTTCAATGTACAGCTGAGTCCCAAGGAAACACCGCAAAGAGCGTTAGAAACTCAGCCCCAAAATTACACGTCATCATAATCGTTTCTGCATTCACATTTTCCCGCGACGAAGCACTACTCTTATCCGCAATAAAATCTAGTCCCAAATTATCTTTTTTTAAGATTAACAATTTGTGTAATTTTGTAACGTGTTGCAATGAGCTAATGTTACGGGATGTTTCCAAACAAGATTACTGAATAAATAAGTATTTTGCTTCCAAATTATAGCGATTTTGTGAACCAATTAGACAACTTACGATGTATTCTTACGCGAAAGTGTTAATGGGGGCGAAACAATGTTGTACACAATTTATCTATTTTTACATTAAAAGGTAATGGTAGATAGAAGGTCTATAACTCGTGGCAGTTGATTATCATCCTTTTCGAACTCTCGTTTGTTCATTACTCGTGTTAGATAACGATCATAACCAGCTGCCACCCGTTGTAGAACTTCTATTGAAATAAGAGCTGTAAATTAAGTGAGTATTATTTATGCTTACATATCAAGTTGCTTGGGAGTCATAAATTTTCCACTAGGATACAACATAGAACATCCCAGACGGAAATTTTGTTAAAAAAGTGCGTTGACATTCTATATAATGAAAATGTTATTCATGGTAATCTATTATGACACTTCCGTTGACGGTATTTGTGACATCGCCCACTGCCGCTGTTTCGTCGCTATTATATAATGAGAGTGTACTTCATGGTAAGCGATAATAAAACTTCCGTCTACTGCCTTCGCTGTATCGCCCACTGCCGCTGTTTCGTCGCTATTATATAATGAGAGTGTAATTCATGGTAAGCGATAATAAAACTTCCGCCCACTGCCGCTGTTTCGTCGCTATTATATAATGAGAGTGTTATTCATGGTAAGCGATTATAAAACTTCCGTTGACTGCAATCGCTGTATCGCCCACTGCAGCGGTGTTGTCGCCTCTCCTTAGGCATATACACTGACATTTAGTACAAGCCGCCGGAGCATACAGGGATATCTTCTCCTTTAACACTTTCTTGTAGGACTGGTTGATGAACATGTATATAATCGGATTCCAGATGACTGACGCTTTGGCAAATAGAGCTGGCAGCATACCCAAAACGGGATTAATGGTGACGTCATCAAAAACTGCGTACAATGAAATGGCAGAGTATGGGAGCCAGGAAACAATGAAAGCACCTGCCGGACGAAACGAAACACAATAAGAAGATAGCATATATTTGTAAATTGCGAAAAAAAGTATGAACTTACTTTGTAAAAAATATATTTAGTAATAAGAGTAAAAGATATATTACATTAAAAGAAAAACGGATTGCATTTTTTATTGTATTTGTAAAGAAAATGTAAATAGGCTAGAAAATGTCGATCTTAAAATGAATACTGTTAATCAGTTGGGAAAAAAGCGGGAAAATATTAGCATGTTCTTTGACGTCAGATATTAACGCTTGCCAACATGACAATGACTTTTATGGGGATTAAGCCTCGTGTAATCCAAATACATTATGCTGTTATCTGGTAAAGACTGCTTACAAAACTATTTGCAAATACCAAAATAGAAAACAAACATTTAATGTATATGGAAAATAGCAGCTTATTTAACATTCACATTGAACAGGATTATTTGGGAATATCTACATGCTGTAGTTGTTCACAACTACAAAAGGTGGAAATTAGAAACTTCCTATCATTTATGATTTCTTAGATATCAGGAAGGATCGAAGTGCTTATCAAATTTAGAAATTCATATATTTCACGGTCACAAATGTAACAAAAATAAAACTAGTGGAATGTTTTTAGTCCGAAATGATGTTTTAGTTAGCAAAAGTCATCGTAATTCTAACCACGCTCGAACTCTGACTTTACAGTCTTATACTATACAGATAGTACCGGAGATAATTCCTCTCTAGCCGTGTGGTATGTTATGACTAATTCCCCTCAACCTCCCAACTTTAGGCTTACCATTCTTAAATTCAACCCTAATTCAGCCAAAGAGTAGTGCCTTTTTGCCAAGAAATAAATCATAACCAAGATTACACATATGCAACTGTAGTCTATATGTAAAAAGAGTCTCAAGCAATGTTGTTTTGAAAATATGGATAAAACTGACAAAGATGATACCGACGTGCAATCAGAATTTTCATTACACTCAATGAAACTAGGGCAAAATATTACCAAAAGTACCATGAACATGGCAGCCAATTGAAATATCAATATAGCATACCATTGCCATTTAGTTAAAAGAGGATAATTAGTACAATATAAGTACAATACATATTCAAAGTGACACATGTAGGAGCTAAAACACAAGCAATCGATACACCACAGCAATACATGTGCATGTTATTACTCCCTCGAGAATAACGTTCGAAAGGTACTACTACCAAATGCTACATACTTCTCGATAAATTATAAGAGCCTACATTTCAGTTTATAAGTATTTCTATAGTTGGTTTTTTTTTTATTATTTTTTTTCTTCTTTTTCTCTGAAGAAGTATGAAGGCTATTTACACCATTTCAATAATTTACTATACTTTACCTATAGCACTAAATTGGAGTAGGTTTTAGTTTTATGTATATAAACAAAAACATATACTTACATACAAGAATAAACATTGTTTTTATCACCTTTATTTCTCTTTTCAGCATATTTTCGTAGCATTTACCGTTGTTACGTAATGTTTGACCCAGTTTGTGCCTGTGGGTTCGTATCTGCAGAAGAAACAAAAAAAAAATGCAATGCAATCTTTGTTTATGATTTTTACATTTATCAACGTAAAAAGAAAAATAATAGTGAAAGAAGTGGAAAAGGTAAATTGTGAATCGGGTTTGAACAAAAAAAGACTTATTTTTGAGTTGAGATTTGTTTTTTCCTAAAATTAACAACACGGGTTGTAAAGTTGCATTATATATGTTAACACGTCAGATGATTAAATACAAGGAATAAAGACGAATTTTGTTCATTCATCGGAAATTGAACATTTGAAACATTACAATGACAATTATTTGTCTTCGGAACTGGCACGAAATAGCTGCGCAGAAATAGGTTTCAAAATACACAATTATGACATTCTACAACATTTTTGATAATGCAAAGGAGATTTAAATATTTCATTTAACATATTTAATGTAGTATATTGATAATTTATGATATACGTGTGTACAAGTGTTTTTTGCCACTCACGAACTGAGGTATATCTTTAGTATCTAGCATACGGAAGCATAATTATTGTTCATTATCTATACAGGCGATGTCTTTTTACTTTTCCTACATAAATAAATAGAAAGAATAGATAAACAACTTAGAAGATTCTATATTCTAGAAGTTCACCAAAAAAATATGAAATATATATTAAGATTGTAATATTTCTTTCAGTCTACCAATTATTTTTCCAACAAAATTATGGGTAAGCATTTGGCTTAATTTCGGAGCAGTCAATCAGGCGGACAAAAATCTATACATAAATTATATATGCTATGTTGTGTTTATCACGTGAATGCATGTATACTCTTATCATAACGATAAAAGATACATAAAAGATACGTTTTGTCTGTGTATTTGTAAGTAAAGCAAACATACTTACTACGAGAAAAATATTGATGTACGAGAAAAGCATGATGGCAACAGGAAGCACAAGTCCCAGCACCATTAAGAGAAACGTGTAACACAAAGCCGACGGACTGCGGTCGGACCAGTCAATAGTACAGGACGTCTTTTGTTCCTCCAACTTATAAGAGCTCCATCCGAGAAGTGGAGAGCATCCTAGAAACAGTGCTAGTATTACACAGGCTATAATAGTATAAGTTGTTCCAGTTCTGGATAAAAGTCGCTCCAAGCTTTTCTTCGCCATAATGATGTACTTTTCGAATGACATTACTGTCAAAATGAAGATTTGAAATAGACCTAATGTTGTCATGGCAAATCCATGCAGAACACATCCTGATTCACCAAACACCCAGTCATCTGCCAGTGAGGAGATACCAAGTGAAGGGACAATGATGATTGCAATCATTATACTAGCAACGCAAAGAGTGATCACATAGATATTGTTCCGTGATTTACGTATATTTTGTTCCAGCAAGATGTAAATAAAAAGGATATTGGATAATGAACCGACTATTCCAACTATCAACATGAAAATAGCAGTTGCCTGTAGCATACCTCTCCTAAATGCTTCATTGAATGATTGCGTAAAATTGCACTCAAAATATTCTGGAGTATATGTTGATATGTTCATCTTGAAACGTTGATTTTTTTAAGTATCTGAAACAGAGTTATTATTACTTAGATATATAAGATTTCCCCAATTGCATCACGATAAGTGCCAAATGTGCTTTTACAATTCAAATTGAAACAGAATCGCTCCTCTCAAGTTGTTTCGGCGACTAACTAGCTATTAGCAGACTGCTCTGCACTAGGTAGGTCTTTATATGGTGTGACAACACCTTTTAATGACGTAGATGCCGGGGGAAAAAGAAAATCGATCATCAGATCGCAACAATGCGGTTAAGAAAAATCCATAAATGACTATAATTCACACCAACCACGCGATTTGTGAAGAATCATTTATAAGATACGATTATTAGAGAAAAATGTTAAGTAAAAAAATGCACGTTGTTCCATTAAATCATGATTTGCTGAACATTGAGCCTTAACTAAGATAAGCATTGATTATTGAAAATATTTGCAACGTAGTTAACAGATGTCAGTTTTTAAAATTATCGATGTATTCGTCGCACGGTTAAGCATATATCAAACGAGAAAGAAAGGTAGTTTAATTCAATGTTCAGCTCTACTGTATCTAACTCGAAATTTGTATGAAAAAGTAATTCACTTTTTGGTCTTTTGTTTTCTTGGTGCATCCCAAGAAATAAGTGATAACAAAATAGTGTGTATGCAATAGAACAAAACAGCAACAATAGTTTGCATTAAAAATTTAAATAATTCAGGCGTGTAAAATCCATATTAACAGAAGAGCTCCCCAATCACAAAGATTTCTGCAACTTAATGTATATTAGTTTACATTTCATAAAAATAATAATGATACTTGTTCCATATTTTCTCAGAACTCAACAAATCTTATGTTTTTTATCAATTTTACGCTTATTCCATTACCATTAAAAGAATTGTTTAGTCGCTTAAATAAAACAAGGTCATCATCTTTTTTGATGAGAGAAATTGTACCAGACTAGTTGTAGTACATTGTAAATAGCACTTGAACCAGAATAAGATCTCGGGATGACAATTTAAGGCCAGTGATTTTACTATTCTGAGAAGACATGACGTTGGCGCCATGTTCCAACAGGAGCAGGCACAGGTACACAAGTCAGCAGAACTTCCCTACATCAGAATTCAGAATAATGTGCAGGTGTTAGACTGGTCATTGAAATCACCTGATTTTTTTCTAATTGAGCCTGTTTGTGCGCCTGAGTAATGCGTGAGAAAACGTCAGAATCAGCTGTCAAACCTGCAGAAGCTGTCCCAAGCATTTAACGCTGAATGGAAATACATTCCTATCCGAATTATAAGTATGCAAAATAACAACAGCAAAATTCCCTCATTAGAAATATCTGTTGGACTGTGTTGTCGACTATGTTATATGTATGTTCCATCAGAATCTAAGTGAGTCTGCTTTGTACGATGAAAATAAAAACAGTCTTTATTCGATTTGAATATTTTGGCAAATGGCACATGGACTCACTTAACGAAAGTGAGGCAAATTGAGATAAACCTCAAATGATAAAAAAGGTCTGTTTATCAAACTACAGTTGTCTTGGTTTAATAGAAAGGTAATATACTTAATTGATATCTCTAGAATCAGGCACACATACACCAAATAAGGCTAAGACCCCATCCTTCCTGCCCCCTCTCTTACTCCATTCTAAACATCATTTATTCTAATTTCGGGGAGGAAAGTAAATGATAGAGTATATGAAAGAATAGATATATAATTTTTTTCTATCTCTTCCCTACATTTATCCAATTAGAATAAACACATTATTACTTTTAATCAATGGTTTACAACCTAACCCAGTCCAACCGTGTAGTGATTCTTTTTCTATCATAACTTTTTTTCCATTTAAACGTAACTCATCTTTTTTTAGCCTCTCTTAACCCTTCTAATCAGCACATTTGCACAAATTACGCACATAATTATAAACAGTCAGAATGTTTGGAAAGAATTCAAGTTGGGATAGCCATGACTACACCGCCACTGATCTAACCATTAACTACAACCGTAGGCAGGCGGACGGGATATCAAACGGTGGCTCTTGTGAGAACTTTCCATCCTGTTTCTTCTCTTCGAAGAGTAGGTGCGATAACGCCGATGCAGTGGTTTAAGGAATAGCGTTAAGATAAACACATCTTATTAGTACATGATGGACGTTAAGACTACGTTAATTTCAAATCAATATATGTACGCCCCTTCTAACCCATTGCCCCATCCAACCTTACAGGCTGAATTCAATTGGATCAACTAGGCTAACATCATTTATGCCACTGACAAGTTAATGCGCCATTAGGCCTAGGGTCTTTTTAAATTACACAACACCCGGACACCCTGGCAGACGGCTCCGCCCGTGAAGGGAGATGCAGTTCACCCCCTCACACCGCCAGATCGTTCGTCGGTGAGACATCGCCTTGACGAGCTGCGGAAACGGAAAACCTGTCATTAATCAGTCAACATGTGGTAAAATATATAAGGTCCACCATCCTTTGATCTAACTTCTTTATTAATTAATACCACAATTCAATAATGCTTTACTGAAGGACATTTTGTAAAATAGTCAATATTTTTGCACCTTATTTACATAACTGTATTTCTTAGTTTGTCACTCCTGGCAAGTTTATGTTTTCCCTTTGTATCATTTTGATTTGATGTTTTATGGTTTGAACATGATAAACTGCAATAGCCATAGTCTATTTGAGCATTTATCCTTTTTAATCTTACTTTAATATACTTAATATACATGTACGTTCTTATCGGAAACCAGTATAAAAAAGATGATTTTATTGAGTAGATTTGATGTTTTATGAATGTAAAATATAAACTGCTCCAGCAATAGTCTGTACACGTTGTTTATTTTTAACCAGACTGATACTGCATAGGTCAACGCTCTAACCGACTTAGCTATCGTGCCCAAGTACGAAGAGACAAGAACCCAAGAATAAGTTTAGCTTTAGTCTAATATACGTACTTATTAGAAACCGGTATGAAACAATAACAGAAACCAAGAAATGCCTGATTACCTGTCATTATTTAGTTGTTGCAACATGACATATAAACAGCATCAAAACGTATCAAATATAAAAATATTTTTGAAATAGTTTAATTTCGTTTTGTAGGTACTCATCATCAATGAATCCACATTTCCACGGAATAATAAACAGTTACAATATTGTACAAATTTCTGGTTATTGTGGAAATCAAAATACCACGAAAATAGTGCCCACAAGTGAACATTCAAATCTTTATTAATACAATTCGCCTGCATCACGAATTACGTGGAGGGAAATGGGCCAACATGAATTATTTGCATATTATATCGTATATTAAGCATAAGTTGATGAAGAGTTCATCAGATCTTTACCAATGAAAGTAAAGGTGTGAAATGGAACAAACGTATAACCTTATGATACAGTTACTGTAGATTAATAGACTCTTTCAATCCCCAATGGAACGGAATGTGAAATAGAAAACATTCAAGTTCAAGTTTTTAGGAAATGTTTATATGAGGTTGACGATAAAATGATAAAATGAGAATGCTTTAATCGTATTTATACATATGAATATATTATTTCAACAGCAACTTTAAAAGACAAGAAGTACATATATTTACATTGACACATCAATAGTATTTTGATATATATTATTATTAAAATAAAGTAAAACACGGCGAATTAAGCATTAGAGTTTTCATTCCTGATTCTTCATGATGCTTAATAAATTGTCTAGATACAATGTCTGTGACGTAGTATTAAGAGTGATTGTGTGACGTCATAATTGAACGGGAGAACATTACATATTATATATCAATACTACTTTTTTTATGGTAGTAGATTAGTTATTAGTAAAGCCTGATGCATGGTTAAGGATAGTGCTGAATCACTAGAACATCTGTACTATAAAATGTAAGTTGCTGGCCACAAAAGTCAGACTTTCATTTTTAACAAAGCCTAACGTTGATGTCGGTAATTCCTGTATAAGTACATGTAGCTTGATTTCACCGAATGTGCAGTTCTCGGCGTCCTTACTGTAGGCCGGATGTCTTGATGAGCACCAGATTGGGACGTGACATTTCAACCACCTGTCGATGGTAGTTTGGGCAGGTCTTGATGCCACATAGACTTACTGTAGCTACATAAGTAAGAATTAGTGTTTCAATGCCTATCGATGGAAGTTTGAATGAGTTTCGATGCCGTACACTAGTGAAAAGGCATATTTAACTGGAAATTCATACCTTTACCGCGTGTATAGTGCATTTCGGCAGGTCTTGACGCGAAACATCTGCACGTAACTAGTCACTTCGGAAGAGACTTCCTTTCTGTATATATTGATGGTCATACAAATGAGTCCTGGCAAATTACCAAATTGTAATCACACATATAGTTTAGATTCGACATCCGTTCTATCAGTCGATCTTAGCACAAACGAGACTTGACAAATTACAGCATTGTGATGGCAACGTGGGTTGGACTTGACATTCTGACTGTGTGTCGGTGATCATATGATTTGGAATCTTTGCTATATGTAGGGCTAGGTATGGTTTCATTACTTAAAAGCTCGTTCTGTATTTTGGAACGCTTACATATGCGGCATTTCCTTAATATTGGTATTTTTTCCATAAGGGCATTTTTGAATGCCTTATTGATAAACATATATATGATCGGATTCCAGATGACAGAAGCTTTCGCGAACAGTGTCGGCAACATATAAAGCAATGGGTTCATTAAGCTGATATCGTTGAACATAGCATATAAAGAAATAGTGGCGTATGGAACCCAGGAGACAATGAAGGCACCTATAACACAAAGAAAACAGTTTTACTAACATGCAACAATGAGAACGACATACAGTCGAAACTCGTGATATCGAAGAAACCCGTTTAATTCGAAGTTTCCCAACGTCCCGCCAACTTCGAATTAACGAAGATTGACTGTGATGCGTTCCTACATGATAAGTGTCTTCTACTTCGCCGAAAACACCAGGAACGTGAATATTATGAACATCTAAATATATAGCACAAGTATCAAACATGTGAATAATAACCAAAATGTCAAACTTTGTATTTCAGACGATTTAATGAAAATTTTAAATTAATGCTTAATGATAAGCATGTTTAGTGGTGAATGTCGACATTTTGGGAAGAATTATCTAGTACAATAGGAAGGTCAAAGGTCGAGGGGTAGAGGGAGTAAGGTAGTGGTGCCATGGAATATTCCCATTAAGAAAATACTTACAAACAAGAATAAACATGGTTTTGATGACTTTGACCTCTCTCTTCAGCATATTTGCATAACACTTCCCGCTGTTACGTAACACCTTGCGTAAATTGAATATATGACCTTTAATCTGCAAAAGATATTTTTAACATAAGGCATGTGCTAATAGGCCCTATTGCATACACACTTTGGGAAACATTTATGTATTCATTGTGATAATGATTTGACAGTTTTACTTCGACAGCTATATACACCTTCAAACGTCACGTCAAGTTCACATGGTCAAAACAATTGATACCACTGCAAAGGTCTTGTCACAAGCAACACACATTCCAAGTATGAAAGCCAAACGAACAGACAGTCAAACAGACAGACAAAACGCCTCGATCTGTCGATCCGGTGACATAAAAAACATTTCTCCTGGCTTGAAAAGAAGTGCACAAGAGATATGAACCTGTTTCATCATTAATAAAAGTTATGCTAAAGCTTGCTCTATAATTGACCAAATTTGTATGCAAACAGTAAGATATTTTTATGGTCTAAACATAATATATGTAAGTTGTATATATAGGCATAAGACTCACCAATCTTAATAAAGCAAAAATATTATTTCAATAGCACAAAAGCGATGCTTTTCTTATCATATCATTTCAGATCATTACATTACCAAGTTTGACTTTCATTATCCCCCGCACCGAAACGAGGAATATTAATTAGGGTTTGTCTATCCGTCCGTCTATCTGTCACACTTTCGTTTCCGTGTTCTAACTTCCCCAAATATCATCCGATTTAGATGAAACTTGATCAGCAGATACATATTAGGGCACATAAGACTGAGTTTAGCAATCAGCATCATCTGTTCATGTATATGCATACTAATTAGGTATCCTTTCATTTCATTGGTCGGTCAGTGTCTGTGCTCTAACTTTCCTAAATATAATAAACACTAAATATTTACTTACAATATGTTTGGAAAGCTTGGAATATAAATTCCATGAATTTGCTTGTTACTCAATTAATATTGTCATTATGTATGCCAAACGACATTTCTCTCTACGTCGATATATCATGGTATTAAAAGTTGCTTTGTTGCTACATTGTACAACTGTACCTGTGGAACAGTCAAAATAATCATTCATCGGTTGTGTAAAGGGGGACTTTCGGAATCGCAGCCTTCGGTTGTCATCCTTACTACCTTAGGATGATCGTTTCTTCGTTCCTGGCATGGCCATAAAATACTTTTTAAACATGAAATGAGTGTAATTTCTCCGCCTCAGAATAAGATGATAGTTAAGGTTGAAAATAGCAGGCAATTATATGTGATTTTAAAAAATAAAGATTAAATCACGCAATTGAACAATAATTGTATCAAACAGGTATTTGTGACACATGGAGTACCTACTTACCTGGAAATATATATTTATATACGAGAAAAGCATCACCGAAACAGGAACCACAAGTCCAATTATAATCAGTAGATACGTGTAGGAAAGCGCTTTCCTACTTTTATCGGCCCAGTCAATGGAACATGACGTTTTTTGAAGCTCCAGTTTATAAGAGTTCCACCCAAAGAGTGGACAACTCCCAAGTAAACACCCCAACGCCAGACACAATCCAGTGGTGAAGCGGGTCCCCTTTTTTGACACAAATGAGTCCCAATGGTTTCTGACCACTATGATATATTTTTCGACCGACATAGCGGTGAGAACAAATATTTGAAAAAGTCCAAACGTTGTCATGATAAAGCCATGTAACGTACACCCAACTTCTCCAAACACCCATTTATCCTCCAACGACGACACACCAAGCGTCGGAACCACAAGAACTGCGATCATGATACTTGAGACACAAAGTGTTATGACGTAAATATTGTTTCTGGTCTTCACGATATTGTGTGTAAGTAAAATGTATATGAACAAACTATTAAAAAGCAATCCAAATGTTGCTAGGATAAGCATGAAAATAGCGGTAGCCTGCAACACACCTTTCCGGAAGTAGTTCTGATCTTTGGTGCCAGAATAACACTGATAACAAATATTTGCATAAATTGATGAATTCATCTTTAACGTGGTGCCTTTAACAGTCAAAACCTTCCAAATCTTCTTGTCTTTCCCAGCATCAAGGAGTCTTGATCTATTCTGAACTTGTTATATTCTTAATATATAAATATACCCATATCAAATGATTATCAGGTAAATACAATTTAGCAACGCATTTTGAGTAATATCAAAGGACTTCTGCAACAATACTCAAGTATAATCAGCTTCAATTTGATATCAATATTCATCCATTATCATTACTAGTGAACTGAGTCGACGGCCATTTTACACAAGAACAGTTGCACGTAGTGGTAGGCTGTCTGCACGTTACTTAGACAAAGGAAAATAGACAGGTAAGTCTTTATATATATATATATATATGTGTGTGTGTGTATGCTTGAGTGTAGGGTGAGAACGCGGAGGAGTGCATGTTAATCATCTTACGTAGATATAAAAATCAGTGTGACTGCATTGCATTACACTGCAATATAATAATGATCGTATTTTTTCTTGCGTTTAAGCACACTAATCTCTCGTTTTCAATATGAATGGTGTAATACCAAGGTCATTTTGTATATGAATGTTTATCTCACTTATTCTTATCGATATTTAACGCTTAAGAATTAGTCTGGTATGTACAAAAATCGCACCATATCCCTCCAAAAGACAGATAACGAAAAACAATCAAGCACAATGAAAAAGAAACAAAAACCAAATAAATAGACAAAATAAAAGAAGAAACACCATATTTTTATACAAAAAGAGACAAAGGGGCCTAAATGGTGAAATCACAAACAGGAACAATTGGCATGATTTTGTATCATAAAAACTTAGATATAGTAAAATTTACCCCTTCCCTGCGACTATGGGGTCATGAAAGTTACAATTGTGATAAAGCTCATGTACACCCTTCCATCGATTAAAAGTATTAATTCTACCATATTCAAGTATTGAGCACGTTTTTTAAGTTCTTAGTCATTTTTATCCATCAGATCGTTGGCATACAATCTACAATTTTGGTATATCTTTTGCCATGTTGCCATGGAAGATTTCTGCAAAAGTTTATTGAAATCAGTCCAAGGGATATTCAGAAGTTAATAATGTTAAATGTTTTACGATAGCACGGCGATCGACAGACAATGTCGGTTAAAAGGAGATTGCAATAGATAACCATGAGACTTTGTCTCAGTTGACCTATACAGTGTATTTTATTAATTGATATCATTCACATATACATTATACAATGACTTACAAAATACATCAGTTCATTTTGCTACTTAGCTGAACGTGCGGTTCAAATGCCATCCTCTTTGTACTTTTTCAGGAGTCTCCGTGTGAAGCTTTCTTTTGTTCATGTTTTGGTAGGTACATGAACACATGCTTATATACACGTATGAATCACATGTTCCTAAAGTGCAATTCATTTAAGATCTCTTGCATAGCTAGTCCTTATTTCCATCGCGACATTGGTTTCAGTAACAGACCTCCGGTTCTGTGATACAGACTCTTGTTTCAGAGATACCGACCCTCGTTGCAGAGATACCGACCCTCGTTGCAGAGATACCGACCCTCGTCTCAGAAATTCTCAAACTCGTTTCAGAAATACCAACCCCAAGTTTCAGACATACCGTCCTTCGTTTCACACATACAGTCCCTCGTTTCAGGTTATTCAAGAGTTTAAGGTAACGCTGGTGTTATCATTTCGTAGAAGATACAAGAAGCGCACAGCATCAATAATATCTAGTATCAGTGCTACAGTATAGAATGTCTTAATCTTTTTTTCGAACAAGTACGTCCTGTGCAGCAAGCTCTTTCACTTAATCAATAAATTCGATTTAATCTATGTTTTATTGAATTATGTTGGGTTGGGCAGATAAAGGAATCATTCCCTAACTTTAGGGTACAACAGAGATGTGTTTGCCTTCTCGGAGATTAGTGATTTATCCTGAATGTAGGGCAGATTTTTTTCTACCACGTGGGAGATTACTGTCTAATCCTCGGCAATGTGATCTATTCCATTTAAAAGATAAGTTTCACTAAGCACATCTCATGATTTTGACTATTAATGTCATGTCATTATGATTGATGAATTGTGTTACGAATGTATAACATTGTATTCCATTCTTTGGTCAACACACAACCTAATGTTTAATGTATTATTTTCATGGAACTGCACAAAAGGAGAACCATATCTTACAGACGTATTGATATTCTAAACCTCAGTAAGCCTCTTCTCTACATCAATGGACATAACTTGGCTGATCATGAAAACGAACGATCAATCATCAGAGAATCACTGTACTATTATTCGGAAACATAACAGTATCAGAAGCGTAACCAAAATAATGCCAGATTAGATCGAAAATTATATTTAGCGAAATAGCAATTTCTAGCAATATAACAAAAGAAACTAAACCCAATTAAAATATAACCTCAAGAAGACCCTTGATATGGTACATGAAACATAAGACCAAGTTTTCCAAAGGAGAGCTTTGAATTTAGGTCTAACTGTTATGACTTTGTACACGACGAACGTAAGTCGAATATTGATACGCTCGTTTAACTTTTGTGATAGGCAAATACTGATCTAAGGAAAAGGTCAAATATAGGTCAAACATGATAACCTTTACCCAGTCATGCGTGTAAAGGATTGAGACAAATTTGTTGAAAGGCTTTCAGGATAGTTTGAAATTTCACGACTCAAGATTCTCGATAACTCGCAATATTGAGTCCCACAGTTTTTCTTCTGTCTTGTTATCTGATGACTTTTATCTTGGAATATCTTCAAAATAAGAGCACATCTTCGAACGAATAGGGCGTTACCTTAACTATATCAATAATAAAACTAATTCCAAATTCCTTAACACACGCCATCATCCAAAATGAAGATGCAAAATACAGATTTGCTGACACGTTAACTGACGATCTGTCTTCAAAGATGACTTGCACCCCTGACATATTCTGTAATCACATTAGATATCTTCTGCTAAGCGCATGAAATTTCTTTCTACGGTAAATCCTGAGAATAATACTATCAAAGTAGCGTACTTAATGTTGCCTTCCATAACTCTTGTAATCAATATGCTACGTTGCAATGTAATGATGGATAATACTCTTCAGCCGAATACATTAACAACTTTAAGTTAAAAAAAATATTAAAAAATCAAACAAAATTGTTTGTTCATACGTCCGGTAATGAAAATTTAGTACTTGGTTTTGCCAGGATAAAGAATGATTAACATTTTATCTCATCATGCATTTACAAAACAATCAATATATGGTATGTAATGTCTGAAATTACCGAATATGTAAATTATTCCTGATATGTAATGTAAAATTAATTCTTGTTTGCATCTAGTTATTTCGAAATGGAACAATGCTTACATAAAAACAGCATGAAATAACAACTCGCATGTTAAAAAATCGATGACACGAGGACAACATATCAACAAATCAAGATTTAAATAACCTTAACAAGGCACGAGGGAAATAAGACCATGTGCTAGAAAGGTAGGTTTCTGCTTAATCGACAACACTAGCAATGTAAATCTTGGGAAAACAAATGAGGTAATGTGACATTCTCAAAAAAGAACATAAATAATCACAAAACCAGCTTACCTTGCGAACATTAAACACATCTAAATTAAACAGGGAAAAAAGAAATTAGATTAGGTCGACCATAATACTTTCACATACGTTCCAGATGTAATGTTTCTGTAATGAGTGTGAAAAATTCTGCCAGGCTTTAACTAATGACAGAAAAAGAAAAACATTAAAATTCCACCATGTCAAAATAATCATTAACCAAACTCAGATTCAATAAAACTAGAGCAAAATATGAACAAAATATAGATTTAGGCGAAGATTCCTGAAAAAATTTTAAAAAAGCATCTGATTTTTAAATGAGTACAAAGTATACAACAACGGAACCAACAGGCATACAAACGAGCACCAAACACGTCCAGCTTTTTTTATCGTACAAAAAAACCCACCAGAATATTTCTCAATGAGACCACTTTACAAACGTAAAACTGCACCATACTTCTTATTAGCCTATATCTTTGGAAACAAGTTTATGCGTCAGTTGACGATTTTTGGACGAAAATCGTGATAATGGGAATAAAGTCTTGAATATCAAATCAACTCTGATGTGTAAATACGAAAGATTGGGGATGTATTAATGTTCTTATCCAGAAATGGAAAATTCAATATAGAAAAATTTAAACAATTACGCTAGCAGTGATAAGGGCTTATTTGTCGCTTTTGTGGTAGCTATTCGGTCCACCGTACCGAAGATAAACGGTGGTGATCTCAATTTGATAATAATGTTTACATCGATTCATATGAAGTATAGGATTTCATTACAAACGAGAAACGCCCCGATCTTTATGTGGCAATCAGAATGATTAGCTCGTACTGTGTCTTCGGAAAATGTGGATGATATATCCTTTTTAAAGAGCATGTCTAGTCATTTTGTATACATTAAATGCAAATAGTGTTCCTAAACAAGGATCAAATTATAAGATACGCTGTATCTTATCTACATACACAAAAACATATTATTAAATTATTAACAAGGCCCTAACTTCAAGATCACGAAAAACAGTTTTGACTTTCGGTATCGTTTCAGATTTGATTCTTTTATGAATAATAGACCAGACCAACTAGGTTTTTTTCCACTCTGAAAGTTGACAAGGGGAACTGTTCCTGTCAAAAATATAGCTGTATAAGGGAAAGGACAAATGAACGGTTATATCATTCATTTTCTGTTGTAGAAAGTGCCATTTACGAACAAACCCTTAATGCGTTTTTCGATGAAACAGCTATATGATTCATTGCTTGGATCTACTGTATCTAATTCTAAAATTGTATTGAATGGTGCTATTGACTTGTGTGTATTATGTACAACCTTAGAAACTGTATATGATAGACATTGCTGGTGGACTTTTTGCCGAGGTTGCCTTAACCTGCTTGTCAAGTTTCAAATTGTCGGAATAATAGCACGGTTCAGAATATACGCATATATTTGATGTTGTTTGGAAATTATCAGATACACTTATATGCATGTTACCGTGATTTACTGCATTATTAAGCTTGTGCATCTCTCAATCTAGATATAGGCATTTCTTTTGGTCGGTTTTGATATAGCCTCCGCGGTGCCAAAGGCCTTTTGATATTGTACTGGCTTGTCATACATGTAAAAGGACGAAACAGTTTGAATTCATTAATTGGCACTGCTTTATCTTAATCGGAAGTATTTAAAGGCTATATTTACATGCATGACCTTCGTACAAAGTTTAAGATAGCAGGTGGTAGACACAGCTGGTGGACTTGAAGCCCCGTCTATATTTTGACTTTCCTTTTCATCACTTTGGATTCCCCTTAGTCGCCTCCTAGGCTTCGAACTTTAGGCCCTTAGCATCAATGCCGAGTTCCAGAAGGACGAAACAGCTGTATGATGTAGCATCACTGACGAGTTACAGAAGGACGGAACAGCTGTATGATGTAGCATCACTGACGAGTTACAGAAGGACGAAACAGCTGTATGATGTAGCACTGACGAGTTACAAAAGGACGAAACAGCTGTATGATGTAGCATCACTGACGAGTTACAGAAGGACGAAACTGCTGTATGATGTAGCATCACTGACGAGTTCCAGAAGGACGAAACTGCTGTATGATGTAGCATCACTGACGAGTTCCAGAAGGACGAAACTGCTGTATGATGCAGCATCACTGACGAGTTCCAGAAGGACGAAACTGCTGTATGATGTAAGTATCAATGACGAGTTCCAGAAGGACGAAACAGCTGTATGATGTAAGTATCAATGACGAGTTTCAGAAGGACGAAACAGCTGTATGATGTAGCATCACTGACGAGTTCCAGAAGGACGAAACTGCTGTATGTAGCATCACTGACGAGTTCCAGAAGGACGAAACTGCTGTATGATGTAGCATCACTGACGAGTAACAGAAGGACGAAACAGCTGTATGATGTAGCATCACTGACGAGTTCCAGAAGGACGAAACTGCTGTATGATGTAGCATCACTGACGAGTTACAGAAGGACGAAACTGCTGTATGATGCAGCATCACTGACGAGTTCCAGAAGGACGATGTAGCATCACTGACGAGTTACAGAAGGACGAAACTGCTGTATGATGTAGCATCACTGACGAGTTCCAGAAGGACGAAACTGCTGTATAATGCAGTAAATTCATTATTTGGCTCTTCTGTATCTAATTATAAATTTGAATTGAGGTGTAATTCATATTCACATGTGTCTTTTGGATTGGGGGGTGGGGGGGAGTGGGTGTGTGTGTGTGTGTTTCATATTTAAAATTTTCAGGTTCATTTTTCAGGCAGTGAATGTAAGAAATTATTATTAAGAATGTCAAAAAAAATAAAATAATCCCTATCGTAAATTCGTACAATAAGAATTGTATCATCATATTGAACAAGTCTGTCAAAAGATTACGTATTCCTCATCTGGGTGTGTCAGTTCTTCGCCTAGTAAGCTTCTCTTCAATTTATCGTTCGCCCTATATCTGATTTATCTTTCCCAGCTTTTAGCAAGCAGTGCACGTAAGATCAGATCGAAAAGGAGATTCCAAATTAATGTAGATACCATATGCTTATAGGATCAAATAATGCTTCAAAAAATTAAGTTTCATTGGTTGTCTCATAATGTCTATCCTAGTAAGTGAATCATTCACAAAGTTGAAACCGTATTACTCGTCGTCGGGATAAAGAATTTTCTCTTCTTAGCTTCACAAATTGATCGTTCATATGTTGTCGTTTTCTTTGCAATTACTTCTTAGCATGAACAAATCAGTATTGTCAGAGCCAGTCTAAGACTAATTATTACACTTGTACCTCAACAACACAATGATGGATTACTTTTCCTGTTAGAAGATTATCCTCAATATGTCTAAATGTTTCAGTAAGAAAGTATCATTATCAGATGATTCAATTTCAATGAGGATATAACGTCAATGACAGTTTTCACTAATGTTACCGACGGCTTTTAATAAATGTCAGTTATCTTTTCGTAACCATTACCATCAAGATAACGATAAAGGTTTAAAATGCTCTTCTGCGGACGCACTCATACATCTTTAATGCAAATTGCAGAAGTGTGTTAAATACCACACAAGACTATGAACAAATTTTCAACTCCGAGTGCCGGTCACCAATTCTTGATCGTCTTGGGGTCATAGTGTTTAGCTACTCTGATGTAAATAACAAGAAAATGCATTCTTTTCAGCAATAGGGCTATGGTATCCTACGTTTTATCAACAATTAGTTTAAGTTTACCTTTAGTACATGCAATATGCACATCAAAACATTCGGTTCCTTTTTACGTAAAGTAAATATGAATGCGGGGACCACATGGTGCCGATGACACTGTGAATAGAGTATGGGGCGATTGATTTTCCAAAATGATACATATGACCACATCTGGCATACATGTATTTAGGATCCGTTTACGCCATACCTCGTACCATTTTATATATATATATTTGAAAACGCTGAACTTGAGTTTTTTTTTTATTTGAAGAGTTAAACAAATCTACTGACAATATATAAGTAAATTTCTAATCTTCAGTTGTTCTTTATTTTATTCAACTTTTGTTCAACTTGTTCAACAAATGCAGGAAATGTTGGATCTGATAAACACAGACGTAAGATGAATTCTAAATGGTCGCCCGGTATATTACAACAGTTTTGATAAGCTGCCGGGAACGAGGCTTCTTCCTCTTTTGTAACAACCTTTAAAAATATGCGAAACGTCATGTTAATACTAGAAATAAGACATTAAATGCAACATCTAAAAAGTATTATATTCATTTGTTACAATATTTTTTCGTTATATCTTAATTCACATTTTATAATCGGTTTTGATTCGCTCAAAACTTCTAACTTTCTGGAAAAAAATCCGTAAACATGAACGGTATGTATACTGTTTTCGAAATTGTTAGTACACGTGTAGTCTTAGGTTTAGAAGTTATTTTCATAAGAGTTTTCGCACGATATAGCCGTTTTTGCGAAATATATACTCGTTTCTCACTTTCACTACCAGTTTAAGTATTTGTACATCTGTCGCCACATCAACTCAGGCCTACATAACAAAAGCATAACAATATGGAAAGACGCCAATATATCAACTAATATCGTTAACTGATACATTCTAACCAAAAAACCATTTGAAGTGTACCTGATTTTATTCGGAACCTCGTGTTAATAGTTCTGAAAAACAACAATATACAAGAGAGAGCAATTTCAGTCCTGACAACCACGTAAAGTTTGAAATGCAGTATATATACCAGAGCATATTATTTGAAACGGACTAAGTACTTAACGTGCATTTGATTGCATGCCGTAAGTTATGTTCCTACCTCCGCTGTTCTCTAAAACATAGCGTTCATGTCGTATGTACTATATACATTTATTTAAGTTTATCGACAGTCAGAACTTAAAGATAAATACCAACCTTGGCGATTTTCGAAAGAGTAACCTCCCCTTGGAGATTTGCCTCGTGTCTTTCAGCAGATTCTTTGTTTTTGTTCTGAAACAGTATAGAATGTTATATATCATTAGTATATTACCATGGTATCACAAATGACATATTTCACACCTAAAATTTTATGTTCAAGAAAGTATTACTATAATAATGTAATATAAATTTCATCATTTAACTTATAATATAATATAATATAACATAATATAATACAATACTTTGAGAAAATTTGCTTGATTCCTGAAATCTGGGGTGTTGTAATTTGCTTTTGGCTGAATAACAGATACTCCTCAACTTTCAGATTAAATTATTTTTTCAGTATTTGCTACATACATTTATACCTACTTCGAAAGTTTTATAAAACTTTGAGTAAATGTTGTTATGAAAATATATGTTTGTGGAATAGAAATGTAGTGGAATGATTGCAGATACTGTGGTAAATTTGATGATACTTCACCTCAACGGAGGTAACTTCCAGTTTGACACAACATATTTTTTTAGGCAGAATGTCAGTCCTTTTGAAAACAATATTTATTTAGTGATGAATTTCTCGTGAGGTAAATGATTTTCCGAAAAACATACCATGAATTATTCCTGTCAAGAAACAGATTAGCCAACGGTACATTGTACCACGAACCATCAAATCCCCAAGCGTGTACCACGAACTATCATTTCTCAAGAGAATTACCAAAAAAAACCAAATGCCCAAGAGATTGTACCACGAATCATCAAATGCCAAATAGATTGTACCACGAATCCCCAAGAGATTGTACCACGAATCCCCAAGAGATTGTACCGCGAATCATCAAATGCCCAAGGGATTGTACCGCGAATTATCAAATGCCCAAGAGATTGTACCACGAATCCCCAAGAGACTGTACCGCGAATCCCCAAGAGATTGTACCACGATTCCCCAAGAGATTGTACCGCGAATCAAGAGACTGTACCGCGAATCCCCAAAGATTGCCAATCAAATCCCCAAGAGATTGTACCACGAATCCCCAAGAGACCGTACCGCGAATCCCCAAGAGACTGTACCGCGAATCCCCAAGAGACTGTACCGCGAATCATCAAATGCCCAAGAGATTGTACCACGAATCCCCAAGAGACTGTACCGCGAATCCCCAAGAGATTGTACCGCGAATCCCCAAGAGAATGTACCACGAATTCCCAAGAGATTGTACCGCGAATCCCCAAGAGATTGTACCGCGAATCATCAAATGCCCAAGAGATTGACCACGAATACTCAAGAGAACGTACCACGAATCCCCAAGAGATTGTACCGCGAATCCCCAAGAGATTGTACCGCGAATCATCAAATGCCCAAGAGATTGTACCACGAATCCCCAAGAGACTGTACCGCGAATCCCCAAGAGATTGTACCACGATTCCCCAAGAGATTGTACCGCGAATCCTCAAGAGACTGTACCGCGAATCCCCAAGAGATTGTACCGCGAATCATCAAATCCCCAAGAGATTGTACCACGAATCCCCAAGAGACCGTACCGCGAATCCCCAAGAGACTGTACCGCGAATCCCCAAGAGACTGTACCGCGAATCATCAAATGCCCAAGAGATTGTACCACGAATCCCCAAGAGATTGTACCACGAATCCCCAAGAGATTGTACCGTGAATCCCAAAGAGATTGTACCGCGAATCCCCAAGAGATTGTACCGCGAATCATCAAATGCCAAATAGATTGTACCACGAATCCCCAAGAGATTGTACCGCGAATCCCCAAGAGATTGTACCGCGAATCATCAAATGCCAAATAGATTGTACCGCGAATCCCCAAGAGATTGTACCGCGAATCATCAAATGCCAAATAGATTGTACCGCGAATCCCCAAGAGACTGTACCGCGAATCCCCAAGAGATTGTACCGCGAATCATCAAATCCCCAAGAGATTGTACCACGAATCCCCAAGAGACCGTACCGCGAATCCCCAAGAGACTGTACCGCGAATCCCCAAGAGACTGTACCGCGAATTCCCAAGAGATTGTACCACGAATCCCCAAGAGACTGAACCGCGAATCCCCAAGAGAATGTACCACGAATCCCCAAGAGATTGTACCGCGAATCCCCAAGAGATTGTACCGCGAATCATCAAATGCCCAAGAGATTGACCACGAATCCTCAAGAGAACGTACCACGAATCCCCAAGAGATTGTACCGCGAATCCCCAAGAGATTGTACCGCGAATCATCAAATCAAGATAAAGGAAAACAGTCTTCAGCACTTTACATGTACACTCCAAGGAAATAATAGATTTACATGTGTTACATAATTACTGTAGACAACTCTCATGTGTCTTTATTCTGAAAACATCAACTCTACATTAGGTCGCGTATGTGCATTACCATCTCATTTCAGAAAGTGCCACTCATCAAATGTAACATCGGTTTTCCCAACATATACCGCGAATCTCTTTTCAAATGCTATCTTGAGAGCCGTTATGCTCGAAAAGTATTTTATATAGGATGGTCTGGAGTCAAAGACAGTCATCTTAGACTATTAAAGAGACATTTAACAATCAAAGAGTTAGTTCTGTTATGTGCCTATTACCATACAACAGGTTTTTCATCCTTAACGCTAACAGAATTCATGCCTTTGTTTTGTTTTAATGACGACAATGAAATTACAGAAGATTTTTGGTGAGATGGATGACGCAATAAGTTGAGGAAGAGTGTCTTCCCTCAGAGAGAACTCACGCCGGGTTTGTTAGAATATTCTTTTCCCCCATAAAGTTACATAGGAATTTTAAAGTGTTTTCCTACTAGTTAGGATATAAAACAACATCTAAAATACCCCTTAACTTATCTCAAACCTGCATCAGCTTCGAATAAACTGATGGTCAACGACATCTTTACTACGGTGACGTCTCTCGGGTAAATTGTATTGTTTTTCGCTGATGCGAAAGCTGATCTTCAACAGAAATCCTGGAGCTTTTATAGAGGCCATATTGCGGTATAAAACAACACCCACTTGATTATGTCACGTTTGGTGTAAAGCTTCACCTGCCTGACTAGGTCAGTTTGGGGCAAGATTATGCACATTTTACGTCACGTTTGGTTTTTAAAACACCGCCAGCTTAGCTAGACCAGTTTGGTGTTATGTCAGCTAGGGACAAGGTCAATATTAGGCTGGGTCAGCTTGGTACTAAGTCACAAAGATATTTAATCGAAAGTAGATCGATAGGTCGGGTGTAGGTCAATTATAGTACCTCAGCTTCTGTTATTATTGGATTTAAAATGCTAAAAGTACTTGGGACATCACTAACACACCTCTCTTATGTCTTTTTCAAGTTGAAGCACTTTGATTGGAAAATATGCAGACATCTTTTCAGAGAAATCCTGACATGTCTTAACATCTGTTTGTTCATTGCAGCTCGAAAACTGCATTCTAAATCGGCGGGTTTCTTCCTGAAACCGATAACATAGGCACAGAAAATAGACATTTTAAAAATAAACTCATATACTAAAAGCATTTGTTCACATGTCATTGGAATTTTAATATCGTAACATTTTTTAATTACGTGGCAAAGCTTATTCTGAATGACATATCCGCCTTTAGAACCTTTGGAATTGTTGTTGGGAAAGTGAAATATGGAAATAAGAGTGTGTGACTGAACCACCACACTGTTTTGTCTGTTAATGTTATCGATATAAATACTGCCACAAAGTAGATAGACTATGATATGTAGGGTAACTTACAAATAGCACAGCATACCTTGATTTTGCATACCAACAGGACACTGTCTCCCTTACTCGTCCCTCTAATCCAAGATCCAGCTGTCCTCAAATGGATTGATTCCTGCATTGTATTGGTATAATTCATCATTATCTGATAATGTACAAACATCCATATAAGTTACAAATATATGATCACGTGCACGTTTATTTGTTTTTATTTACGCATTGGCCTCATTTCATTTTATTAGCTCCCTTAATACATAAGTAGGGCATGAATTGATCATAGACAATATTGAACTGTAAAAATAAATATAAATTCACATAAATATGAGCGATCGATGGCACAATCCTAGTACGCTAGCCATTCACCTCGGTGACCGGTGTTCGATTCCCTTTCGGACATGGAGGGGTCGAGGTCACCTGTACTACCATGGACACAAGGACTTAAAGCACTATATTCAAAATGAAACCTACCATGACCGTTGTACCTCTCGTCAGCACAAATTGACCTTCCTGGTGAAGTACAGCTCTCAGTGGTTTTTCGTCCCCGCAATACTATTGAAGAAACAAAAGTCAAATATAATGACATTGGTTGCGAGAACAACTTACTGGTTTCGTTTGGGCACCAATGTCGGTCGGATACCAACATTTACTTTAAAGATTTTTTTTTTTTCAAATCTCGATACTCCATACTAGTCATTTTGTATGTAAATGCAATGTTTTCTCAAGGGGGAGGGGAGGAGGTTTGTGATACTGATATTAGTGCTGGAAACATGCTTATAGCCCCTGTATACTCGTCAACACATTTCATCCTAAATACATTTTCTCATTTAGAACAGACTATCCCTCGGACAGTCGATCCCCAGCTCACACATACGTGCAGCGTGTATAAATATCCTTACACTTCATCTTTGTAACAGCGTCACTGTTTGGTAGAAAAGTAACTAGATGTATGAGGAGCCTATGTACACGAAAAGCTCCGCTTAAGTTGTCGCCCTTCCTTTTTTAATGTTACTAATATACGAGCAAACTTGGAAATGACTTTTCGATATGAAAAAAAAACCCCCATCGAAATCGATGCATTCGGGAACAGCAAAGAAAATGCGTGAAGGAAATTAGGAAGATCGATTCTTTTCACACTAGTACATTGCGTTACCTCCTCCCAACTTCCTTTAAAAGGTGGCCCGGTATCTCCCTCTGTCTGCTGTAGTTGGCGAAATCTGGCGTAGCGGTTCAAAGACCACACGGTAGACATTGCTGCCATCTTTCGAATTTTCCCGCCATTTGCGTAGACTAACCCGAAGTGAAAGGTAAATAATAATTAAAAAGGGTAAAATTTCCGGAATAATCTTTTAAAAGATTAACATGTATCGAAATTTTTGAAAAACATGAAATTGTAATCTTAGAATTTAGTTATTGGTCTCACTTTGTGAAACAATCACTACCTAATCATAAACTGTTTGTAGTCGGCACTGAATTGATAAAGAATTGATAAAGAATTGATATAGAATTTATATAAAATCAGAGACGTATATCTTTTTCTCTTCTTTTCTTTCTATCCTATCATCTCATATTTTCCTCCTTTTGACAAAATGATTTAAACTTACAATTGTACGTCTACGAATTACTTATCTTTATATTTATAGTATAAATATGTGTCACGTGTAATATATTAATTATTTGTAATTTTATGTATGGAGAAGAGTTCATAAGTTGCTAAAAGATGTCTCTGAACCTTCACCAATCACAGCTTCTCCTAACGTGTAATTGTACATGTGGCCATTTTGTACTGCTAAGACAATTAGCTTAACGGTTTTAATTGGAAACATGATACATGTATATATATATATGCATATATGTAGTATTAAACCTGTGTTATGATGTATTACGGTCAAGCTTGGACAGTGAATTTCGAAATGTAATAAAATATTCTAATTAAAAACTAATTAATAATGATATCACAAGCCATTGCAACCAGCTTAACAGTCTCTGTTGGGTAAACAGACACATCAATTTATAGATATTAAGCCGTAATATCAAATATTGATAAATATAAACATTCGTCGCGATAGTCCGAGTGACATACAGTGTGTATGTATCGGTGTAATGTAGATAACTTGGTCGTTTATCCACAATTTGACGTACATATACTGTATGCACAGTGATAAAAAATATGAAAGAAGACATATAAGATGATGTTTGTAAGTATATGATTTGTTTACTTTAATGTATATACTCAAGGTTTCTATGCAATGTACATCTGTATATACATATATGTTTCAGTGGGTTTGGTTTTTTCTGATTAAATTCGTATCATCCTAAATTTGCACAAACGAGGCCCGTCATGTGACACCAATAACACTAGCGAGTCATGAAAATATTGGACATTGTAACGTGCTTGTGTATACGAATACCAATATTCTTCAGAAAATAATGTCCGACTTTTGAAGGTTCATACCCACCAAAAAAATACTATTTCCTACAATTGTCTAAGAAGAAACGCTATATAATTTACATGTCGACTGACGCTCAATAAAATGGCCTTAACCGTATCCCTTATCCCCCTAAGAAAATCATGTTACTTTTATTTAAGTGCTGCACTAAATCTAAGTCATCAATTATCACATCACAAAGTTTTCAAAAGACGATACAGAGAAGAATTGTCCGGAAATATGACATCCGCCTCCGTTTTCTTTTCATTTATGTGACGTCATCAATATTTGTGCACAAAGGTAGTTCGAAGATGTCAGAGATTTCCTGATGAATATTGGATAAGTTTTCTGAATACAGGCACCGACAACATGAACGGACACCCAGATAGCAATGAGGTTTGCGTTTATACATTCTCATTTATTGATCAGTTGATAAGTGAATATAATGTCAGACCAGGAGTTGATCGCCGTCCGTTTGACCCCCATTCACCGCGAGGGCCTGCTAATCTGCCAATGACTTTCCCTCTGGCTATTTATGCATTGTCGTGACGGGAAACAATATATTTCATTTGAACAATTATGTGTATAAGCTCAGATATTTACATTCTCTGAGATGAGAGGACACATAAGTGTTTGTGTGCATCCTCTAAAATCCAAATATGTTCTCAACCTGCTGTCATAAGCATCGGACGTATAGGGGGTCCCGACATGTAGTAATTATCCATTTGGGGAAAAACACAAATTTGTATATGAAACATAAATTAGCCTAGTATAAGCAAATTTAGTCATGGCGACGACCGTTACATCAGGTTTCTAAGAAGCAAGCACATTCAGTAAACAACTTTTAGGAAGAAATTATTTACCTTGTCATAAATTTATGCAGCATTGTGACATTTCTAATTGGTGAATAATAAACTAGATTGTATATTGTATACAGACTTGTGTTTTATACGACTCGATTATATCAAGATAATGAATTAATCCTAAAATTTATATTTATTATTTTATGAGTTTCATGCCAGATATTAAAGTACATCAACTGTAATTTAAGATATTTATACATTTTATATAGGTCATTTACACTGCTATATATCTCAAAATTCCAAACACTTTTGCAGGGGTGAGAGAGTACATTGTACATACATACACAAAACAGATGGAAGATCAATGGATTTAGTCATTTTACATTATTTTAACAGATTTAGTTGACTGTTATGATCATTTAGTACTGATGTGACTGTTTCAGTGATTTGACTGAGTACATACGGTGTCATTGCCACAAGCATTGTTCTATCAAAGAAAGATTTTTTTATGTTCATCGTTTGTTAGTCTTTTATTTCTGTTGCTAAAATTGATCATCTGCTGCACTTGTGTGCATACATGTACACAGATTGACAAATTATGTCTGTTGTGATTTAAAAGTTGCTATAATTATAAAAGTGTATTCCTTGGCATGCACTGACACTAAGAATGATCAAATCATCAAAACATTGGCATGTACACTGAATCTGCTAGAGATGTTGTTGATGTCTTAGATTGGATTCCATTGAATATCCTCTGGGATAGTGATCTGGAGATAGGGGTTAGATGGTACCTTTTGGTGGACAGTGTTGGATACTATATGCTTAGTATATAGCATTTCTTGGCAGTAACTTCTCAACTGCTAAATTGATGCATCAAGTATTACCTAAAATTTCTAGTTATTTGAAACTTTGTCAGAAAAGAAGTGTGATCTTCTTTCTCTTGATACCTCAGTAGAGGTGACAGTCAGTCATCTGTGAAAAAACAGGTCTACGATGAGTTTATACAGTCAGGTAGATCCTTTATGATACAGAGATAAGATCATGCTGAGGATTGTGCACTGTGGGACTTTCAGGTTCACTGTTGCAAGGTCGCATGGCTATCTTACATGCATGTACAGCAATGTAAGGAAGAAGATCAGTAATGGGTGGCTAAGGCCTTGACAGTGTCTTTTGTATGATGTAAGTCAGTGATAGAGTTTGTGTGAGACATCAAAACCTTTTGAGAAGCCCGAAATGAGTGCTTATTAGTGTACTGTGTGTCCTAAATCAAACTTTCATTTTTTTTTTATAAATGTCTGATTCCTGTGCTGCTATACAACAATCTAATTTTACCCTATGTTTTTGGTATGTGTAACATTATGTTGTGGTGTCGGGATTTTAGCTCAAAGTATTGTTAAATTATATACCAGCTGAACTAAAAACATCCAGAAGTAGGTTTTCAACTTTAAAATTTCACGGGATAATTTTGACTTTCTTTGATTTATCATTTAAAGTGTCATTGTCAAAGAATTTGTAGACATCGTTCAAACTTAACTGTACATGATCAAATTTTGCATGTGTTTGTTCCAAAGACATGGTAACTATTTTTATTTTACAATTACAAATACTGGTATAACGATCTATATCTTTGAATTTAGAATGATTCAAATTATCATATTAAGCTACCTGAGATTATCAATTCATTGATGTCTATATTGATTTAATTACAGGGCACCCCCCGTAAAACTCATCTGCAGAGCTTGCCCTCTGACTACAGCGATGTCCAGCCATCAACCTATGACCCAGAGTTTATATCAGATATAAGTAATAAGATGCAGGTGCCCCATAAACTTGGCCCTATTAAGGATGAAGTTGGTGACACCCATGGATTCCAGTCAACCGCCACTGATGTCAGTGCCCACCATATGACAGTTCCTGACAGGATCTTACTTGCAGGTGATACAGCATGAAACCTGTTGCCAAATTATTAACAACTGAAAATTGCTCTTTTTAGCTCACTGGTTATAAGTAATCAGAGAGTTTATACGGTTCCCCTGGCAACCATATTAATCATGGTGTCCTTCGTGAAACTTTGAGTTTTTGGGGTAAGTTTTTGAAAGCAATGCTTTTAGGACAATAGGTATACATCCCACACCCTCTTGTGTGGTATATAATAATAATAAACTTTGTTTATTTTGAATACGAAGAAAAAGAGATCCAATGTCCAAGAGGTAAGGCTGGTAAGTCCGGTTACACTCCACAGCGGATTCCCTGATGGAATACAGAGTCCGGTACCCAAGGATAGGTATAAAATAGGTGAACAGGACCAGACAACGCCAGAAGATCTTCATTGGCGTTGTCTGGTCCTGTTCACCTATTTTGTTTATTTTGGTATATCATTACAGGTATAAGGTTGAATACATTGTAGATGCTTTGAGGAATCATTGATTGCACATGTCCATGTCTCTCTGTCTTTATAGACTACAGGGACAGAATATATATATTTTTATAAATTGGTCTGAGATTATTTAGTGATTTTGCTAGGATTTTTTTTTAGGGAAGTCGTGAGTGGCAGTTCCAAGAGTTTGATTAATCCCAATACAAATGTAATAAAAGATACAGTGTTCTCTCAAAATGTGAGTGAGTCCCACCTGAAAAGCATGAGTCCAGGAGGAAAATATCAGAGTCCTTAAAATCACTGTTATTCATGTAACTTGCAGACATTTCCTATTCTTTAAAATGGAATTAATCCAGTTCATTTGATAAGTACATCACTAATTTTTCAATAATTCAAAGGAAATATAAATCCTGTGATGTTCTATTTGTCATTGTACATACACAAGATTTTTTGAAAAATGTTCTTTTTTCCAGAGACAATTCCAAGCCCAGAAGCTGTACAAGGTTTTGATATCAAATATGCATTCACTCTATATACAACTATGGACTTAGATATCTTAGTCTATGATACAATATCTAGATCAGGATAAATGTATCTTCTGTCTGATATTTATGTCACTCTTCAACATATTTCAAACTTTGTCCATATATATACAGTCAAACCTGTCTATAAAGACCACTTAAGAGGGCAGAGAAGAATGCTTTTAAAACTAAATGGCCTTTATACACAGGTTCAATTGAAATTACTTTGACCCTGTGTTTATTCCTTTTCCATTATATTACGTGTATAAAAATAATGTATGGATTTTAAATTTGTTTTGACTGTGAATGTATAAATTTGACAAGCATGATATTACATACAGAAAGAGAGTGAATGTGTTGCTGCTGTAGATAGTAAACTGAAGATAGTAGATATGTGAAGGCATATATTACCTCATTATATCATGGCACAGGGCATTGATATACTGATAAAGTGTTTTCCCTTGTATTTTGAAACTGAGAATACAGTTCACCCCCTCAATGTGTTCATATATGAAGGTCCTTGAAAACAAGGGGCACAATTCTTGAATTTTACAAATTTAGGGAGTTTTGTACTCTCATTCAGGGGTAATTGGAAACACTGCTGGTAACTGGTTTTCACACACATGAAATTTTGATTTCAAACACTTTCAAACTACATGTATATCACTTTCATAATGATGAAAATAACGTATCTAGTTTATAAACTTGTAGGCCAGTTAGATTTGCTTTTTCACTGAATACTTCAAATGCTATAATTAGCCCATCAGTATCTATATTTATCTCTTCATTGCCCTGTTGCCTATGTTGTAACACTCTTTATATAAAGAATTTATTATGACTATTAATGTAATAACACTAAGTAAAGCTGTGATTGTATAACATTTACCTTCAGTGGACAATTTCCCATTGATCACAATATTGCTTTACAATTGTTAATGTTGGTTTAATGTAACCACTTGTTATTCAAATTTCCTCTATAATTAAAAAAAATACTGACGCAGATGACGTGTGTGTATCCCTTCTTACAGATATATATTGTCACGTTTTTTAAGGTGCCAATCTGATAGATGCATTGCACTTGTTAATGTGTAAACAGGATATGAAGAAACATTACAGATTGAAACCAAGAGCAACTAGTTTAATATGGTGTTGTTTTTTGCTTTTGTGAAGGTGAAGGCCAACACATTGGCGCTAAGGAGAATCTTCGACTGTTTGATATGGATAACCTCCCTTCACCCCAGACAGTACCATATGTTGGGATGATGACCCCGCCACGAACTTTGACCCTTGAGGAACAGGGATTTCCAGCAATGGATATAAAAGAGGAGGAACCAAAACAAGAACTAACTACAAACAAAGTACAACAGTCACAGTTCAACGGGTAGGTTTTAGTATGTGTGTTTTATAGTGAAGGTGTGAACCCTCTCCTCAGCTTCATACTGTTGAAGCATTAGATGACTTCATACCTAGTGAACTCATCGCACATTCAAACGATGGATATCTCGCAGTAGACACATAGCATGCCAGAATGATTGTACATATCTAAGTTACACATCTACAGTAGAAGGAAAAGAAAGATCCAATAAAAATATTGAGTTTTCTTTCATTGAAAATCCCATTCATATATTTAGTTTGGTTCCGTTTTGGTCAAATCACTTGGGAGATGGTCTAAAAATCTAATGGTCAAGCTAGATCAGTTGATTGAGTATCAAACATTGCCAAGGTGAAGATCTGAGGTGTGTAGTTTGACCACCTACCAAGGTTGACCTTTTTCTGTTGTTTCCTCAAAATTCTGACAAATCATCTGCACTGTCATGATATGGTCCTGAGAAAAGACAATTTACCAAATTAGCAATTGACAGCATGTGGCTGGCTTCCTGCATGGTGTTCAGTCGGGTACATGGCGATGTGAACTACACCTGCAAGTGACCTTGGCTATTCATAGGTTGAAAACAAGTTTTGCAAACAGGTGGATGCATGGGTGTTTATGCTTGCCTCATAAAGTCGCCACAATGTGGTGAGGAAAACACATGCAGTGTATATAGTGCTTCAATGGTAATTATTTTGGGTAAAATTTTAGTGTATGCATCCTATTCAGGGGACGTTACTCTGTCAGAACATTGCAATGTGACATATTAAAACAATTTGTAATTTTTTATTGATTCTGGTCCAACAACATGTGTTTATCCTAATATATTAAGATATCACACACTGTAATTTCAAAATTTTGATCATGGAAATATATTCAAACAAAAAAGTCTGGAGGAATGATCTCAACATTTTACTACAGTTTTAGCTATGTGAGGAAAAAGTGTACACCCTCAATTTTCTTACATGATTTTGTTTGCAGTGAATCCAAATTTGTATTCCCCATCAGAAATACACAAGTTTCAGTAAATGAAAACATCATGCCCGAGCTTGAAGCAGAGGGTCACAAATTTGGAAAGTTACATGGAATTATGGAAAAGTTTATAACATCTTCGATGGCTAACTGGTTTAGGTAAATTCTTCAACAAGACCTCACTAGAGGTGCAGCTATATTGTAATACATGTATTTCAGTTTGCATCACAGTGTAATTAAGTGAAATTGTTCACTGCATGAAACAAAATATGAGACGACTGCGTACCGTAATGATTCTGCAACAAGTCTGGGAGGTCATGGTGAAGTGTGGGATCAAAAATTTGGATACTGTATCATATTAACCCCAGAACACCATAGCATCAAACTTTCAAGTTAAAAATGTTGTGTACAAGATGCTTTATGAATCCTTCAATAGATTTAGTTTTTATATTCACACCGGACACCATGCTACATATTTCTATACCAGATTGAGGTATTGAGGGTCATTGGCCAAGGTGACAGACTCAAAGGTTACACTTTGTAACTTTTGAATTAAAAAGATGAAAGGGTGGGGGTATATTTTTGTGGGTCTCTGGCCAGGATGAGTATTTTGTGATATTGACATGGTCTGCACTGTAGTCAATGTTAAATTTGTAATTTGTAATATTAGCATCATTTTCATGGTAATTAGGGACAAGATTCTATTAATTTCAAATGACTTTCTGAAAAAACAATGAATTGAACAGCATTAGAATTATTTTCATGTTCATCAAGAAAAATGGTCATCATGTTCAACTTTTAGAATATAGATATTTATTTAAATAGTGGTGATATCCTTAAAATGATCCTCCATTTTTGTCATTACATGAACCACTGTCATTGAGTTACTAGCTCACCTGGCCCAAAGGGCACAGTGGACCATGGTGCAGCGTCTGTCGTCCATCTGTCTGCTTTCTACCATCCATCTGTCCATCAGGCGTCAAATTTTACATTGAAATTTTTTCTTCTCAATAACCAACTGGCAAAATATCATGATATTTGGCTGGAAGGATGGGTTCCTTAGGATGAAACCTGACAAAGCTATTGAAAATAAATTACCTTGACTAGTATTCATGGTCACAGTGGTTGAATTTGTTAAAACCTTAAAATGACTTTTTATAATGAACCAAAAAGGCCCAGAAGCATCATATTTGGCTGATAGGTTTCAAGTGCAAATTCTGACAAAGTTTGAAAAAAAAATTACTTTTGTCCTCTCACAGGAGTGGAATGTGTTAAAACCTTAAAACAAACTCTTCTAATGAAAAGGCTCAGAAGCAGGTATTCAGCAGGTAGGTCTCTGGGATGAAGCCTGACTGAATTTGAAAAAAGAAATGACTTTGAACCGTATTTAAGGTCACAGAGGCCAATTTTGTCAAAATCTGTTCTGGTAAAGTAAAGTCTTTTCTGGGTCAAACCCGACAAATCTGGCGGAAACAAATAGTGATATTTACCAGTTCAAAATGCTGCTTTTTAGAGCAGAGTGTTAGAAGCCAAAGTTTGTTGTGGAAATTGATTCAAATTTGATTCAAATTGATTGAATAAGCCCACTTTGAATGCCAATGTTACACATGTTCGTGTATTTGTAATGAAGATTGATTTTAATTTTTATGAACACTGAATATCAGGTGAGTGTGCGAGCTCATTGGGCCTCTTGTTATAATCTATATCCACCTAAACCAAAGATTGTAGATGAAGATTATCTAGCAGGTAATAAATTTATCCAAATTCTAGAATGGATGTACAAGGTGACTTACCAAACCCGTACAGAACTTAGTGCTAGATCAATACGGAAATCTGCATGTAGCGCCGTCATCAGCATTGATATATACATTGTATATCGCTTCTTTTAGCATTCTCTTTAAGGAACAAAAAAAAAGGAATGTCCAATTTTTGTTTTACTTTTCTTTCATTTTAAAAGCTTTTCTACAACTTCAGAGTTTTTATTTTGCTTTAATTATACACACACTCTTTTTTTTTGTTATTTCTTTTGTGTCCGACACTGTTTCTGTGAATTGTTAATAAAGACTTTACCTGCTATAATGACAGCGTAGAGATGTTGAAATACATATGACTTGTTGGTAAGATGACTGTAGAATTTGTTGTTTTATATATTGGTGATCACTTTTGTTAATAGTAAATAGCAGAGATAGGCTGTAGGTTCTCACTATTAGCCCATTGCCAACATAGTATAAAGTGCTATTTTAAAATAATTGCCTTATTGATATGATATAAAGTATCATAGGTTTGCTTGGGTTGACTATGTGCCAGTCCAAAAATTTGACATATTATGGTACGGTGTTGCTTGTCCATTTTCTGAGAACTTTTGTATATTTTTTATCATTTGCTTGGAAAACATTTTGTAGATTAATCCCCATGACATGTATTCCTAAATAACATTTTTAGGTCATCTGACCCAAAGGGTCAGAATGACTTATAGCCATTGTGTTTTGTCCATCATTGTACACCATCAGACATGCAGGAACTTTCCTTTCAAATTACTTCTTCTCAATAACCAAAATGCACAAGGTCCTAATATTTAGCCTGTGGCATAATTTGATTAAGGGATATCAAGTTTGTTAAAATTAATGACCTTGACCCTTTTTCAAGGTAACAGAGGTCAATTGTGTTGAAATCTATAAACACCACTTCTCCTAAATAACCAAACAGTGCAAGGTGCTGATATTGACCCTGTAGCGTGCTCCATGAAGGGCTACCAAGTTCGTGGAAATAGATTGCCTTGACTTTACTTTCAAGGTCACAGGGATCACATGTGTTGCAATATCTCAGTGACATCTACTCAATAACCAAACACCCCAGGGTAGCGATATTTGGTCAGCATTATGCCAGAATGAAGGACTCCCAAGTTTGTTAATATTATTGATTATGACCTAATTTTGAGGTCACAGGTTTCAAAAATATCAACATAGTCTCCGGATGACCTATTGCAATCCCCTTTTGTCCGACGTCATAAACTTTGATATTTTTACTTCTTCTAAAAACTCCAGAACTTATTTTGATGAAATTTTACAAAAACCTTTCTGTAAAATTGTAAAATTTACAAAAGTTTGTTTAGGAAAATTACACTATTGAGCATAATTTGTTTATTTTTTTAAATAGTTCAAACTTGGTTAGAATAATGAGAACAAGCTAACAATTGTAAAAAATATTGACTTGGGCTGACTCAGTGGAGATAGGCGAGGCCAAAAATGGGTCAAATTTTGACTGAAATTTCAGAGATGTTCCACTGTATGGATGGAACAAGTTCATAAAGGAAAATTCAATTTTTGAGTTTAATTTCTTTTAATTCAAACTTGGTCAGAAACCTTAGTATGAAACAGCAGTTAATGTATTGCAAAGTTTACATTTGCATAATGTGTACAATGTATTAAAGCTATCAGGTATACATTTGTGTATTGGTTAGTTTTGTTTTTTACACATTTGTATTCCATATTGCAAAAATCTTTAGTAAAGTTGAAAAGTCCTCCGACTTATTCTCTCATTAAAAGCTTGTTCACCTATTATAAGCCATTTTGTTGAATCATGACTATATTAAACCCCATCACTACAAATGTTTAAAACAAAGTCATTAAAAAGAGAGTATACAAACAAAACTTGCTGGAGAATATTAGTGAATTTACTCGTATATTTTACTGCTCAGCTTCCTTGTATGTTGTATCATTAATTACATGATAACAGCTTGTTTGATTGCAACAATCTTTTCCATCTTTAATGCCAGCTTTAAGTCCCATACCAGAAATAGATATAAAATCACTTATATTTTGTATACGTAATGCATTTGAAGAAATAAATTATAGAAGGGAGACAACTCATATACAAATTTGGTATCACTGTAACTTGTAGGCATTTTGTCCAATGCCAACTTATTGGCTCCAATTCCGTTTGCAGATCTTTAGATGTTATAGGCATGGGAAGATTATCTCAAGCAATATAAAGGTGGAATTAAAAAAAACCTTCTATCTCCACTATGCATACATGTTCTCTGTCTAAGATTTAACCTGAGTTTGTACTTGTTTGTGAATTGCCATGCTGTCTTAATCTTTCTAAATCAGATGCCGATTTCCAGTCTATCAAAATTCTTCTGATGAAAATTGAAATGTACATATTGACAAATGTCTTTGATGATTGAACTATTGTAGTTAGTACGAATAATATACAAGTTTGTGTGCATTTCATTTATGGTTTGTAGTTATTAACTGGTTTTGTAAACTACATGTACAAGTATTTGAAGTGATTAACTAATGGAATTTGATAACTTTGATTTTGTAAAATAGGTCAGCAGTTCAACTGGAGCCTTACACACCGGGTGCCTCTATGAACGACTCGTTGCTGCTGAATGAAGAAGATGAGACAACTCTTTTAAAGAAGCAAGTTGCAAAACTCACACGAAAGGTTACACACCTAGAAGAAGAAAACATTCGTAGGTCATATTATGATAGAATTGTGTATATTTTGGTGTTTGGCCAAATTATATGGAAATTTGGTTCCAAGTTCTTTTCCCTGGTGCGACCAGGGCGTTACTAGGATGTGAAGACACTTTATATGGTTATGTGTACACGTTCCTTGACGGTGATTAACGATTTCGTTTATTTTGTCTGAGTGAAACTTAAAATAACAACTTTTTTGCTGGAGAATGCTGAGACTCCAGCACATTGTGGACAATGGATTTCAGCATACATTACAGAAAAATCCATCTTTTTTAAGTGGATGTTCCAGCAGTATAAACACTGTGACGTTTGGTTTAATTAACATTGAAGCTGAGGGATCTTAACAATGAATGCACATTTGATATCAGGACGGACTGGAGATTTGATTTAGACTTAGTCATCTAGCTTATGGGACCTGAAAACTTGATCATATTTGTCTGTTGTGTAAAAAATGTCTGAGATATATAAAAACAACTACTGTATGTATTCAGCAATAAGCCTATGTCTGAAAATAAGCCCCATTGTGTCCTCTTTAAACCCACCCCCAGACTTTGATTAAGAGGTAAGGTGTCAGCCCCATGGTGTCCTGTAATAAGCCCACCCCCAGACTTTGATTAAGAGGTAAGATATCAGCCCCTTTGTGTCCTGTAATAAGCCCGCCCCCAGACTTTGATTAAGAGGTAACATGTCAGCCCCATGGTGTCCTGTATTAAGCCCATCCCTAGACTTTGATTAAGAGGTAACATGTCAGCCCAATGGTGTCCTGTATTAAGCCCATCCCTAGACTTTGATTAAGAGGTAACATGTCAGCCCCTATGTGTCCTGTAATAAACCCACCCCCAGACTTTGATTAAGAGGTAACATGTCAGCCCAATGGTATCCTGTAATAAACCCACCCCAAGAATTTGATTAAAAGGTAAGATGATGTGTCCTGTATTAAGCCCCTTTGTGTCATGTCTATGTGTCCTGTAATAAACCCACCCCCAGACTTTGATTAAGAGGTAACATGTCAGCCCAATGGTATCCTGTAATAAACCCACCCCCAGAATTTGATTAAAAGGTAAGATGTCAGCCCCATGGTGTCCTGTATTAAGCCCATCCACAGACTTTGATTAAGAGGTAACATGTCAGCCTCTAGGGCTTATTGTAAGATATATACGGTGAGAGTTGTCAGTGAACAATTTGTTTGACATTTTCTGTAATTAATGTAATTCTTCTGAGGAATTACATCTCAGTGTAAGTAAAAACAAGTTTGTAACTCATTCTCACTCTGCATGCTACCATTTTTATGCTCCCTGAAAATAATCGGGGGAGCATTTAGTTGCTGCCTTGTCCGTCCGTCTGTCCGTTTGTCATCTAAATGCAAACAAACTGCGTCTCCCCCTTCCTAAACATTAATTCCTGAATATTCTTGAGTTTTTCTTTTTTCTGTGGGCACCAATTTATACATAGATTTCTTCAACAAAACAACAAAATTTCTCACACATACTTTTATTTGAATTTCAGAAGATTACAATGGATAAGAAAAATTACATGTATTCAGCTTGCAGACAGGTTTATGAAAATTTGGACTAGAATCTGCAACTGGTACTGATGTAGTCTTGTGTTAGAAAAATTCTGCTGTCTAGTGAGTATATCTTTTCTACACCATATTTAGGAGTTTACTGTACATAGATTCAGTTATAAGTTCTGTCGTGTGGGGTAACAGTGGCAAAAAAGTCCAGGCATCTGGTTGTCTTTAGTACTAGTCCTCCACCTCTGGGTCGCGGGTTCGAGACCTATGTAGGGAGTCACCACCCAAAGGTAACATGTCTTTGAAAACCCTGGCTGTTAATAGGATATAAAGCAACAATAAATAATGGATGACAAAATTCTATGCTGACACATCGTGTAGCCATACTAGTATACATTGATTTCTGGGTACAAAGACAGTTTAGGTCTGTGTGTAGTAATATTTGTATTTTGTCAACCTTTACCAAATTTGCTTCGTATCATATCTGTACTGTGATTTCTATGTCCCCAACATTTTATGGCATACATATAGTGTTACCCATATGTCTGTCCATCCTGTCATGTCCGGTTTTTTGTTCTGAATCAATTGCATATACCTTTAGAATGTTTTAACAGATTGGGTTCACAGGAGAAAGAACATATTTCATATCATATGCACATTTACTTCTGTTCTTCTGGGCATGTGTTTTTTCATTCATTGATTGTTCAAAATTATTTCATTGTTTTAAGATTATTCTTTCACAGTGGAAATGGGATTCCTACTTACAAACAAATTCCATCATACATACATTACATTAAGGGTGTTTTGTATGTATCCACAAGCTTTGATTAGGTCTTAAATTGAATACTTGTTCATGTGTTTCAGCTAACTGGACCAACCCTATATACATATATATAAAAAATGTATTTTTAACCCCCAGCCAAATTTTTTTTTTTTTTCATGCAGTTTCCAAGAAAAAGACTGCATATTTCTTAAAGTTAGGATTCTCTCTGTATAGATAGGAGATTTCCTGACAAACCTACATTCATTTTTTTCTGACATACTAATAGGAAAAATTGTTGAGGCCTAAATTGATGTGATAGATTAGTTGTTTTGGCTTTGACTGATCAAGTACAATTTTTTATATATCTCTTATCATGATTCCACTTATAAAGTTAAAAAAAAATTGATCATGACTCATTTATACTCTTAATGTTTGGTAGCTAGTATTTTATACCCATTTTGATGGAGGCTGTAGTAGGTTATCATTGTTATTATACATGTATCATAATTTTTCGTTCAAACATTTCTTGATTCAAATTAGTATGCTGTGCTGGGATTTGCTTGCAATTAATAAATTTCATCAGATTATAATCAAATGACTTTACCAAGTTCTTTAAATTCTGGTTTGGCTAAGTATGTTAATGACCAGGTGCATGTCTAGTTAAGATAAAGAAATTGTATGATAAGAGGACCCAATGAGATTCCTGCTGTTTGTATCATTTACAATCAATAAATATTAAAAGTCAGGAATTTGAAATATATGGAAGATATGTTTAATTAACTTGTTGTGAGATTGTTGTTGTTTTTTCTCTCTTTCATTTTCAGTTCTCATCTGTTTTTGGTCACTGTTACTAATTTCCAGTCGTATATATAATGTATTATAAACAAGTCTTATTGCAATTAAACATTCTTCTTTTTATAAAGAAGGAAAAGTTTTCATATTTCATTTACTCATCTGTCATTCTATTTCTAATTTTAATTTCATATTTGAGTTAGTTTGGTTTGGTCTTGTATTGTTTGTATTGTAGGCCTCCTTTTGTATGTGAGGAGAGTTTGTCTGTTATCATTTAACGTCCTACCAACAGCTGGAGTCATTTAAGGAAGGCCTCCTGGTTTTATATTGTATGCTGGAGTCATTTAAGAGATGTGAGGATTGGTTTTATATTGTTTAACGTCCTACCAACAGCTGGAGTCATTTAAGGAAGGCCTCCCGGTGTATGTGAGGAGATTTGGCCTGGTTTTATATTGTTTAACGTCCTACCAACAGCTGGAGTCATTTAAGGAAGGCCTCCCGGTGTATGTGAGGAGATTTGGCCTGGTTTTATATTGTTTAACGTCCTACCAACAGCTGGAGTCATTTAAGGAAGGCCTCCCGGTGTATGTGAGGAGATTTGGCCTGGTTTTATATTGTTTAACGTCCTACCAACAGCTGGAGTCATTTAAGGAAGGCCTCCCGGTGTATGTGAGGAGATTTGGCCTGGTTTTATATTGTTTAACGTCCTACCAACAGCTGGAGTCATTTAAGGACAGCCTCCTTTTGTATGTGAGGAGATTTGGCCTGGTTTTATATTGTTTAACGTCCTACCAACAGCTGGAGTCATTTAAGGGCAGCCTCTAGGTGTTTGTTAGCTGAATGTGTGTGTTTTTTTTTTGTAGATGGAGATATCACATGTCCATGTAAGCCTCCTTACGATAGAGTGGAAATGAATCTTTATAGTTCTGTTGTTACCAAAATGAAGTGTACTACTGCTTGAGGCCCCCAAACAGCAACATAAGTGACATTATATCGACGATGAACAAACACAATGCCAGGCATTTAACAGAATATAGCAACTATTTGTATAATTTATAAAAGTAGGTCCAGAATCTGAAGCCTTCCTCAGAGGGTCGAATACTCAACCAAAGGCTAGATATGATGAAGTGTCAAGGAAGACAAAAAGATCCATAGGAAAGAGAAAACATTTAAAAGATTCCAAATTCAATCGTCACATACAATCTAGAGTTACAATACAAAGGTTTGAATTCTTTCAGTATTCTCCAATTTTGACACTAAACTTTCCAGCAAAATCGTCGTTTAATCATGTCTGAGATAAAGGTATATATATACATATAAACTATTGAATGAAAGTAAAGAATACTGAAAGTCAAGTAAATTCCAAAACTTGGTTTTCTTACCAAACTTTAGACAGTTTCCGAAGGCTAGTATGTTCTGTTAGAAGGCATTTATAAAATTTTAACTCCTTGTAATATGATAAATAAATATACATTAGCAAACAATCAGATGATTAGCCTTTGCCAACTGTGATTTTTTCACTCTCTGCCTTTAACAGGCCTTGTTATCACTATTTCATGAGAAACGCATTTTTTTCATTGGACCCTTGATTGGAGATTGGTCTGATAAACAAAATGGCTAACATACAGCCATTTCTGACGTTTGAAGCTTGTTATCACTATATTTCGAAAATTAAAGCACATTTATATTTTCGTTTGCTTTTTCCTTGGTTTTTAGGCTTACTTGGCATGCATAGTAGTTTTATTTATCAAAGGTGGCTGCCAGCGGCCGCAACGTGTATTTTAAGGTTGACTGGATACTCATGATGGCTGACTAGATAGTCGTGATGGCTGACTGGCCACTTGGATTGTACACATCACGTGTACCATATATATGCTAACAATTATGTTAACAAACATAAGCAATTTTCTCAACTGTTGTGCAGAGAGAAAAAATCAATTTTTCAGCGCAAAGGTACTTTGTACGTGAATGTGATTTTTAAATCAAATATTGTAAATGGATGGAGAATAAAATTTAGTAGAAGGAAAATATTTACGTGGTACCTTTCAGAAAATACAACGAGAATACCTGTCATTTACAATACATGTAAATATTTGTCAAACAATGATCAAAATAGTTCATCTGTCGTATCTAAATAGAAAACAAAACGGATACCAAGACTAAGAACATTTGCCGATGTTTATGTTGGAGTTGTCTCCCGTAGATCGTATAGTCTAAGGACGAAATCGTGAAGGAGTATGAATAACATGGTGAGACGAGATACTGATTTTTTTTTCTTAAAGTGAAGGGAAATATCACTTTTCCGTATGAAATACTGTGTAATTATTGACTTTTTACTTGGTTAATATGCTGTGATATTAACCAGAAGAAAAAAATACTCGCCCTGTTAATGGACAAGGCAAATAATCGCCTAGAAGTCTTCCCTCAATGTTTGTGATATTACGTTCGACTCACGTGCTGATCAGTCACGTGTCATTTTTCTTTTAATCTTCCCTATAGTCTCAAATACATCATTGTAGAAAATAGGAATAGAATGTTGAAAATACGATTTTTTTTTTCGCAAACTCGACAATAAGTAGAATTGGCGTAGGTCGGCTTCCCCGGGGTAATACTCCGTCACCACGTATCTTAAGTAGTATTTTTTTCTGGATATTCTAAGGTTTACGTATTCCCCCTCTAAGTCGAGTGCACTAGAGCTGTATTGATTTACAATATGCCTCTTGTACACGAAGCCCCTGGCATTACTGAAGTCCTAAAATCCAGTTTCATCTATTTTTATCCTGTATCAAATATCTTTTATTTTTATGGCTATGACAGATCGGTCTGTAGAACTTT